TCTCGTCAGCTGCACAGGCTCACACCTAAAACCTCCCGGGAATTCGGGAATTCAACCTTTCTCCAAGTTCAACCTTTCTCAACATAGCATCTTGGGTCATCTGTGCCTCCCCTCCTTCATCAACGCATCCCAGTCCCTCGAGATGTTTGGTTGGAACACGCGCGAATCTAGTGTTCAGATGAGAGAGATGTCGAAGAAATGTAAACTGCATGCTAAAACTTCGTTCTGCGTCAACCGCTGCGTCAGAAAGATCGGTCAGTGTAGGTCTGTACCATGCGTCTAATACCACCTCGTAAATGGCTTCAAGATATCGCAACGGACTTCCACATCTTTACACCAGAGGTCGCAAAGTTCACTGCATAGAGACTCAGTTTCCACGATCATGTCACATATCGCTATTGAAAGAATAAAGTTGCTTGTTCTCATCCATTGCATTCATGCTCTACCTCAAGACCAGACCAAACCATATGTTGTCATAGACTAAAGTACAGAGCCGGGGAATCTGAAAATTATGGAAAAGGCAAAGATGCAGAAGGGGCAACAAAATGCCCGTCAGTCAAACGAAAACCCAAACTCCGTCCCATAACCTTTTTCATTAAACTTTTGTAGTCATGAAATCGTTTAGTCAACCTCCTCCATGGCGGAGTCGCCAGTCTCGGCGGCGGGAACACCCTCAGCGGCAGCAGGGGCATCGGCAGCAGCCTCAGGCTCCTCATCGAGGTTGAGGCCGAGGGAGACGAGCTTGTGGATGCGCTCGGCGAAGCTAGCGGGCTCCTCAATGGTGAAGCCGGAGACGAGGAGAGAGGTTTCGTAGAGGAGCTGGACGATGGACTTGACAGTCTTGTCGTTCTCACCATCAGCCTCAACCTTCTTCTTGAGCTCCTTGATGATGGGGCTCTTGGGGGAGATCTCGAAGGTCTTCTTGGAAGACATGTAGCTGGACATGGAGGTGTCACGGAGGGCCTGGGCCTTCATGATACGCTCCATGTTGGCGGACCAGCCGAACTGGCCAGTGCGGATGGCGCAAGGAGAGCCGACGAGCTTGTGGGAGACGACGACCTTCTCGACCTTGTCGCCGAGAATGTTCTTAAGGGCCTTGGCGAGACCCTCGTACTCCTTCTCCTCCTCCTCACGCTGCTTCTTCTCCTCCTCGGTCTCCTCGAGCTCGAAGTCCTTGGTGATGTCAACAAGCTTCTTGCCCTCGAACTCCTTGAGCTGAGTCATGGCGTACTCATCAATGGGGTCAACAAGGAAGAGAACCTCGAAGTTCTTCTCCTTGAGGGCGTCAAGGAAGGGAGACTTGGAGACGGCCTTGATGGACTCGCCAGTGATGTAATAAATGTTCTTCTGGTGCTCGGGCATGCGAGCAACGTAGTCGGAGAGAGAGACCATCTCGTCACCAGACTTGGTGGAGTGGAAGCGGAGGAGCTTGGCGAGGGCGTTGCGGTTCTGGGCATCCTCGTGGATACCAAGCTTGATGTTCTTGGAGAAGGCAGAGTAGAACTTGTCGAACTGCTCCTTGTCCTCAGCAATCTCGTTGAAGAGCTCAATAGACTTCTTGACGATGTTCTTCTTGATGACCTTCATGATCTTGTTCTGCTGGAGAGTCTCACGAGACAGGTTGAGGGGGAGATCCTCAGAGTCGACAACACCCTTGATGAAGCTGAGCCACTCGGGGACGAGTTCGGTAGCATCGTCAGTGATGAAGACGCGGCGGACGTAGAGCTTGATGTTGCTCTTGGTCTTCTTGGTCTCGAAGAGGTCAAAGGGAGCGCGCTTGGGAACGAAGAGGATGGCGCGGAACTCGAGCTGACCCTCAACGGAGAAGTGCTTGACACCGAGGTGGTCCTCCCAGTCGTTGGAGAGGGACTTGTAGAAGGCAGCGTACTCCTCCTGGGTGATGTCCTGGGGGTTGCGAGTCCAGATGGGCTTCTGCTTGTTGAGCTCCTCCTCCTCGACCGTGACCTCCTTGATCTTCTTGACCTTCTTCTCCTTCTTCTTTTCCTCCTCCTCATCATCAACCTCCTCGATCTTGGGCTTCTTGTCTTCACCCTCCTCGGTGACCTCCTCGGCCTCCTCATCAGGAATCTCCTTCTCGATCTCCTTCTGGACGTGGAGGTAGATGGGGTAGGAGATGAACTCGGAGTGCTTCTTGATGACCTCCTTGATCCTGCTCTCGTTGAGGTAGTCAAGCTGCTCATCCTTCAGGTGGAGGATGATCTTGGTACCGCGGCCAAGGGGCTCACCCTCGGTGTCAGGTCTGATGGTGAAGGTACCACCAGCGGAAGACTCCCAGATGTACTGCTCGTCATCGTTGTGCTTGGAGACGACGGTAACTCTGTCGGCAACAAGGTAGGCAGAGTAGAAACCAACACCGAACTGACCGATCATGGAGATATCGGCACCAGCGGTGAGGGCCTCCATGAACTGCTTAGTACCGGAGCGGGCAATGGTACCAAGGTTGTTGACGAGGTCCTAAGCGTAATGAGTCAGCGCATTGTCACTTGCACAAACTGAGATTGAATCTAGGCAAACTTACAGCCTTGGTCATACCGATACCGGTATCCTTGATGGTGAGGGTCTTGTTCTCCTTGTTGGGGATGATGTCGATGCGGAGTTCCTTGCAGGAATCCAGCTTGCTGGGGTCCGACAGGGACTCGTAGCGGATCTTGTCGAGAGCATCGGAAGCGTTGGAGACAAGCTCACGAAGGAAGATCTCCTTGTTGGAGTAGACAGTGTTGATGATGAGGGAGAGAAGCTGAGAGATCTCAGCCTGGAACTCGAAAGTCTCGGGGGCCGACATGTTGGGCAGATTTGTGGGTGAAATGTGTGGGTATCTAAGCAGGGTCTGTTAGCGCACACGTCCTGGAGAAGTGCTGCAACTTTGGCGTTGGGATATGTACACGATGGTTTATCTACAATCGAAAGCGGGTAGAAGAACAACTGAGAGTTGTTGTTCTTGCGAGGTGGTGACGGAGGGGAGTGAGGGAAGGAGTGTAAGGCAAGGCTGAAGCGGGGGAGGGGGAGAGGAGGGGCAGTAAAATGGTTGACTCGCAACCTTCCCGTTCGAGAGAGGCACTGGGCAGCGGGTGAACTTACCAAAATGAAGTGCAAAGAAAAAGCGCTATTGTTCTGCTCCTCCAAAAAAAAGAGAGGATACTGCTGCAGGCACGATTCGAGAGAGGAAAGAGGAAAGTTGAGATTGGATTGGGAAGACTGAGGAACGAAGGGAAGAGCGAGAGGAGGGGGGCAGCAGTGGCATCTAAAATGTTCTTTGCGGCGGCCCCTGGGTCCTGGCTGTTGGCAGCAATAGAATTCGATGAGATTCTATCGTCCAGAATTCCATGGCCTTCCTCTGATTCGTTTGCGGCCGTTGCTTGCTATCCCCACACGACCCAAATCTGACATCTGATTGGCTGGAGGCCCGCAGGTAGAGGCGCGTCTTGGCTTCCTTGCGCTTCTCTCAAGAGGCTGCAGGAGCTCGAGAGGAGCTACCCCAGCTCGAGCCCAGTCCAACCCGCTCCGCTGAGGGGCAGCTCTTCCATCCGCATTTCTCAGCTGTTGCTCCCCTATCGTTGCCATTGCCCCCTTGCAAGCATTGGGGACTGAAATGACTCCAGAAATTGCACCATGATTCTGGATCTCCAAGCAAAGCTGGAGGCGAGTCGAGATGGCAGGCGTAAAACTCCCGATTAACTCCAATCATCTGGAGCCTTCTTCGTTCTACCAACATGATCTTCGGACGCCTCCTCCATCCCGCGATTGGGCAGCCAATGGGCAGAACGATCCAGAATGATCGAGGCCCCTGCAGTCATGGCAAGGCTGAACGACGGGAGCCCAGGCACCCCACGATCCGTCAACAAGGTGCCCTCGGTGCTGCGCGTGCTAACGTCCCGACCCGTCGCCCACGATTGACCAGCCACCTAGGTTTGGGGATTCGAGTTCGAGATTCTGCCTGTATCGAGAAGCCTCCGTGATTGTGGTTCTCGGCACTAGTGTATGCGTATGGGGAAATTCATCGGATCCGGCAAGGTCTCGACCGCTGCCATCGCGGCTGGGCATGATGGAGTCGGTGTTCGTCTCTTTTTCGACTTCGTATGAATGATGGTATCATGTCCTCTCAATCCACACATGATTCTCGCCAACTTCGATAACACTTGGCAGTGTGGCCTTGCCGAGCCCAGCCATTTATAGATTGCTGGTGTCCTCTTTTTGTCCGGTTGTCTCTTCATCTTCTATTTCATACAGCCATGATACTTCGGTCCTCTGACCCTTTTAGTTTGCGAAACTCTGATCGGCAATGCTCGAGTCCTCATGCCCATCTATAGCATGCTCGACGTCGATATCTCTTTGTCCAGGCTTGTTGTTTTTGTTCTCGTTTTGGATCGCCATATCTCGGGATGAACACCATGGAATGACCTCGAGTTCCCGAGACCGAGGTGGCTACTGTACTCGGTCTTCAACATGGACCTAACTCAACTGAAGGTTATTGATTTATCTTCAGCAAGATGCTGAATGGAATGCTGATTTCACGACCAAAATCAACCAAGGCAAAGCCAGAGAACATCATCACGTACCTCGCCATTCAACATTCCGTATCGACGGCACAAAGCTCCAGAGTGCAGCACGGCGTTTCACCACCACCACTACTTGGAAGAAGAAATATTCCAGCCTCAGATCAGTTGCATCGTTCGACCATCAACCGAGAAGTGCCATTCCAGCCTTTCTCTACCTGACACTCATGCAATTAACATGCCCCGACCTGATCAACATGCGTGGTCGAAAGGCGCAACACAACGTGCAAGCTCCATGCAGGTTGAATGGATGAGATGACGGGAGCGAGCCCTGCACAGCGCCCCTGACAAGTTGTGCCAAGAAGAACCCTTGCTCCTCATGCCCCTCCATGTTCGTGACGAGCTCTCAGGCCGACAGGCACGCAAGGGCAGGCTCACATTGTACTACACAGCAGCTGCAGTACTGCAGCCCTGACCCCACAGCAACAGGCGCTGGCAGGAAGAGCTCGGGCTGTGAGATCATTCTGAGCCGTTGATGATGGGATTTTTCTGATCGGTGTCGGGTCCGGCGAGTAAAAGCTTCAATGCGTGAACCAGGACAGTCCGGTTGGGAGCTCCGTGCGTGGGGCTCCAGCCCACACAAGCTCCTCGAGAGGTTTATCGATAATATGACATATGTAGAGGTCAAGCACCTCACAAGGTCGGAAAATAATGCTGTTGGTTCCATTCTCAGCAGTTTGCTTTCACAAGTTAAATTTGGCATCGAGTGATCTCCCTGTACATATTCCCTGATTCCCGTTCCCAGCTTGGAAGGTTCACTGCAGGATTGCTTGCCTCCCGTCCTTGCCCGTTCTGCCCCTCTCTTTCGTCCCTTCCACTCAACTGGTTCACCAATCTAATTACGCCATGAACGGGATAAAGCTTGCGCCCCACCGCCTCAGGGCCGTCGCTCCTCGTCTTTCCCTCATCCGCCCCTCGTTCCTCCTTTGTGTTCCCAAGTCTCTGAACTCTCTCCCGTACACCACCCCCCAAACAAACCACAAACACAACTTCACCACCACATCCAGCAAGATGACTATTCCCCAGCTTGAAGGTCTTCAGATCGAGGTCCAGCAGGACGGCCAGGGCACCCGTGAGACCCGTCGTGGTAAGTGTACCCCAGTTGTACCTGGAGTGCAATTTTCAGCTTCTGCCTCGACGCTCCGCCCGAATCCGATCCTCATCGCACACCTTTGGACTACGAGCGCCTCACGTTCAGCCCTTTGCACTACGCAAACCAGCAAGCGAGCTCCCTAGATGTGAAGCAAACGTGCTGACTCAATCTCTCCCGCATTCCAGGCGACAACGTCGATGTCCACTACAAGGGTGTCCTCACCAGCGGCAAGAAGTTCGACGCTAGCTACGACCGTGGCGAGCCCCTCAACTTCACCGTCGGCCAGGGCCAGGTCATCAAGGGCTGGGACGAGGGTCTCCTCGGCATGAAGATTGGCGAGAAGCGCAAGCTCACCATCGCCCCTCACCTCGCCTACGGCAGCCGCGCTGTCGGTGGCATCATCCCCGCCAACTCTACCCTCATCTTCGAGACCGAGCTCGTCGGTATCAAGGGTGTCCAGAAGGGCGAGTAAATGTATTGCTCCGAAATACATTTATAACCCTGGGGAACAAGCGGATTCGCGGATGAAAGGAGGATCGTTTTCGGCGTTTATGTCTCTTACCGGTGCCGACACGCCCTGAGCGCTTCTCGAGTTGCGATAGGAGCTGGACAGATACCATTTGAGGGTCATATATAGGGAGGAAATGTTTTGCATGAAACAGCCCCATTAGCTGCTCACCTACCTGCTTGAAATCCTCCGAGGCCCCTAGTGATGAGTACAGGCCGCCCAGGCCGTATTGGTTCACATATTGATTTGCGTTTGTTTGGCTAAGAGTTTGTTGTTATTTCAGGAAGTGTACTAATCCTACTACTAGCCTTCTTCACGGGCTCTTCCTCGTGAGTACTCCTGACTGGACCATGCAGCGGCACTACACAGTTTCCCAACTGTCTGTACCTCCTGTCCGCATACACCAGTCCGAACTGGTATCCGTCTCTATCCTCTCCCTCGGATTTTTCCGGGTCAACAGGATCCAACGAGTTCACCTCTTCCCCTTCTTCTGCCCCGCGCCTAACACCAAGCCCCTCGACAATCTCCTCGATCTCTCCCAGTACAATAACGTGATCCCGGACGGGGATCAAGCCCTCCATAGGCTCCTCTAATACCCTGCACCTCATGATATAGAGAACCCCATCCCCGTCTAGCAGGGGCGCCTCCCCATAGTCCCTACACATATTCAAATCCTCCTGGTTGGCAACCACACACCCGCATTCACTCTCCAGCCCCTTGAACACCTTTTCTGGCCCTTCGCTGTTCCCCCTGGTCATCCAGTCCGCAATCGCCGCACCCGCGATATCATCCGTAAGGATGTGGATATTAAACCGCCTGCTGGCGCGCAATGCGTCTAATGTTCGGGACGGGTGAGTGATGTTGAAGCTAACAATCGGCGAGGGGGAAAGGCCGAGGCAGGTGAAAGAGGACATGGTCATGCCGCGCATGGTCGGCTTATGAGGCTTGTGCGGCTGCGAGGAATGTGCGTGCGTATGTGTATCAGTAGAGGTGCATACAACAACGGAATGTGGGAAGAGACGCATAAGGGAACGGGTTCGTTCGGCGATCGGGGTGAGCTTCTTATAGGCGTGCCCGGGTGGGTGATTTGGTCGGTTTGGGGGAGATGGTGGCTTGGGGTCGGTAATCGTCCATGCTCGAGCATGGGAGGGAGTGGTGTGGATGGTTCGAAGAGCTGTTGTATGTCAACAAGTTAGTTTGAGCTTATTTGTCTTCTAAAGTATGGATGAAATGTATCGTCCTATATCAACATCGGATTCGTATATGTCATGGGTGCTTACAGAGTTGACATGTCCTGGCGTGCTGTCCAGCAGCAACTCGCCATTGTGCCGCTGCCGCCGTCGTCCCGATTAACGGCCGCATGGATGACGATGACGGCTTCAGTGACCGCACCGGGCAGATGCCATTGTGATTGCAGATATGCGCTTGCTCGGCAGCGAAGCCCAAGACCCGGCGACCGCTCATCTCAGGCCCATTGAGCGGCTTCGCAGAAAGTCAATTGAAAAGATTGACAGTCTCGGGAAGACTGTCGACGTTGTTGTTGACACAAAAGTTCCTTTACCAGCCGGTGCCATCTCAAGCTGTCCCCCCGACACTACTCGTCGGTTAGGTGGGAACGCTTGCAGCCAGCCAACCGACTCTCATCGTCCCTTTGAGAGTCGGATTTTTTACATATATCTTGCAAATCGTATATCTTTCAAGAACCTCAACAATCTATATCTCTACTAAAACTTAAGTAAAAAAAATAGTAAAATATTCAGATTAATAGTCTAGATCATACGTATTCAGCAATATATTTACATTATAATCAAAATGTCATAATATATTATTATAGTATAACTATTACCTTTATTTCTACAGTAATTTATACTTTTAACCAGCGAAATAATACTATATAACCTTTTCTACCCGCGTAATAACTTTAAGATTGAAATATACTATAATAAATCGATAGAGAAAATCAAGACGAATAGATTGAAGCTATTTATAAGGCCGTATAATTAGAATTAATAATATTTTACCTCTTTTTATAATAGTTCTTAATATTTCTCAAATTAGTATATATTACACGCTTTTAGCGGGCGGTAATACCGTACAGCCTTTTCCGCCTACGCAAGAGCATTAAAATCGAAATACACTATAATAAATCGATAAATAAAATTAAAACGAATAGATTGAGGCTATTTACAATACTGTACGATAAAAATTAATAATATTTTACCTTTGCACGGTATTACCTCGCCCGCCAAAAGCATATAACTCGAAGAACCAAGAACCACCACAGCCTTTTCTACCTGCATAGTAACATCAAAATCGGGATGCGCCAAAATAAATTGATGGAGGTAATTAAGACAAATAGATTGAGGCTATTCACGAGGCCGTACGATTGAAATTGATAGTGTTATAACTAAGTAAGGTTTTTAATAGATATACCACTTGCAAGATATATATAAAAAATCCGACTCTCAAAGGGACGATGAGAGTTGGTTGGCTGACTGCAAGCGAGACCCCCGGAGGGTAGACTCCACACCTAACCGACGAGTAAAATTGAGCTCTGGCACTAACGCACTTCCAGTGGGCATGGGCCCCTGGACACCACGCTTGACAGGTTCGCTTCAGGGCAATTGCGCTTAACAAGCAAGATCTTATCTTATCGGGGATCGGCCCCGCCGGAGCTGCCGCGGCGTTTTCTACAGCGGGAGGTCGCTTCCCCGGACTTCAAGGCACCATGTGCCTGCCGCCGATAACGATAGCGCTTGTTGGGCAAATAGCCCGCCGTAACAATTTTTGTCTCGCGGCCAAATCCACCCGTCCCAGTCCCGCGACCAGCAGCGCTTGAGCCAGAACCAGACCACCACCCGAGTCCGAGTCCCCGCGGCGCGAATCTCTAAATCCCGTTTCCACGCCCCCGGCCGCCGTCAACCCTCCGACCCGACCCCCGAAACGAACCGTTCTCTCTCTCCTCCGACGTCCCCGCGGTTCGCCCACCACCACGCCTGATTAACTTCACTGGCGACGACGACGGTCCATCTACCTCAACAAACCTTAACCAAAACCGAGATACCCATCCCATAATTATACCAACCCGCCAAACCGCCAAAATGTCATCAAAACTCCCCACCACCCTCCTTCGCCGCCCTTTCGCCCTCCCCTCCACCACCACATACACCGCCTACTCGGCGTCTCGCCCAACAACCCAAACATGCGCGCAACAACAAATCCGTAACGCAACCTTCGTCCCCCGCCACCGCCGCCCCTACCAATTCACCCAGCTGGTCCAGCTCTCGGACGGCAGCACCTTCACAGTGCGCACCACCATGCCGACGGCGCTGTACAAGTCGGCCAAGGACAGCCGCAACCACCTGCTGTGGCAGCCCTCGGACAAGTCGCTCAAGAACGTCGAGCTGGACGAGGCCGGCAAGCTGGCCGCCTTCCGCGAGAGATACGGTCGCGGGTGGGATCTGGATGCCAAGATGACGCCTGAGGAGGAGGAGGCTGCTGCTGCTGCTTTGGCTGCTGGTGGCAAGGGCGCGAAGAAGGCTGCTGCGGAGGAGGCCCTCCTGGCTAAGAAGAAGGCGGCCGAAGAGGAGGCGGCTAAGAAGAAGGCTGCGGCTGAGGCCGAGGCTGAGGAGGTTGATCCTTTCGATTCTTTGACGGATTTGATCAGTGGGTATGCGACGGAGAACATGAACCCTGGGTTGAATGTCAAGGATACTCGTCCTAGGAGGAAGTAAACGGCGGGGGGTGATATGCTGGGAGATGATGGGTGATGGGGTGTTCGTGGGGCGGTGTTGAGGTTAATCTCAGACGCAAGACACTCGAAGAAACCCGAAAGATGTCCACAGCATCCTGGCCCGTCTGAGTGGGAAGTGTTTTACTTCCTATTCCTTCTGACCCCTGAGATAACTCCTCCACCTTGTATCATTATATCGACCGGTCCCCCGCGGAGGACGAGGAAGCTTGCCCGGTCATTGCTGCTTGCTGTTGGATGACTTCGGAGGGCAGTGTACCATCAGATTCCGCGCCATGGTCGGCTCTATCGGGAACGCGGGAAGGCAGATCTGTACATATAGAGATGGGATGGGATGAGGAATGGAAAACACGTTTGTGGGGGCCAATTATAGAAAGTGTATGGATAAGAGGTTTCAAAAAAAGTGAATATTCAGCGCGCCCACCCCGTTTTGATATCATCTGCTCACGTCTAGCAACTAAACGTTATGTACAATACAGTCGGCATCCCTATCATGAACAGTACAGGCTTCTTCTTGAGGAACTCCAACGCAAAACCATCGCAACCGCTCTCTAAACCATCATCATTATCTGTATTTCATATGCTAAGGTGGATACGGGGCTGCTAACTCCTATGTTTCCTGTCTTTCTGGTAGCCCCGACAACAGGCGATTTTTCCTGTAATATCACCATCCTCCTCAACGCGGCGCCCGGACCAGGAGTTTATGTCACTGTGGCCGTCTGTGGGACTGTTTCAGCTCCGCCCTCCTTCCTAAAACCACGACCATGCACTATCTGCTTTCTTGTAGTCTGGAATCCTCTTTGCTTGGTTCGTGCGGTCGTTTAGGTTCGATGACGAAGTGGTCCTCGCCGACTGATTATCTCCCACAAGACCACGATCCTAATCGGAGTCGTCGTCGATCCTCGCCCGAGCTCGATCCACCGCCGTGTCACCGGCAGGCTTGTTCGCCTGGACGACCGGAGGACGGTAGAACACGGTCTCGTCGTCCTCGGCATCCAGCTGCATGAGGAAGGTCTCCCACTTCTCGATCAACTGGTAAGAACGTTAGTAAACAGTTACGTTTGATAGTGTCGAAGGGAAACATACCTCCTTCTGAGCCTCAACGGCACTTTCCAAGAACGTCTCAACACCCGACTTGAAGTCCTCAACCTTCTCCCTCTCGAACCTGTCCAGCTCAGCGCGCATCAGACGGCCCATGTCCTCAAACAACAAGCGCGCCTGATGCACCTTGCGCTCAGCATCCGCCACCTCGGCATTAACTTGGTTCAAACGGTCCTGCTGACTCTTGCCCTGCCTCAACAGCTTGTCCTGACTGGTCTTGCGCTTCTGCAGCTCCGACTCGGCGCTGTGCCAGCTATAAAACGCCTTCTGGCGCTGCGAGAAGGCCTGCTTGACACTGCCGATGAGACGGATGTACTCCTCGATGATAATACCGAAGGTGAGCACATCCTGCTGGGCTTGGCGGTCATACACATCCCTAATGGTAAGCTGAAGCTCCGAGAGGGCGTCAAGAGGGCCGGAGAGAGTGGGCGAAAGCTCCACGGTTGAGAGAGCATGGAGAGAGGCAGAAAACTCGCCAGCGGCCTCCGCCATCGCCTTGCGCTGCGCAACCATGCTGTCCATGGCCTTCAGGAGACCCTTGAGTTGGTTCTCGAGAGCATCAAGGTAGACTCTGCGATCATGGAACCACTACAACCACCCCATTAGCACTTTGTTCAGCACATCACCCCCAAAGAAGTTACAACTCACATCATCCTGCTCCACAAACTTGTTCCCGCTTCCGACACTGATACCAAAAGTGCTCAACACGCCCTTGCTCTCGCCCAAGTTCGGCTCCTTGCGCTCCTTGTGCTTGACGTCGATGTTGAACGCCTCGCTCTCCAGGAACAGCTTGAGATCGGCGTCATGCTGCAACGTCGGATGGGCGGCCGTCTTGTTGAGCATCTTCTCCAGGGCGGCGCGCCGCGCCTCGACAAAGTTGCTCTCGAACCGGCCCACCGCCTGCTTCTCGGGCGGAGGGGGCACCACCACGCCCGGGTTGTTGGCGTGTAGCGTGTTGTAGAGCCATAGGAAGTCGCGGTACCGCCGCTTGACTTCGAACTCGGGCTGCTTGTAGGCTTTTGACGTCGTCTGAGTTGTTCGAGTGTGGTTAGAATATGGTTATATAACCAAGAAGATAGGGGGGGCCGTACCTTTGTCCTCACAGAGTAAACTATATGACTACTAGTCAGATCGCCAACCTTGTGCGGATCGCCGACATAGATATGGAACGTTGGGTTCGCCGCCTGCTCTATACTGACGCTCGGCTGCATCGACGTGCGCACCGAGCTTGGCTGGGCAGGCGGTACCGGCGGCGGCTGTCTTGGCCCGCTCGGGGTATCATTGTATAGCTCCTCCTCCTCGATGCGGTGCGGGTCCCTCCTGGCGCCGCCGCCGCCGATTTGGTTCGGGCCCCCGGGCAATGTCGTCCTCAAGGGTAGCTGCTCCTTGAGAGGCGGCTGAGGGGGCGCAAGCGGGGTGTCAGTGGCCGCAGGGGTGCTGGCACCTAGAGGACCGAGCGGATCGTCCTCGACGGCCTCGAGGCGGGTTGGTTGGGCGACCAGGCGACGGGGTGTCAGGCGCGAGGGTCGGCTGCTGCTCGTGTTGGTTGACGGCGCCAGGGTTGACGATGTGGACGGGGCGGTGGTGCTGCCGGCGGGCGCCGTATCATCGGACTGGGGAACTGTAGAGGAGCTGTTGTTGCTCTCGCCGCCGATGGCGCTGTCGGCCCAGGGATCCTCCATTGCGCAGCTCCTGCTTGTGGGATTTCTCAATCGAAAGATGGATTCAAGGAATAGACACGGTAATAAGACGAACAGGATCACCAGCAATGGTTTGAGGCCGTTGTATAGAGAGTATGGACGGCGAGTGGACTGTTGGACGGGAACTTGGAGTGCGCTATCCTGGTCGCCTAGGCAGGTGCATCGTCAGCGGGCGGCCAAGCTCCCCGTCGCCCAAAGCAGCTGCGAGACGCTCGGGCCAATTGACGTCGTTTTGGGTGAAGCTATCCAAAAAGGGGCGAACCATCGTCTCCTTCACTTACAGTAGAACACTGATATATTGGATCTTTCAAGTTTCACTGTTGATTTCTTAGCTGTATATTTAATCAAGCCCTTTTTCTTGGCTTGAAGGTGCCACTGAAATAATGATTCCCAAACCTCTGGACTCTCTTAGTAGACGGTGCAACTAACTATGTTGTGATCCTGATGAACCGGAACTCCTGGATCGCCAACTCCTTTCGAAATACTATATGCGACCTTTTTCAACCGTCATTGATCGTGACTAAACAACATGACATCCCCTACCAACGTTGCCATGACTCCTTGGGTTCCTACAAGGACCGCTGATCCTGAACCTCCTAACGCTCAGGATCATAGCATCCACCCGCAACCACCAGGTTCATTCTTGTAAACTGCACCTTCAGTACAGGCGTCTTCTTGGTCGCAAACGCGCTGATTTGATCGGGCGTGATCTGCACCTCCTTGCCCTTCTTCTTCCCAGTGACCGCACCACTGCCGCCATTGGCGGCGCCGCTGGCCGTGCTAGTGTTTCCGGTGGCATTGGCAGCAGCAGCTGGAGTAGCCGAAGAACCAGTGCCGCCCACGGTGATAGAATTACCGTTGGGACCTCCGCCAGATGCCACGGCGATGCTGTCGCCAGTTGCGGCGCCATCCGGCTGTTGACCAGATGCGCCTCCCACAACCGCCGCACCGCTGCTCGAGATAGCAAGCTGGCTGCTCTTGCTAGGATCGGCCGGCAACTCCACGTCCCACAGCCTCACGGTGCCATCCAAGCCTCCTGATACGAGCACGTTCGACTCGGCACTGAAGCTTAGAGACGGGATGCCGCCCTTGCCGTGGCCGCGGCACCGCTTGATACGTGTGCCCTTGGCAATATCCCAGAAGAAAATGTTTCCACCCGTATCGGCACTGGCGAGGATCTTTCCGTTCGGTGCGCATTGCAATGCGCTGATGTAGTCCGTGTGGCCTGTGAAGATGCGTACGCAGTTACCTGTCACAACCGACCACATGCGGATGGACTTGTCGGTGTCGTCCGATGCGGAAAAGATGTACGTTCCGTTCGGGTGCCACGCGATTGCTGAGATGGGCGTATCATGACCGACCATAATGCGCAGCGCAGAGGCTCTGTCTTGCGCGAACACGCGAACTGTTTTGTCCCAGCCGCCAGTGGCGAAGTAATGGCCGTGAGGACCCCAAAGAACGCGGAAGACAGGACCATCATGAGCCTTGTAGATACATAGGCAAGCCCAGTGGTCGAGGGACCAAAGGCGGACTTGGCCGTCCGCCGAGCATGATACCAGCAGCTTGGTGCTTGTATCGGGCTTGGTTCCGTCGGCTTCCGGGAAGACATTACGGTCCAGGTTGGCAATCGAATCTGAGAAAGACACACCGTAGACCGGAGCGGAGTGGCCAATCAGCTTCCGGTTGTTGACTTGTAGATCCTTCTCGCTGGCGACAGATGTTTTCAACGGCTTTCCGTTCATAGACCAAACGCGGATGTAAGAGTCCATAGTGCCGACAGCCACGAGTTCGTGGTCATTGGAGAACTCCATACATGTAACGCTAAGGACAGGAATCAGTCAGTACCATGAAGCCAGCATAGGAGAACGTGTACGAAACTTACCTCCCCAAGGTGTTGTGGAAAGTAAACATGCAGGCCGAGACAGGAATACCCGCACCGCCAGTCCGACCCTCAATCTTGAACCGGTCTCGGTTTTCCCGCACCTTTTGCATCTCCATTACGACGTCCCTGGCCCGAGATGGTGGAAGAGGGAGGTCTGTTCTTGAGGGGGCGTCGGCACTATCCTCTCGCTTGATCCGCTGGTCGAACTCCTCCACGAGTGTGGACCTGCCCTCCGCTGGTGGATGTCGCTGGTCCTCGTCCTCAAGTTCTGCTCGTACGTCTTCTCTCAATTCAGGCTCCATTGGTAGAGGGCCCAGCTTCAGTGGTGCTGATGAGTCGAGAACGTCTCTGTTTGTGACACCGGTGAAAACACCAGGAATGCCTTCAAGTTGGTCAATCTCATCGAGATCCAAATTCTGAGCTCGTCGGTAAATAGCCTCAAAGCTGAATGGTTCGATGGGCCCCCTTGCGCTGACGTCTACCCGGCAGAACGTTTGGAGGATGAACGCAATGGTTGAGCCGCCAGCATCCGCCTCGCGCTCGAGAAAGTGGAAAAGGTTACCAGAAAGTGACTGGTTGAGCGGGATGTGATACTTGTTCTCCCGGTAGAGTTTGATTGTTTGGTTTTCGTGAATGTGTTGTGGAAGGGTGACTGTCGCAAACAGGTCTAACGCCTCACGATGGACCGCTTCAAAGTGAGGTCGTAGTGTTGCAAGGTAGTGCTTTGCTTCTTCCACATACCCCGTGGACACGAGCTCGATGTAGGAGTAAACGAAGACAGGCCACAAGAGCTTCCTAAGTTCGAACTATTGCTTGTCAGCATCACTGCCACAGGTCATTGGATCCTCGCCTTCTTTGTGACTTACCTTGTAGATGTCCAAGTTATTCTCGATCCAATCTCGGAGCAAGATGAACGCCTTTAGATACTTTCGCGGTCCGTTCTCCTCGTTGCGCTGCGCGGGCCTGCCGTCAGGCCCGAGATGGGCTGTCTCTTGACGGAAAACGGCTTCGGTCTTGGTGAATCCCTTCTTCTTTAAATAATCCGTTACCTGTGCGTAGTCAGTTTGGTGTCTAACGCGATAGAGCTCCATCATAGCTTGGGTCGGTAAATGAGATAGACGGAGAGACGAAGGTGAAGTAGTCGGGTGATGGGCAAATCGAGGAGCCATCGTGGCAGATGGGAGTGTTTTCAGGATAAAAGTAATGTCTTCTCATTAACAAGTTGTCAGGGATGTTGAGGGCAGAGAATAGTGAAAAGATGATGTGCTGTGGGAGGCGGAAAGGCGACAACAGAAAATGGACTTGATTGTGTAGTAGTAACGGAAGAGGAGAAACGGAAACCAGGCAGCCTAGAATTACCAGACGGGAGTGCCGGTGAACGGAATCTGAAGGAAACCTGAAGGAAAGCCCGGTGAATGGGCGCCACCTGCAAGGTACGGCCGGCCAACATGTGCGTGCCCATTATGAATAAAATACAGTGATGGTTGGAAGGAGTTTCATGGCTTGTACACATAAAGATGATATAGAAAGAGGGATGGCTGAACATGTACAGGTGGAATCAAACACTCAACAAGGACTCACTATTTGGTTCAGATTCTGAGGTGTGGGCGCCGTACTGCTCGTCGATGTCGTCCCTGCGGCTCCTGTTCCTCCTGTACCTCCCGTCGTCGGCGCACCACCAGCAGACTGAGGTTGTTGATGTTGTTGGCCACCGCCATATGTGGCACCTCCCGGCGCTTGGCCGGTGTTTGCTGGTGGGGGATTGGACATGATGTGTGAGATGCCTTCTTATCGAAACAGCTACGTATGTCTTTGTTCCTTTATCTATACAACATTCGCAGAATCGAGCCTCAATGACTCCGGTAGCGTGTATGGCTCTTGTTGTATGTAGCTTTCTTGGAAATAAGTGATGAAGGATGAGGAGGACGTCGACGCGTGTGGCAGATGATGGTAGGTTCTCGATCCAGTCCCTGTGGACCTGGTGCTATATAGTTCGTTCGTAATGGGTATATGATGACTTCGAAAAGGATCCTGGCTGCCTGTATAACGATAGCGTCTGTTTTATGGCAAAGGGCGAAGTTGATAATGAGGCTCAAGGCGAGATGGAGATGACGAGGTCCAGGTCAATGTCGATGGACGGCATTTACCGAGCAAGAACGTCGCGAACAGTCGAACAGTGGGCCACTTAGCGCGTGAAACACTGGAGATCTCAATGACTTATGACCACTTTTCCCAGACTCTCACGTGATTAGGAAAAGTGGGTCTCAGAATGCCCTCCTCCCAAAATGCTTCGACCCGAAGCGAAAACAACCAAAACCACCAAACTTACATAGCATTCTCGCTGAAATTAAGTCCCCTATGTTTTTCTTCTTTTCTTTATAAACTCATAGAATATAAACCTTACTCGTATTGTCTCCTGAATTATTATTAATCTATTAAACTCCCTCCCTTTCTCAATCATTCTAATAATTCTCCGTAAATCCTAATCTTTAAATAAATCTATATTTCTCTTCACTCTAACCGATATATCCCTTTCCGAATTCTAATTTCTTTTCAATTCTTTTAATCTTTTATCATCCTTCCTAGGGTTCGCTATTGAAGTATCAACCTATTTAGGGTTTCTCCATTCCTATTAGCTACGATAGTTTTGAGGTAATTAATATATAACTTTCTCTTGGGTCTAGATTAATAAACGTATTATATTACGAAGGATTATAGAGTAATCTTTTCGATAATTTTCTACGGGCTAACTTACTTCAGCTAGAACTTCGGGTTTACTTTACTTCTTCTATTCTCTTTCTAAACCCAATCGCCAATTTTAAAATCGGTTTTTAGTAACGAGTCGGCTTCCTTCCTAATTGCTTACTAAGCGTGGATATTTTTAATTTTATCTCTATCTTCCTTTTTTTGTACTAGGAATACTATTACTCTATTAAATTGCTCAGGATCTTTATTATCGAAACTCGCTTTATTTGACTCTTCTAATTGTATCGATATTTCATCCATATATTCAAACCTATTCGGCTAAAAACCTAATAAAACTATTATAAGGCTAGTGCTGAGATTAGAAACGAATTAGCTATTAATATTATTCTAAATCGATAGGATAATTAATAGCTATCTTTCTAATATTTTACTTCTTTTCGCTATTCCCTATTTCCTAAATTCTATAGAAACTAACTCTATATATTTCTTAATAAGTTTAGTACTCTTAGGATTTATAATTAGTCCGAATAATATTTAGGTACTATAATTAGAAAATATAATTTATAAAATCTCATTCTTAAAGGGCTTGCTATTGTTGGAATATATTTACTTTATTTAGTTAAATATTAGTATTATAACGTTAATAAATATATACTTAACCGAAAAAGTAAATATTTTAAAAAGCCGGATCGCGAATACGAATTGCGAAAAGTAGTCTACGATTACTAGAATATAATTTAGGCCCTTTGCAGATATTGGGTAGATTGGTCCTATAAAGTTTATTTTTAGTAATATTATTGGTTAATATACGGTAATATTTTGGGGAAGCTTTTTTTATTTGCGTTTCGAATATTGTTAATAGATTGGATAATTCCGATAGTAATTGATTATATTTATTACTCTAGTCGGCTACTAGAACTAACTTTTGATTTTCTTAAATATAATTTCTACTATATAGTAGCCGTATCCGTCGTATAATCTCCTTAATAATTTTGGAATTTCCTCCAGTATTAAATATTCTGCGTAGGTTTTATTTAGTTCTACGCGCTATAGTTTCTTTTATATAATAACAAATTTGTTCGAACGGTTCCTAAGTTTCTTTTTTTCGGTTTTCGATAAATATTGGATACTTTTTGTACTTTGAGTGAGAAGCGCTATTGTATTTTTATATTATTTTCGGCTCTTTTCTCCTTTGTATTTATTAGCGACTTTTGCTTTCGGGTTTGGGTAGAACGGTAATACTATTTCCCCTTCTAATATATTAATATCCTTATCGACGTCTACTCTTCTTATGAATATTATTTTTCGGATTTTAATATTTTGTAATAATTCTATAGTTAGTTGGTCGTATAGTTTTGGTAAAATTTTGCTTAGTTTGTTTGCGATTTGGATGATTTTAATATATTTGGTTTATAGTAAAACTTTATATTGAATTTTGAGATTACGTCGATCTATTTTACTACTTTAGAATATGTAATTTTTTACTCCTTTATTGTTTTAATAATAGAGGCGTAATCTGTATAAATGTGAATTGGGTATTCTAATATTTTTATAATTTATTAAATTTCCTTTAGCGCTTTTATTACTACTAGTATTTCTCTCTCTAGATTGGTGTAACGTGTTTCTATATTTTATAGTCCTACGGATAGAAATAGATTAATTTTAATATTACTCTAGTGCTTTTTCTATTCGTAAGTCGTTAAAGGGTTTTTTTTTGCAATTTGAAATATTCTTACTCCTAATCCCGTTGTTGATACGTCGATTGTAATATAAATATTCTTTTTATAATTCATTCCGTATAATATATTTTCTTGTATTATTGTATATAGAATTCTTATTGCCTATTGTTATCTCTCTATTCATTTTGGCTTTTTTTTCTTCACCTATTCTTTTTAAATTAAGATTCCGCCTAATGATATTGTTTTAAATATTTTATTGTAAAATGTTTCTTTTAAAATCCTTACTAAGTTTGCTCTCTCTAGAATGTACTTCTGTACGAAAGGTGTTGAATACGTTAGGTCTTTTATTTCGTCCTAGGTTTTTAGGAGTGTCTTTTCCTAGTAGTCCGTTTATTTGCAAAATTTTTGATAATATTTTTCCGTTAGAACGATTTTTCCTTCTTCAATATAAAAACCTAATATTTCCGTGTGATTTATGAAGAGTTGAGTTTTGTCTAGTAATAGCGGAATTGGGCCAAAAGTTATTTTCGGGAAGTATTTTTCCGAAAGAAACTATAGGTACGTTTAGAAATCCTAGTTAGTAATATAGTAGTCGTCGATATAGATAGATATAGTACTTCTAATATTTTTATTAAATCTTAAGATTAATAGTTCCGTAGGAAAGAATTCTACTCTTTCTCCTACTTCTCTGAATTCTTTGATTTTTTCCTTAGTTTATTTTAGGAGTCTTCCTAGTATTTAATTTTGTTCGTTATTTACGGTATACTGGCTTATTTTCCTAAAATCTTCTATTAAGTTTCTATAATATTTGTAATATTAGTAATTAAGAGTGGTAACTCTTAGGGGAAGTATACCGAATATTAAGTTACTAAGTTTCGTATATATTATTATAGCGTTCTTTATTCTTTAGGGTATACGCTTGTAATAGTATACTTTGTATAGTATTCTTATTTTTGTGGTATATTAATATTTTAGTTATATTCTGATTACCTAATAGCTATTTTTTGCGTCGGCTTTTGATATAATTTCTATTTTTCTGATAAGAAGGTCGTTTACCGACGCCTCTATATTATAGTACGGGTACTTTGATTTAATAGTATTTCCATTAACTGGCCGAAAATTGTAAATAGTACGATATTTTCCGGGTTCTTTATATTTAGCTTTAGGGGGTACAATATATTCGTTACGTAGGAGGATTCTATTTTAAAGATTATCCTAACTTCCTCTATTATTAGGAATATCTTCTCTACGAAATTATACTAGTCTTTAGAATAGCGTATCGGCCTAAATAGAATTAATTTTGTATTTAGAACGAGGTTAATTGCGTATTTTACAATATTTATTTTGGAAAAATCTTTTAACGAAGTGGCGAAATAATTCTTCTAAGTGTGGTAAAGTTTTTTTACTAGTTCTACTTTTTTTAGTATATTAGTTTATTTATTTATTAAAATGTTTATTTCTTACTACTAAATATTAATATTATTTATAAGTTCTGATAATACTGGCCTATTTTTGGTATATTTTTAGATTTTAAAGGTATTTTCCTTACTTTTATATTTCCTTATATATAACCCTAAAGTTTTAACTTCTATTTCCGAGAGATTATTTTAATAAAAATATTCTATCTTTATCGTTTAGGTTTAGTTAGGATAGGTCTTTTATTTTAAATTCGATTTTTAATTCCTAATTAGAGTAGAGGGTTAATTTAGGGAATGAGGATAGTACTTTTTGATGTCTTTCGATATTAAAACTATATTTTTGAATGTAAGTGCGGATTTAATAAAGTATAGATTGCGTTGGATTTTCTTCCCTTTAGTATCATTACTATAATATATTAGCGATAAATAAGTTTTTTTGCTGCCGCTGCCTAGTAATATTTAGAGATAGAATTATTATTTTACTACTGGCTTCCTATATTTACGATTCTGAACGTAAAGTCGATTGGTAAAGAAGCTTCGAATATTGAAGAAGACTTTCTCGGATTTTCGAAATAAGGTTTCGGAATATTTTTAACATTCCCTTCTTTATAGATTATTTTAAATATTTTATTAAAATAAGTCTTAATTCTTTTTAAAATTACAATAAAATAATTGGATTAGTATAATTGGAAATTCCTTAGTAATAATAATGGAGGTTTAGTAATGCGTAGTAATAGAAGTCGGTGTTCTTTTAGACTTTTTACCGTTTTATATTGTAAAGTAATTACAGTATTCTTTATTATTAATTTTATAGAGTAAGAGGAAATTTGTTTTTCGTTTATGGATGATATTGTATTAATTAATAAAATTCCTCTACTAAAATATTTTTTTGCGATTTAAAAGTAAAGTACCGGAATATTTTCCGATTTTTTCGTTTGGGCTTAATTAGTAAGAATCTAATTAGAAAGGCCTAAGCTTTTCCCTCTTCGTAGTAATTAATTAGATTAACTAAAATATTTATATTTAATTAATAAGTTCCATTAGAATCTTCGTTTTCCTATTCTTTCTCTTACTATTCCGCTACTTTAGAAATCTCTTCTTTATAATTATAGAAAATCCCATCCTTTTTATTCTTAATAATATTAGCTAAGGTATTAAAATGTACGGATTTAATTATTAATAATGAGATTGATTTTATATCCTTATAGTTGTCGCCGGGGGGGGAGGATAGTATACTAATTCTTTCTTTACTTTATAGCAAAAGGAACGGAGATATTAATACCTCTTTTACCCACAATAGATAGAGTCTTTATCTTCTAATTTTATACCACATTAATTCTTAATATCTAACTCTAGGATAAAACTAGGTCGCATGCCGAATTATTCTTGTAAACGATAGTGAAGACTATAGTTATAATGCTTCCAATTACAATTTCTACAATTATATAAGAATTTACCGAATTTTAAGAGTTATTCGCTAACGATATTATTTAGGGTTTTTCGAATTTTTTAAGCTGAAGGCTTAATTTTTTAATTATAATTAGGCTAATATATTCGGTAGTTATTCCGGAGTTTAGTATAAGAAAGTTAGAATAAACCCCATTAATTTTCCCTTTAATAAAGTTAATATGAACTTTTCTGATATTTTTAGTATTATTTATAATATTATTTACTATTCCTTTACTTTCTTTTTCTATTTAAATTGCATTTCCTTCGAAAATCGCCTTCTTAGCCGCTTTTTTCTTACTTTTATTTCTATAGGTATTAAATATGAAAGAATTTATAAAACTAGTACGAATGCGCGAAATTACGTTAAAAATTTATAGTATACTTATTAGTAAAATAATTCCCGCTAATACTTTTACTATATCGAACGGTTCGAGATTTAATTATTCTATTGCGTTAATATAGTTACGAGGATGTCTTTTTGTTAAAATCTTTTCAGTTTTATTTAATAAGGTTTGAATATCTTTATTTATAATACAGATTTCAGTAGGGGACGGAGAGGACTTTTTTAGGATAATTTTAATAATATTCCTATCCTTCTTTATAATAATATCGTTATTTTTCTTTTTTATAATTACTTTTTTAATATTTCAATCCTTCTTTATAATAATATTCTTAGTATCCTAATTCTTTTCTCCCTCTAAATTCTTAGTAAATTTCTCTCTTATTATCGGCTTTTTAGTTAGGAGTATTTTCTTTATTAGTTTGGTAATTTTGGACGTTATTTTTGGCGTATTCTTTAATTTCTCCTTAGTTATAGAAGGAACTACATTAAGCGCGTTATGAAATCTTTTAAGGATAGTTTCCTCTAAAGTATCGTTATTATTAAGATTTATGTTAGAACTCTTTGGAGTATTTTCCTTCTCCGACTGAGAGTTCTCTACTCTTTCTTGCTCTTATAAAAGTTTTTCGGCGCTTCTTACGGTTTCTTTAAGGCGTACTTCTTTAAAAATATATAATTTATACTCTTTATTCGTATTACGGTTAACGAGTTTATTTAACACTTTAACCTATAGGGTACGGAATTATCCTATAATATTTTTTATTTCGTTATTAGATACCTTCTATAAAAATTGTATTGTCTATTGTATAATATTATTATTTAGGGCTTAGGGTTGAGTATTTTAAGGAGGTTGTACGTTCTAATTCTAATTATTATTTTAAATTTACTATTGGTTTTATATTTACTGATAGTTGGAGTTATTACCTCATTAATTATTATCCTAATTATATTAATTCTTTAGTTCGTTAAGTTAATTCCTACGATATTAAATATCCTAGATTCTTCTTTTCATAATATTATTACGCTTCTTTTAATTTGACGTTTACAGTTAGGAATATTACCAATTATAATAGTCTCCTTTAATAAATCTATAATTGTTATAGAAATAGACTTTATTAACCTAATTGCTATAGTTATTACAGGGTCTACTATTATTACCTCTACGGTTATTATATTTTTAGTTAGTATTTATATGATATGCTAAAATAAATTGAGTTTGGTAGGGGATTAAAGTTGATAATATTAGAATATTATTTACGAATTATTTTCCGACTTCAAATATCGTCTTTAATTCTTTTATTAGGAACTTTATATTGCTTCTACGAGTATAATCCTCATCGTCTTTATTGGAGAGGTCTATTATAAATATATCCTCCTAGACGGCATAAGATTTAAAAGCTTATTTAATTTGTACGAACGTAGCATTGAAGGTCTGCTCCTCTCTATTATTAAAGGTGAGGCAATTTATATTAGATAATTGATCTTAATATAAAATTGGAATGTTTTATTATTATTTTCGGTTATATTAATACAAATTACGCTTTTAATGATTTTTATGTTGAAAATATTATATATACCCGCTATTTAAATTCTAATCCTTAAATATAATTTCTCCGCTCTTTTAAAGTATATATTAATATTTTCCTTATTTTTTCTTTGAATATTTAAGAGTTCGTTAATAATTATTGGGTCCGATAATAGGCAGTTGGGGAAATGAATTTTGAAGGTAATAGAGATGAGATTTTTTATAATTTTATTAGGTTCGTTAATTTCGTTATTCTATTAAATTTTTGCGTTTCCTTTTAGGCCTTTTTTGAATTGAGATTTTTAAACAACGAGTTTGGAGGCGTTGTTTATAATATTATAAAATAAGAAGTTAGCCTTTAGGTCGTCTAAGTAATCTCCGGTATATTCCCTATAGCAGCCTAAGAATGAGGGCTAAGAGAGGTTTAATATAATAAAACGAATGTTAAATAGTGTCGGTATCGTAATTTTAATAGTTGTTCCGTCTAATAGAGGAGAGTCGGTTGGGCTTTCTAAATTAATAATTATTATTTTATTTAATAGGAATTGATACTCTAATTATTCTAATTCCGTTTTTATATTGGAAAAGAGATATACTTTTCCAATAAAGTCGTATTGGTTGAAGTTGTACTAGTTAACGCTGGTTGCATTTAGTTTTTCGTAGAGAGAAAAGTAGTCGAAATATTCTAAGCTTAATAGAAAATCTATTGACGTATATTACAGGGATAAAGATTCTAGTTTTGGAAAAACTTTTTACTCGTTTTCTTAAACCGTTAGCGAAATAAATGAATCTAATTGAGGGAGGATTTCTTACTCTTCTTCTAGGAATACGGAGGTAGTAAAAAAATATTCTATTTCTCTATTATTATTATTTAAATATTTTAATTTAGCGATGTAGTTAGAATTTATAGTTCTTAGAGTAGAGGGAAAATGCTTGTGGAATGAACGTAGTGCGGGGTTTCTACCCTAGCGCTGAAAAAAAAATTCGGTATAATTTGGAAAAAAAGAAAATGCTGAGTTTTTGGTATGCCCTAATGATAAATATATAAAATATAAAGAAAGGTGGGGTATTAAATATATTAAAATGCCTTGTAAGTATAGTGGTGTCGTTTATTATCGAATTGCCCGTTAGAGTGCATTTACTGAAATCCTAAGTTTATAAGTATAGAAATAGTTGAAGAAAAGAAAAGGAATTGCTAAGTTTACAAATATTAGAATATATAGATTTGTCGAATCTAAATTAAATTATTAAAACGAGTTTAAAAGTACTTTCGAGAGAAAAGGTATAAGGCTTCTATTACCCTAGATTGTGTAACGGGAGGAAGATAAGATGACTAGTGGGAAGAAGACTAAATAATTGGTAGGAAGAAGGTTATTGGTCTTCTGTCCAATATTAAAAAGATAAGACGAAATTAATAAAGTAATTTATTTAGGATAGACTTAGAGTAGATTGGAGTTTAATTCGATATATTAAGGAGGGTATGGAAATGATTCTTTAATATTATTTTAATATCGTATATATGTATTTTAAACGCTTAATATTTGCTAAATTACTAATTTTCTTGCTGCTGACTGGAATGACTGGCCGTTTTGGGTAAATGATTGGAATCGCTTGAAAAGATTGAAAAGAATTGGAATAGATTAAAAAAGAATAACCGGTAGTAAAGGTTGAGACTTTACTACGATCTGGTGATATTGTCTACTATGAAATATTGGAAAACCCGAATGTTTGATTTGGCTTGACTAGAAAAGAGGAGAAACCCGGGAAGAGGAGAGCTCCCAGATCTCAATGACTATGACCACTTTTCCCAGACTCTCACGTGATTAGGAAAAGTGGGTCTCACGCGTCTATCTAGCGCCTGATCCGTGCTTTGCTGCAGGCACGCTGGGCCTTGGCACTTGCAGGTCCCGGAATTTACCCCACGTTTCGTTCATGGTTGTCCGTCAAGGTCCACACTGGGGGAGCTTCCAGACCTTGACTTCAACTTCTTCTTGTCCCCAAACCAAACCATCACCGGCGCATTCGAGAAGTTAGCAGCAACGCCGATACATTGCGAACAATCAATTGGACTCATCACGATATATATACCGATAATAGCATACGCATCACCATCAGCGCTTCGATTCGACAACTTCACGTCAACATGGACAACAACGCCCAGCCCCAAGGGCAGCAACAGCTCCTATCCCAGATGGACATCGACATCCACGAACCCTTCACAACCGCCGAGCACATCCAACAACTCAGCAACATCGACAACGTACGTTATTTCCTTCCCTTCTCCCTCCTCCCTGCTCTTCTTCCATATTCCTCAACTAACCCCCCTCTCCTCCTACACAGGACATCGTCTCCCTCCTCGAACTAACCTCCAACGCCCTCCGCTGCCTCGCCTCCCCACCACCCACATCATCCGACCAACAACAAACCGAAGCCGACCAACAAAAACAACAAGCCCAAGACCAAGAAGACGCAACAACCCGCTTCACCCAAATCCAATCCACCTTCCTCTCCACCCTCGACTGCGTCGACAAACAACTGCGCCGGCAGATCTACGCCATGGAAGAAGCAGGCATCATCAACCTGCGCTCTTCCTCTTCCAACCCCGCCAACAACCCCGACGGCTCCGACGACAACACCGTAGTCGGCGGGGAACCAAACGCCTCAAACAAACCCGGTGGTTACGCCGCCGCTTCAGCGCCCAAAAACCCCGGCGAATTGACAAGGCCAGCCAAGATCGAGACGCACCGCGGCGCGAAGTGGGTGAGGCCCGTGGTGACACGACTGGACCCCGATGGCGTGGGCAGGTATGGGAATTTGGATGTGGGACGGATGAATATGGCTATTGATACTGTGGAGAGGGATATGGAGAGGGAGTTGTGGGTGAGGGCGAGGGAGCATGCGGAGAGGGTGGTGAGGGAGAAGGGAATCGGCTCTGGTGTTGGGCCGCTTGGTGGTGGTGGTGGTGGTGGTGTGATCAAGAAGGAGGAGGGAGGAGTGGATCGGATGGATGAGGATTAGAGATCCCTTCCCCTTTTTGGTGCTGGTGGTGCTGGTCGTTAAGGAGGAGCGAGGAGCGGATCAGATGGATGAGGACTGGTTATCTGAATACGAGGAATTCTTGACGCCGCCTGGGTCTCACTGATATACTCGGACGTTGCGAGAGATGGCAGGAGCGAGCTGCAGGATTCGTACGACAGGTGGCTTGCTTGGTTGGTTTTTTCGGTGCATGTCTATCTGGAGTTTGGGACTTTGACATATGGTTAGACTTGGCATTGGTACTTGGGCGTTAGGTCGTTGCTCGAGTGAGCTTTACACAGGGTTGATGTTGGTTGGGCTATAAAAAGATGTTATCGCATGCAGTTTGTACATCAGCGGAATTCGAATTTTCAATGAAGGTCTGTGAAAGAAGTCCAATATGATTATAACTGAAACTATAAGCAGGAAAGCCCTGTTCATCAACCAGTCAAATTGCCCATCATTCTAACGAACCACCAAACCAAACGAAATATGTACGAGAAACCCGATTACCTTCAGATAACTGGCACCATCACTCGTCCACTAAGACTAAGAAGCCCTTCCTATCTTTTCACTTCTCAAGGCTCGGCGCGCCTCCAGGCTTATAAGGACCTCTATGCTCCCCAGCCGCCCAGAAATATCCGAAATACTTCAATGGCCGAATGGACTTCTAGGCCGTGGAACCCTGGCACCGTCTGTCGTAACCACCCGCCCCGACAGTGCCGTTGCCGCCCGGAACGAAGATGGACGGGTCGATGCTGTTTCACGCACGCATGCTGTTAGATACTGCCTTGTTTCAAGTGGATGGGTGAAAGGGGCAGGCCAGCAAGAAATAAAGGGAAGGAAAAAAAAATCGTACATGTCATCAAACAAAACGCAGTTGATATGCTCGTTTGAGTCGTTGATGTCAGCTATTTAAATTAGTTAGCAAGTCAGTCCGCCAGTCCTTAACAACGAAAGCGGGGTTTCAAGATGATGGAAAGAAAGATAGAACTTAGACTTACTATACCACAAAAAGTAACTCTTGCACTTATCCCCCGCCGCGTTGCAAGTATACTGGCACTTGAACGCGCCGTACGGGTCGGTGTGGTGGGTGTAGGGCATGTACTATTTTTTTTTATCAACTTGTCAGCTTTCACTCAATCCCCAGTTTTCATTCACTCCCCATCCTTTCTCCCCTTTCTCTTCCCCGCGACTCCCGGGGCTGAGGATGACATACATGCGGTCCACTCAAATAATGCTCATCCCACCAGCTCTTCTTGACTGTGTACGAAGTCCAGTTGAGGTTCGAGGCCGGCGCGACGAGCGAGTAATCGGCGATGGGCAGGCTGCCGGGCGAGGAGCCGGTGGCGGGGGGGCCGTTGATGCAGGTGGCCTTTTTGCCCGAGTTGGAACTGGGGAGGGGGTTGGCGTTGGCCGCGGTGGGGAGGAGGGCGGCGGTCGCTGAAAGGAGGAGGGTGATGTTTTTGAAAACGGAGAGGGCCATTTTTGAGGGTGGAAAGTCGGATGGTGAAAGGTGGAGGGAGGTGTTGACCCGGAGTCGGGTGATGGTGATGTGGTGATTGTTTGAGCTCAGAATAGGTGAAGGTTTGCGTTGAAGCTTGCAAAGCTGTTAGGGAAACGATGGCCAATATAGTACTAGGTTGGTATTAGGTTGATGGTATGGTTTGAATATTAGGATTAGCTCGGCTTCTTGAGATGTAGGTGAGTGAGTAAAAGATTTGGTGCGCTGAAACAAATCTCCTTGGTTTAGGTTTTGCAAGGCAGCAAAGAGGAGAAGGAAGGAACGCTCGACGAAGAAAACGTTCCTTCCTGGGAGATGAACAGTTTAACAGCCCAAGTAATTGTTTCTTCGTCGGTCCCCTCTAATCCACGTCATCGAGGACACCTACAAAATGTCGTTACAGAAGTTCAGCCCTAATCTCAGAAATGGAAATGGAAAGAACAGTCGAAGCATTCTCCCATCTTCCAGCTCGTCCTTCGGGAACAAGTTCGTGTAAAGCAGATAGGTTGCCTCTTTCCGCCTCGAAGCTCAAACATGGAAAAAGGATCCCGAGACGAACTTCCTTCCTCCCTTCTAAACACTCACTCGCAATTTCAGCCAGATCTGCTTCCACTTGCCACCTCAAACCCGATTCTGATATTTGCCGTCCGGTAAAAACAATAGTAACAAACACACCACCACCCATCCTACCATCCGAGACACGCAAGCAAGCATCACAAACCCGAACCTTCAGAATATCAGACAAGGCAAAAAAAACAAAAAGACCCGAGCACCTAGTGTGTCCTCGACGCGAACCCGTGCTACATGAAAATGCAACCTCCCGCTTGTCAAGACGCAGGAACCAGATGGTGTGGTGAGACACCAAGACACTTTGGACAACGTGTTGACGACGCAGCTTTTTCACTTGTGCCTCCGTTATTCGTTGTATGTGTGCTTAGCTTTGAGAGGGGAAGGGGACTAAAGTGAAGGATGTGGGATAGGTGGAATATGATTTTGATTGATGGCGGGGAGAGGTTGCGATATGAAATCCAGATTAGCCGCCAGCCATCAAACAGAAGAATCTTCTTGAACTGAAACGTTGCAGAGCGTAGATGAAAGATCTGCAAGCGGTTGAGGGGAAGACATCCGGTAATGATTCAATATGGGGGGGTTCACCAAGTAGGCAATCATCTGGAGTCGCTGATGAATTCTTCACATAACTGAGACCTGTCAGCCCATCTGTGATTGCTTGTACTTACCTACATCGAGTAGAAGCAGGCGACATCCGGAGATCCAGACCGATAAAGACGGTGAGACATCAAGACGGGGAGCACCCCATCCGGTCCTCGTGCAACTTTACCTCAGTAGAACCAGCAGTTTGACGTCTGTGGAGCGACTTGAGATATGAGTCCAAGGTAGATCGCTGTTCGAGTCGAATGGAACACTTAGTTGCCACTTCCTGGGTTAACACCATTTCTTCAGGACACAAAGCAAATGTCGATGTACACGGTGGAAAATGGAACAGGCAGTCTCTTCGATCAAGTTAGTAATGACCATAGGCTGGGTAAGATATACACATGCCATGTAAGAAAGAAAGCAACACCAACCAATATCCCATGCCAGCAACTTCCCCTCCTTCACTACGTCACTTCATTGACCATCCGTTCAAACCACCACCTTACACAATCTTAAACGCCTTCCTCCCTTCCACCAATCCCTCAGAAAACTTCGTGACAGCCGCCCAGCTCGGGACAAACTGCAACGCCTCATCCAACGCCGGAATGGTTCCCGGGGTATTCGCATCGCTCCACATACAAATCACAGTTCCATCGCTCTCCTCGCCGCCCTTCCTGGTCTCCCCGCCCTTCCACTCCGCATTCACAACCCACGTCTTACCAAACTCCCTGTGCCAGAGCTTAACCAGCCCCACTCCATCCTCAGGGTACTGTCCGAAGCGATCGTCCCAGCCGGAGCCATCCTCGATAGTCAACGCCGACACAGGCTTCTTGAACTGCAGGAAGCACGACTTGGTGTTATCAGCCGTGATCTCGATCCGAGCAGTGATCCTTGGGGAGTCGCCGCTCTTGGTGCTGCGCGTGGCGTTGATGGTGATGAGGTCTGTGTAGCTGTCCTCGGGAAGGCCTTCGTCATCTTCGCTTCCGAGCTTGGGTGGGACCGCGGATCCGTCGAAGCAGCATGTTGATAACGTGGGACCACGACGGAGGGACTTGCCACAGGTGACTTCCCGTCCGGATGCGGAAGGGAGCTCAGCAATGATGGGTCGGACGTACTCCTCGATGCCCGTGTAGCAGACCTTGTTCTCGCCGGTGGCGACGTCAATATACTGACCGAAGAAGGTCTTGTATCGGTTGTTGGCGGAGAAGGGGAAGGCGACGAGGTTGTAGGTAAGGGTGACGATAAAAACCACAAGTAGGAACACAGGGATGTGATGGGTAATGCGGTGGATGAAGGGCGTGAGAGGAAGAATAAGCAAGACAGTGAAGAGGAAGATCATCAGGTAGGGCGTGAAGAGGTTGCTACCGTCTGATCCGGTCTGATATACTGCGTCGGTGAGCATGAGACCCGTCTGGGCTGCAAGGATGATCATAAAGGGGCCCAGCAACAAGAACTGGAAGAACCATGCCCAAGAAGGCAGGTGTCCAGACCATTCTTGCTCGTGATCGTACGGCTCCCCATCCTCTTCCATCTTCCGGGCTCCGTGTACCAACGCGGTGATAGAGCGGCGATAAGTAGTCGCAAACGTAGTACGGCCACGATCATTGGTGCCATTACCGCCAACGAGCGGTGTCCGCTCAGTCGGTTCGTCGTCATCTTCCGATTCGTTTCCGTCCCGGGATGCAGTAGAAGAAATAGGAGCGCTAGGAGAACGGCCAGGTGTGGGCGTCATGGGCGTCATGGGAGCAGGTTGTGGCTGTGAAGAATGTGCGGCAACCGAAGGCGCAGTCGACAATCCATTAGTAGTGCCGGCCGGCGCGGTAGGCTTGCTCGGTTCCTGAGCAACCGTGGGCGATGGAGGGGAAGCAGCAGAGGCGGATGATTCAGCCCTGGCCCTTGAAGATGGTCCATCGGCACTATCCCGGTATCCCTGGTATCCGTTATGATCATGATCGTGACCGTCATAGTCTTCCTGCACTTGCAAGGCGTACGAAGATTTCCTCGGCAGAGCCAAAAGCTCAACGAAAGTGATCAGGCACGACAAGAAGATAGCCGACTCGAGGAAAACAAAGATGTAGCCGGCCGCGATCCTACGGCGGTCCTCCAAAGCGGTGACGGCGACGAGAACAATCCAGCCAAAAACGAAGAGCCACAGGTTGGCGTAGCCGCGGTGAAGAGCGCTAGGTCGGACGAAGTTGGCGCCGCGCATGATCATCCAGAAAGAGAAGTAAAAGATAGACACCATCATAGCCCATCTAAAACAATTGTTAGCTCGGATAACATCTGAACCAGGGAACCACGACTTACACAGAATAACGGCTGCTGTAGACAATCAACGGGTTGACCTTATTCATCAAAAGAGCCGAGCTGATGGTCACGAAGACAGCGACACCCAGAGCAAAGGGGAACCGGAAGAAGCCCTTCCATCCACCAATAGGAACAGCTTCAAATTCGGGATGCTCCTTAGTCTTGACCGTGGAGGTGAAGAAGTAGTCCTTGTCGAGGTTGCGAAGAAGCCAGGTGATGCCGACCAAGATCAACGGAGTCACAATCAGAAGAGTAAGCGACCAGGCAAACATGCCGCGCAAACTGAAGAGCACAAAGCTTTTGCCAAAGAGGTCAAACCACACTCCGTTAGAGGGACGACCGTTGGCAACCTTTCCGTGGGCTTTATCTGGCCTCTGGCCGATAAATTTGTTGCCAGTGTCACCGGAAAGTTGCTTGGTCGTGTGGATAGATGCTGACAGCATATGCCAAAGACTTTCTTTGGAAGCGTGCCGAGTATCGTCCTGGTTGGTGTGATATCTCGCACGGGGCTTGAAGAAGGCCAGATCGATTCCACGCTGGCCGTAAGCATCGACGAGCACTGAGTAGTCGGTACCGCTAGAGATGAAGCCCAGGGCGAAAGCATCAGATGCAATCACAGTACCGAAAGGGTGCGATGTCCTAGCATACGCCGCCATAACCTCGCGATCTGTGGCACGGAACACTATGGCCCTGCCTCCAGCACCGGCGCCTTCGACGTTCAAGAAGGTATGGATAAATGGGTTCAGCTTGTGCTGGCCGAGAGCCCTGGCGCCGTAGAGCCAATCTTCCTCGCCGTTGTTCAACATGACCACGATGCCGCGCTGGGGTTGGTTGCCCGGGGCGGTGAAATACTTGAGGACTTGCAAGCAAGTCACGACTCCCATGCCATCATCGGTGGCACCAAAGCCAGTTGAGACGCTATGAGATGTCAGTTTTTGGCGACTTGTTGCACAAAAACCTGGAATGAACTTACGAATCGTAATGGGCATTGACCAAGGTGAGACCCTTCGCATTGCGTCTCATTCCATGAACGGAATCGGCCTCCCACCACTCACCTTCATCGTCCTCCTTACCGCGGATGTAAACCAGGATGTTGGTACCCTCGAAGTAAGCGGCACTATTAATCGACTCCGTACGGGTGAAGGTAGTCCCATTAGACTTTCCCATCACAAAGGTGGAATTCGACACATTGTCATCGAAGACGGTGACTGCTGCAGACTTGCCGTCCTTTGCAGCGGTCATTTGGCTATGAGGAGATAAACATGTTATTGGTCTTCTGGTTCAGCCGTTATAGAAACTCAAGGCCAAGACTACTCACCCATCAAACACCCAGCTAGCGCCATTTCCCTCCAAGATGGTCTCGACCTTTTCCAGCAGATATCTGCGCACCTCCTCGTTGAACTTGCTGTTGTACGGGTGGTACGCTCTGGTGATGGTGGTGAGGTCGAGCCAGGCCTCGGTGAGGTTGACACCCTTGAACGGTGTGGGCGTCTTAGGCGCCGCCGGTGGTTCCTCGTTGATGATGACGATGGGTATCAGCAGGGCCAGGTAGGTGAGCGTGGTCCAGAAGGTGACCGGGCCCGGCCGGAAGGATATGGGATTGATCATCGGTTCGAATGATCGCGCACGGGAAAGATCCTGTGCTCCTCAAAGACTGGGTGGAGAGTCTCGTGTAAATGACATGAAGGATACGGTAATTTGGAATCAAGACGCCAAACAGAGTTGAAGCTGTATAGGTAGTTGAAAGAATGTCAAAGCATGTAGGAGAGGGACGATGCTGCTGCCAGTGGATGAAGCTGGACAGGATGCGTGACAAAGTGCGGAGGCGATAACGTGAGGTGGTTGGTGGATTGTGAATCCCGAGATGCTGCTGAATGAACGACGTGTTGAGCTCGAGTTCTGGTCTCGCTGGAATACCAAAGTTCCACGACTGGGCTAACACAGGTACAGATCTGAAACGCAATTCCACAACAACATTCGATTTCTGATTATCTTGCCGTCGATATTCGGATTCCAGGTGTAAACTAAAAAGCAACAAGAACGGTTCAAAGTGAGGATTCGAGGATAAGAGGGCGTCGTTGTGGAAGAGGGGTTGGATGGACGTTGCCAAACAAAGCTAGCACCAGTAGCAGGGCAGCGGGAAGCTCTACAGGGTTCTCGAGGCAAAACCATTGGTCCAAGCTCCCTCCCTTCTTCCTTCTCCCATCCCAGAGCATGTCGTCAGCTCTTTCTTGACTTCCACCTGTGAACGACAAACAGGCCGCCATTGCGACACCAAGAGCTCTTCTAGCACTCAAGGTTCAATAGTAAGTTTTACGAGAGGTGCGACTCTGCTCAGTGCAGTAACGTGATCGAATGAAGCGCTGCATGGCAACCCAAAACGGAAACCACCATGACGACTGCATATGTAAGTCTTAGCGTGTAATGTTTCTGTTTTGATAACAATGCAGGTGGAGAAACGGTGTCACGTTCGTAACGGTAATGGTAATAGGAAACGACCTCGAAACTCTTGGGTGCGAAATTAAGAATGAAGCATCAGCAACCAGTTAAAGATATGGTCTATACACAGTTGGAGCTTTTTTATAATATATCTTTGGGACGGTCTCCTGGAATCCCTCTTATTCTATGTAGTATTAAACCCCTTTTGTCCAAGGAACATGAGACTGTATGCCGGAGGTTGATGTGGCTTATACATCACGCCAGACTTCTCTGTATCTTGCCCACTTTTGAAATCCTAAGAGAAAGTTAGCAGAAGATCCCTCAAAGCGGCAGAGTTATTTGCTGACCCATAGACTGAAATCCCTCCTCGCCTCCTTTCATTGCGTCAATGAACATCTTTTTCAATCCTTGCTGGGCAAATCTGTGGACGCAACTGTCAAGAAGCCTAAGCATGACGGCATCTCTCCCCTTTACCACACTAGGGTTTTGATCTGGAAATTTCAAGTCATGGTTAGCATCCGTACAAATCTAGCAATCTGTCATTCGACCGACAACTTACCTGAAATGCAGATACATGTGACTCCGCCAACATCGTCTGATATCATTCCAGCCCACGGTAGATCCTCAAAAACTGGACTTCCCGTATTCTTGACATACGTCAAAGCCACCGCCACAATCGTTTGTCCCTCAATACCGAGCACGATATCCTCGATATTCATGGTGCCTTCCAGTTTCGCATATTGGTCGTACCAACCCATATTGTCTTTCTCCCTCGATTCCCTCTCCACAATCTCCATAACCATGTGGTACTCGCTGAATTCACATGGCCGAAATGTTAGTTCCGAATGCATCTGTGTGGTCGTCGGCCAGTCGTCAAACACAAGCAACCAGTCGCATGTTTCCTGGCCAGCGCCCGGTAGGGTGGACTGAGGCTTGACGGGCCAGTTGCGGCGAGAGAACCAATCCTCCGAGGGGTTTTCCATTGGAACTCCGTAAAACAAACGTGGAAATGTGCTTCCGAGCTGTAAACGACAAACTCCACGGGTTTTCCTTAGTTGGCGTGAAGCGTGGTCGTGCAAACTCAGTCCAATACCCCTTTGACGATAAGACGGTCGAACAAAAAGAGCGGCTAAAGAGCCAACCAATCTTTCCGAGTCGCTGCCAATGTATGTGGTATAAGTAGCACAGAATCCCAGTAGTTGGGTAGTCCCTGGCTCACGAACCACGTAATGCATCGCGTAGCCATCGCGGCAGAGAAGGGACAGGAATAAGGACCGAGTAAGCCGAAAATTGTCGGGAAAACACTGACACCACAGTTCATAAGCAGGGGAGACATCGCGGTGCTCATTCCATGCCTCAACTTGCCATGATTTGGGTGCTAAGATGAGATTTTGGACATTTGGGCCCGCTGTATGTGGCTGCTTGACGCTCCCGAGCATGACATCGGCTGCTGCTTCGAGCTCTGGGGGAGTGAAGCCAGAATTCTGAATGACCGTTGGGAATGAGCTCTCAAGGGGGCCTAGCCACCTAACGTTGCAACATGCCAACACAATTAGCGGTCGGTTTTCACATAGTGATCGTACCGTCTCAGCCAGTGCGACCTGCGGAGGTTGACCAAAGCAAGGCGGACCTGAGATAACAAACACAACTGATTTCGCCAACCTAATGTGCACGACATGAGTCCCAGTGATCCCATTCCTGGGGATATAAGGAACCTGCCGAACCCATGGGTGTTTCTTCGCCAGGGCCTTTCCGAGCGGTTCGAAGGGGTCACTGGTCGAGTGGCCGGTTTCGGGGTTGGGGGTGGCATAACGAGGAGCGACTGCCGGGGTCAGGAGCAATAGTATATCGCCGTCTTTTAGGGATCTTGAAAGGGGGAGATATGCTGGTGAGTCTTGAATCACAGTTGTTGCTTGATTGACGCCTTTAATCGCAGAAGATTGCTCAGAGGGCGCAAGAGGGTCGTGGATCGCGAGTCCCTGGTCCGAAAAATTTTGCGGGTTCATGGTTTTTTGAACCTGTAGTATTACCATGCTTAGCGAAAAAGATCGGTTGGACTGTCCGCGGTCTTGGGGTGATCTTAAGGCATTGATGACTGACAGACTTACCTCTTCTTTTTTGATCAGAGTCCTAATAGACCCAATGCAAAGTCCCCGTTCCTAGATTTTTATACGCTGATTCGGAGGGTTCGGATGTGTATATGCAACGTTATAAGGAAGCTCAAGCGGTTGGAGTTTCCCGCGAGCTCAACTTAAGCTATATCGTCCAGCAATAACGTTCAGCAAAGGTAGAAAGCAGCCCTGTGAAAGCTATGATGGGCACATAACACACAAGAGAAGGTCCGCCTCTAGCAGCGCTCGGATTCAAATCCGGGTCGGATTAGTAGCTCGTAAGGACCAATAGGGGGGACAAATTCAAAATCCGAACCAGGAAGCAAATTCGGTAATGGCAGGTAACAACGGAGCGGCTTCACCTTGTGTTTCCTGGTTTTGATACCGCGGTTGGGCTGAGAATTCTACCGGAAATGGCAAGAGACTAGGCTAAGCGCGATACCAAGCAAAGGGACAACCGAACAGGAATGGCAATTATGGGACTTTAAGGGAACACTAGCGCCTCTTTGTATGGGAGTTGGCTGACTGGGTTGATAATCCCACCAACGTCAGCAGTCCATCCATCCAGTCCATCCAGCAGGTTGTCCAGATAGGCGGAGTGGTTGTTGACATTGCAAAGATGTATATAGGAGTTGCCTGGCTTGAATGTTCTCGGGTGGTGCAGGTGTAATGGTAACACCATGATACCACCATCCACACGAGTGGGCGAATGGACCAGGCCGTTGCGGATATTCGCGCGTCTAAAGAGACACGAGGGAGAAAAGAAAAGATGAGGCAAGTTTTAGGGGGCCCGAGAACTTTGCAGGAGCATCTCTTTTTGCAGGGCAACAGCCCATTGGGTGACGACGAGCAGGCTATATAGCTCTGGTGTGCGCTGAGCAGCAACTGGGGTAGCACAAAGAACAATGCGCTGATATTGTATCAGGGCGTGTGATGCCACAATACTTGACACACCAAGACTGTGAAAAGAATGGTTTGAGAATTCGAACGAGAAACGCGAGGCCCTGCAGGGGCAGTGTTTTGCGATGCTCTCACCGACCCCCAAGGTCTCGCTCATTGCTCCTAGTTTGCCGACGACGGATGAGTCTGGGGGAGGGAGAAGAATATCATGGCAGGATTTCAGAACGGTATGGAAGCCCAAGCCCCCGATGATGAACTCGCACGGGCGCCGTAGTACCGGGCATCTTGGTGCTTGTACTCGGTGCCGGGGTGGTTTCCAGGGTAAAGAACACTATAGAATCTAGTCAACAGCATCGACAAGGGGTGGCTCGAAGCGCAGCCGGCGCCAACGCTGACCACCCACACAGACGAAGGAAAGGAGGGACAAACTTTTTTCGAGTCCACAGCAAGCTGGCTGAATGGAACGGTGACACGGCAGAGGGCATAGTACGTACCCATATCTCACTATAACCGCACCGGTCAAGAGGCAAAAGTCGAGATGATGCTGTGCTGCTAGGCTAGCTCTCATGATTTGCGTGCCAAGTCCGTCTATCTGGAGTCAGAGTGCCTTGTCAGGTCTGACGAGCCCGGTCTGGAGCCGGTGAATGCTGACACGAGGACAGCGGCAAATGGCACAGAGCATATCCGTCTCAACGTTCAGTCGCACCAGAAGCTTTGAATGATGACAGCGGGCGCAAAGGTCCGAGTTCGATTGGTTTCTGCGTGCAAGATATCGCCCCATCGGCTTGCTCTGATGCTTCTTCTTCTTCTTGCTCTTCTTCCTCTGGCCTCTTTGGAAATGGGCGCCTCTGTAACGATAGTTCGAGTTTTCGCTTCCAAAGGTGATCTCAACAGGAAGGTCGAGCAGTAGAATTGATCGAAGTCCATCTACCCGATGTTGATCCCTATCGTGTGACCATGAGCATCGAGTTGTGAATGAGGATCGAATCCGGCTTCTTCAGGAGAACGAGTGATTTCCAGTGATTCTCCCTGCAGAGACAAGGAAGGGTAACAGTGGGGGCCAAACTGGAGAGTAGCTCTGCAGTATACATAGAGGTAGGTAAGGTGCAGTGAGGCATCTTGAAAGATTCGGAAGGACGATACCTAGGTCAAAGTGACGGCAAATAGCTAGTGGTAGTTGAAGACGGGAGATTTGATGAGGCCGAGGCCGGGGAGAAAAGGATTGGAATCCACAAGGAGGACAGGCCAACGAGACGGTGACAACCAACAGCCCAGGCAGACGAATAGCAAGCAGCACCTCCACTCAAGAGGTAGGTCCATAGGTAAGCCGGGGCCGGATAGCGGGAGGAATGGTATCTCACAAGGCAGACGTCTCTGGTGTTTCGACTTGTTGCTTGTTCCGCATGACGATCTTACGGCTGAAAGATCCATTTGCTGGTACCTAGTAAAAAATAGCCTGACACTGGACGCTTACTGCAAGCTGACTGATGGTTGAACTCGTGATATGAATTGGGTTGCTGTCTCCCACTGTGTAAGGCGTTGCTGCATCGTGACAGTAGCCGCGGCCTGGTTGATGATAATCCGGTTCCATGGTGGGCGGGATTGGTGATGAGGCCAACCTGCTGACAACCGACGATGAGTGATAACGGAGAAAGTCAAGACCGGGCATGCAAAGAGAAACCTCCTTTCGGTGAAGGCAAGGTACCTTCCATATACAACACTCATTCCTGCCTCGACCTCCTGCCCAGGTCAGGTGCAAATACCCCGCCGTCCCCGCGAGTTGGAGGAGTATTGTATGCAGAATCGGTCTTTCCATGGTCGTAGCATGTCTTGTGTAACACAAAAACCGAGAGAGTTCCACCTCATTCTCCTGGGCGGGTACATTTGAGGCAGGAGTGAACGGCTTGACTTCCCTTGTCGAATCTGTCCGGGTGGTTCCAATAGTGCGTAAAAGTGGTGGAGAGAAAGTAAAACTGCTGACTGTCAAATGTGTATGAGCGTTAGCAATGTCGTTTCTGGCGCTTCATAAAAACGATTGAGGTGTTGACCACATCACTCAGCCCCGATCTGGCTGGACTTTTGTTGAATTGGGGAGAATGCGACCTGCATGTGCATAAACACATGAGGCGGCATAAATATTATGTCAGCAAGGGTTAAATCAGACGAGTGCACGAGCCACATCCAACCACCAGGTCGGCTGGGTGACGATTGTAACTCCTGGTGGGGCGCGCCGCGACGCGTCTCCCAATTAATTGTACAAAGTAGTACCTGCTTCAAAGACATGTCGCAACAAATCGTAATATTCAACGGCATGACATCGGATTAATTCTTGTTGCGGCGATTCGCAAAACCGGGTTGACAAAATGTCTTCCGTTGAAGGAGACCACAACACAAACGACACCAGTGTGAATCTCGGTGATCATGATCATGTCGGCGCTCTTCTGGATGACATCGAGGCAGGTACGCACTTCTCTTTTTACTCCTAAACAACAGATTTATTAATTCTCCTCTAGCCTCCAAAGTGCCGTCCAAACGCCGTCAAACCAGCATAAAGCCCACCGTCGAAAGCTTAACCTCGGTGCTCTACGACAGGGGTGCGTTGCCCGATGAGCTCGCCCGTCTGGTTGACCTGGTCACTCTCACCAACCATCTTGACCAGGCATCCAAGGGTGCCATCATAAAAAACCTGTATCCAGTGGGCAAGCTGAACAACGAGTCCGCCCTGAAAGTGGTTGGTGCTTTGGGCCATGGCCAGCTCAAGCCCTCCTTTCCCATCCAGAGTCTCCTTCTCAAGTGGCTGATCATGGTTTACCACTTGCTCCAAGATACCAGCATATTGTCCCAGACTTATGGTGTCCTCTTCAACCTCCTCGACACTGTCGCCATCAGGCCACAGCTATGTCATGTCTTGGCTCTCATCACACGACGAAAACACGTCAAGCCTTTCAGGATACAGACCATCCTGTCCTTGTCTAGGCAGACAGGAAATGACCCCAACCTAACGGGCCTCCTTCGAGTCTTCAAAAACTACTATCCGGAAATCATTGTCGGCGATGCTGCCAAGGGTCGCGCAGCTACCTTCAAGCACCCTGATCCGCAATGGCGAGCGAGGTTAGATGAGATCCAGCAACAACAAACAGAAGCTATCCAAGATGGCACAGTCAGAAATGGCTTCGCTGTCAGGTCTGCGTTTGGCCGCCAACAAAGGGGGGCAAAGGGCATCTTTATTCCGGCTGTGCATACCCTGCATGCTCAAGAAGTGAGTGTCGTCTTCCCTCTCGCAATCACTCTAACCAAACTAACCAACCCGCAGAACTCGGTCACTCTAGAAGAGATCAATAGTCCGAAATCCCTGGCTGAGAACCTGGAAAAGATCGAGCTTCCGACGCAGCTCGTGGCAGTCTTGGCAGACCCCCTCCTCCAGAAACTTCTGCTCCTACGGCCAGATGCCGAAGGTTTATCGCGTGTAAACAACTGGGTAACAGCCTGCCTAGACGATGTTCGGAGTGGAGATGCCGACCCAAGTCTGCTACTTGACATGATAGACATCATTCATGACTATGTTGCCAGCACAAAGGTTCGTATCAGAAAGCATTGTCAAGTATTAGCTTTGACTAACCCTGAAAGCAGACACTACCACCTCTCCTCATAAATTTCTTCCGAGAGTTTCTCCAAGTCTGGAACGGCAAAGACAAAAGGGAAACAGTCATAGAGACTCTAAGTTTCCTTCCACTGACAAACTTCAAAGGTAAATCTGAGCTTTTTCATCCATCCAACCCTTAAACAACCAACTCACCACGCACCACAGACCTCTACCAAACCCTCCTCCGACCCTTCGAATCCGTTCTCCTCGACAACACCCCCGAATCCCAACTCTCCCTCCTAACCTTCTACACCTCCCTCCTCCGACAATGGACCCTAACCATGCTCTCCTCCGACTCAACCACCCTATCCTCCTCCCCTGCTCCTCAATCCATCCCAGCCCTCATCGCCCACGTCAACACCCTCTCCCTAACCCTCACCCAAACCTCGCCCACCGTGCCCACCCACCTCCTCATCCTCGACTTCTACACCCTCGTCTCCACCCGCATCTTCTCCTCCCCCTCCTTACTCAAACACATCCCCATCACCATCCCCCCTTCCTTGCTCATCTACACCCTCCACTTCTCCCACTCGCTCGAAGTTGTCTCCCGATTGTGCGGTATCCTAGCCACCTACAAGCGCGCGTGGGAATCGATCATGGTCTCCACCTCCCCGTCCGCCAGACCCTTGTTCGCGGAGGAGAGACAGCAAATCACCACTTTCAACGCCTTCCTGATGGATCTGTGCAACGTCCTCTGGCGAGGGCGGGCCTTCGCCGTCAGCGACGCCAACGCCAAGGGATGCCTTGTGCCTAGAGCGCTGGAGGCGGCGCTGAGGGGGTACCTGAAGAAGGTGGAGCCTGATGGGGAGCTGGTGTTGGGTTCAGTGTTTGGACTGAGTCACAGTCCGGTGTTGTGTTTGCAGAGTATTTCTTTCTTGAGGGAGTTGGAGGATCGCGAGTTGGAAGGGGAGATGGATATCAGTGACCGCGGACTGAGGGCGAGACATGCGGGGCCGGTTACGCAGCAGAGTCTGGTGGCGCTGGCGGGGAAGGGAGGGTTGGAGATTAGTTGGCAGGAGTATAGGGCGGGGGTGTTGAGGTATTTGGAGGAGAGAGGGTTCAAGGGGGTGCCGGAGTTGATGTATAATACGATGAAGAACTTGATGAAGGGGAGGCAGTAGGCGTCACGGCATTGCTTGTTGTTAGTGGAGCATGTAGGGAGAGGTTATGGAAAAGGAGAAAAGCAGCCTGCAGCGTGGTTGGGTCGGTTTACTTTTTGTATGGGGGATATCCAAATATGTTCGTGTTTCTCGTATCGTACTAACAATCTCATCTTGCTAGCCCAAACCTCAATCGCTCCCATTGAAAACTCACTACCTCAACCCTACGCCGGGTAAGCAGCGCCATCACCTCTCATATCGCTTCCCGCCGACCACACCCCCGTCCCATCAATATCCTTTGTCCACCGAATAATCTGTCCCCTTCCAAACAACGCCCTCCCCATACCCTTCACAACCTCCACCTTATGTCCCAACTTCCTCAACCCCTCCACCGTCTCCTCTGGCATCCCCTCCTCCACGTACACCGTCGCATCATACACATCCCCCTCATCCGGCATTCCCGCCCCGATACACACCCTGGGGGCATCCAACGCCTGCTGCGGGTTCAACCCGCACAGCACCTGCCCAAGCAGCGTCTGCACATGTCCCTGCGGCTGCATGAACCCGCCCATGACGCCAAAGACCGAGTGCAGACTGCTATCCTGCAAACTCGTGACCAGTCCCGGAATGATCGTGTGGTAAGGCCTCTTCCTGGGCGCCAGAGCATTCGGGTGCTTCGCGTCCAGCGAGAAGTTGGCGCCGCGGTTCTGCAGCGTGAAGCCGCAGCCGGCGGGGATGATGCAGGTGCCGAAGCCGCCGTAGTTGGAGTTGATGAAGGAGATGGCGTTGCCTTGGGAGTCGGAGCAGGCAAAGTAGACGGTGTCGGAGGAGGTCAAAGCCGGCGAGGCGTAGGGGTCGCCCGGTTGCAGGATCGAGGTGTTGGCGGAGGATGAGGAGAAGAGCTTGGCACGCTCGGCGAGGTAGGGGGCCGAGATGAGCTGCGAGGTGGGGACGCCGGGAGCGACGTTGGGGTCGGTGACGAACCAGGAGGCGTCGGCGAAGGAGATGCGGAGGGCTTCGACGATGGCGTGCAGGTAAGGAGCGGTGTTGTGGTCGGAGGGCCCGAAGGCTGGGATGGTGCCCTGCTTGATGAGGTGCTTGAGGATTCCTAGGGCCATCAGGGCCACGATGCCTTGGCCGTTGGGAGGGTGTTCCCAGAGCTCGACGCCGTCGGTTTCGGAGGTGCCGTGCGGGTTGGGGAATTTCAGGGAGATGGGCTCGACGGGCTCGCTGCCGGTTTCGAGGTGGTGTTGAAGGTCGGCAAGCTCGAGATGGCCGCCGAGGTCGTTGACGACTTTTACGAGTTCCTCGGCGATGCGGCCGCTGTAGAAGCCCTTCTTGCCTTCTGTGGCCAGGGTGCGGAAGGTCTTGGCGAGGTTGGGAAGCTTGATGATTTCGCCGGCCTTGGGAGCGCGGACCCTGTCTGGGGAGGTGGCATCGGCCTTCAGCATCTCAGCGAAATTGGGAGAGGCTTCGCGAATGCCCTTTTCCTGTCTTCCCCACTGTTTGACCGTTAGAGCGAGTAATAACGAGGACTTGACGATACTCTCAAACTTACGAAATAAGCCGTCATCTCAGAAACAGGAAATCCCTTCTCGCCAAGCTCGATCGCCGGTGCGAGAATCTGCTCCATGGTCAACTTGCCACTACCGAACCGTTCGACGGTATCGACCCAGCCAGCGGCAGCACCAGGTACCGTCACAGCGTGAACACTGTTCATTGGGATCTTGCCCACGGTGCCCTCTGGGATCTCCAGGCTCTTCCGGACGTTCTCAAGCGTACACTTGCCGCCCGCACGTCCGGAGCCGTTCAGTGCCGAGACCTTACCGGTCGAGGCATCGTAGTAGAGGCAGAACATGTCACCGCCGATGCCTGTCGAGCAAGGTTCCGTCATGTTCATGCCGGCGGCTGGAAGTTTCAAGAGTGGTTAGATAATGAGCACTTCATGTTGAGTCTCATGTAGAAGATTGAAGCGTACCAACGGCCACAGCGGCATCCTGACATACATGTTAGCAGCTGACCGGGATTAGTTTAATGGGAAAGAACAATAAATCATACAGCAGCATTTCCTCCAGCATTGAGGATATCGATACCGCACTTGGCGGCAAGCGGTTGTGTGCAAGCTACGATTCCCTTGGTGCTGTGAACCACGCTCCTTCGGCTCGGCCATTTCATGAACTCGGCCGATGGAGGTTGGTAGACGGATGAGGTTGAAAGAGGCATCGTGGACTTGAATCCTGTCTAGTGGGTGGAGGAACACGGGCAGCGACGATGGATGAGGGGGGTGAAATGATGAAGTAGTGTACTAAGTCCGAGGAGGGAGTGGGCAGTGAACTCCATTTATTGCTCCATCGGATCTTGCTTGAGAAACGTGGTACAGGAATGGGCAACGGATCGGATACTGATAAACGGGCTCGAGACGGGATATGGGTATGGCGATCTCGCTGTCATTGGTAACCAATACTATTGGATGGCCTTTACTAAAAAGGAAAGCCCCCCTCGGATTTGACCCCTCCTTCCCTCGTGGAACATCGTTATGACACACAGCATGAGGGGGTGTATTGTTTTGTTTGCTTCCGTGTGGTACGGTAAACCGCACGTATTAGATTCATGACTATGCTTTATTTCCGGCTTCTTGACTCATAGCTGGTGGTTTCCATCACCAAAAGAGGATACTTCTTGGGTTTGCCTTCTCCTGGGCGAGTCCAGAGAGAGAGACTTGAGGAGGGTTCTCAAGTCATTGACTAACCAGCAACCACCAACTGCCGAGGCATCAAACTGGGAAACCCCCGACTTCGGGTTGCTCATGCATTCGGTGACCATCCGTTGATCCTGCCGTGTTTTCGGTCTTCGAAATCCGAACCCCGCCAACGTCCATTCGAGGTGGAACCAAGATGGCCGAGCTCCTAGCGGCGTTGATTCCGGGGTTGCGGACCTGTTGCCGTGATTGTTCTCGGGTCGGACCGGACCGGACCGGAACGGAGGATAAGAGGTTCGAACAGGCGGGGGCGGGGGCGGGGTCGGGGTCGGGAGATGTCAATTGAGGTGGGGTAGCTTTGCTCTCTAGCGACAGCAGGGGCAGGGGTGCTATTCGTCACTTATATCTACAATTCTACCAGCATTGATGGTTTGTGAAAACCACATGGCGGCGTCTTCAAGATGGTGCAGCAACGAGTTCAATGGCTTGTGGAAGATACGGACCTACCGATGCGAGTAGGTACCAAGAAGAGTCAGGGTCCCGGCAGAGCACTCTGAGGATGAGGTTGTGCTTATCGCCAGTCATCTGCCAGACAACAGCAACAACAGAGACAGCAGCGTTCACGAGCTATCACATCACTGAGAGGAATTCATTGAACTGGCAGTGTCTCCCTTACGCTTTTGTCATTAAATTTTACTTCTGGAATGACATGACGGCGTATCTGAAGCTGCCATTGGAATAGCCTCTCCTCATCGCACGGAAGGCTTGCAGGAAGGCAATGCCGTCTCTACCCTGGCTGAAGGCAAACGCCCACAAGGAAGGGTTTTGCACCAGCGACCAAGAGATGTCCCTGTGGGTTAAGTTAGCAATGCCATTTGCATTCACGGATGGTAATGAGACTGACCATGTCTTGCTGACATCCTTGCTGATGTCCTTGGGCTCGTGGAAGACCTTCAGTCCAGCATCTGTAGCGAACTTGACATAGTCGGGCTGAGTGCACAAAGGCGGGAGCAGCATGCCGTCTAGTTCACCTGGTGTTAGCTGACTTCGAACAGATGACGGTCTTCTTCACTGGGTAGATACCAACCTTCAATAGGTTTGATGTCGTTATCAAACTGGGTTTGATCAAGTCCTTCACCCTTGAACCAGTCGGCAAGAACCAACTTTCCGCCCTGCTTGAGAACCTTGAAGGCGTTCTGGAAGAAAAGAGCCTTGTTTGGAAAGTGGCTCAAAGCTTCACTGATCCACACAGCATCGAAGGTGCCGGCGTCCGAAGCGAAATACTCGCCCATCTTCTCCGCGTCAAGCTCAATGAACCTGACCTTGCCCTTTCCGAGCGCAATGAAGCCATCGGCATCAGGGGTGACGGTCTTGTCATCGCCCTGGATCTGCTTGGCGGCCTCGGTCTTGGTCAACCTGGTCGCCATCTCAACTTGCTTGGTAGAGATGGTGATGCCGGTTACGGTACATCCCAACTCAGAGGCGAGGAAGCGCGAGGTGCCGCCAATGCCGCAGCCAGTATCGAGAACACGAGCGCCCTCTGAGACCTTGGAAACTTCGAGGAGAAGGCGGATCAGGTTGACCTGAGCAACTTCCTTGGTGTCCTTGGCCTTGGCCTCGTCTGTGGCCCAGTAACCGTGATGAATATGCTCTCCCCTGTTCAATTGTTAGCTCTCTGTTGCTGTTGTCTCTGGAGTGTTGTTTGAGGGGTTTGGTGAGGACTGTTTGAGCTTTAACAACCAAACCCCGTCAAGAATTTGCTGAGTGAAAGCTTGAAAACACACCATAGGTTCAGGTAGTAGTCGCTCGCCAGGTCATAATGAAGCTTGATGCGATCTTTCAGAGTCTGCATCGTCGAGTGGGCAAGGCCCATTGGGGTATCATATTGCTTGCTGAGGTCAGTAACCTCATCTTGTCCTGTTTGTGTTGTCTGGTGTGTGGCGGCGGCCATCGTGACGAATTGGTTGAAATATTAAGGATTAAGACAATAAGAAGTAAAGAGAGGAGTGAGAAGGAAGCTCGGCGAAAGAAAATCTCGACAGCGACAAGTGTGAAAGCTGTTGTTTTGTTTGTTGTTGAGATACGGGAGCTGGTGGATTCTGGGAAGTTGAGCAGGGGGGAAAGCGGGACGCTACCAGCCAAGGATTGGGAACTCGGGCCTGTTGTGCCTGGTTTTCAATCCAGTCTGCAGCTCGTCATTGCCGCGGACGTTCATACACATGCAGTGATCTCGGTGCCTTCCATATCGGATCAGGCAGTGTGGGGTGATCGAAACATGATCTTATTCTCGTTGAGCACCTTCTAAAAGGGTCGGGAAAGAGCCTTTCCCCTTCGCATTGGGGAACCGGCAACCTAAGCTACCAACTGGTACAAAGGAAAGAGCCCACGTCCGAAGCACGCTAGACAAGATATTTCCCGCTCTGTCACGTCAAAGAAAATGGAATGTGGCAGGTGCAGGCAGAGGATATTAAATAATAATAAAACATAAGGTGGTAACAGAAAAGAGAAAAGGGCAGTAGTGGTGGGGCATCGCATTCGGTATATAAGCTCCTGGTCTGGCCAAGTCATTCAACAATCTTCCAATGGCTGGATGGCCGAGCGGTCTAAGGCGCTAGACTCAAGAACCAAGTTCTTCTTCACCATAAAGTGAGGTGCATTCTAGTATCGCAAGATGCGTGGGTTCGAATCCCACTCCAGTCACTTTTTTTGCACTTTTTTCTTCATTTGTCGACATCCTGAAAATCGTGAAGAACGACGTTCATAAACCTAGCCTTTTTTGTACCATCCCTCGGCAATCCAGCCGTTGTACGCTTGCTAGAATGCGTCGACGATTCAGAAGTGATAAGTGCATGCCCGTCATGACACAGACGAGAAGTTGAAGTTGCACGACCAGAAAACACCAAGAAAGAGCAGTGGCGACTTTGCGTCTCTCTATCCTTACAGCTCACCGGACGCTAAAAAATCCGGCTAGGGTGTTAGTGCTTTTTGCGGGCGGTCCCCATACAAAACTCCGCACGCACTATCAAACTCATAACGCACAGTCTTTTCTCGGTCACTTTCGCTCGCAAAACAATTGTTAGGCCTAACATCTTAACTTTCGTTCCTGTTAGTGTAAAACTTTCCCTCTCTGGGAAGGGCCGCGGCAGGTTTCCTGCCGCCCCAAACACTAGCCTCCATTTGCACCTCTATTTGCACTTCCATTTGGTTTTTCGTTTTCACTTTCGTTTAAAGGCATCTACACCTCCATTTGCACCCTCATTTGGACTTTCATCTGAGGGTAAAGGTTTCTTTATTTACCTTCCAGCCGCAGTCCATCCCAGAATCCAGCTCTGCGCGGGCTCAACCCAGGATCCAGCCTTACACCCTCAGGGAAGGGTCGAGGACAGCTTGCTGGCCTCCCCGAACACTAGTTGGGAAGTCACGATGGACACTGGCAACTCTTCAGATATGAAAATTTCAGTCCCATTTGCAACTCGGATATAAGGATCTTGGAAGTCATGGGCGCTGATAGAAGTCTTCTTGTTTCGTCGGATCCTGCACGACACCCAGCAACAAGTACATATGCAATGCGTTATCGCCAGGAAGGTACTTGTTATCCCGAGACTCATGTCTGAATGTTGGCTCTCGTCCCGACCTCATGAACAACGTCTCCCGTCCAACTTCACCTGCTTCTATCCTCATTCCTCAAGACCTCGGACTGCTTGTCATCGGGGTTGAAGAACATGACCCAAATTATTTGATCGCATGGATGATGTCGCAGAGAGAGCTTAGGTCAGTGACATATTGATATTGAACTCCAACCGGAATGTCTCCCTAACTCCATTCTCCCAGTAGCTGAGCCTTTCAAAGTTTTGCACGAAGGAGTCTACTAGCCTCCGATGAAGCCCATTCATGGAGAGCGAATAGTCTGTTGAGAATCTTCATTACCCACGGCCAGGTCTCTCTGTTATCCACCTCTGGGGACTGTATTTCTAGGCAAAACAAGCTTCTCTCGCCTCACTTCGTTCACATTTTCTCTGAGTCTCTCAGCTGTCATCCAATCGGGGCGGTATTCAGGACTTGGGAGCAAACACCAAGACTCTCTCATCCCATCCTAATTGAAGTTTCTCCGTTTTTGTCAACCTTTGGGCCCTTGTAGGGAGTATCAGAGCTTGAAAGCAAACAACAAGTCTCTCATCCCATTCTGGCTCAGGTTCCTCCGAGTCTCTCATCCCATCTTCGACCAGTGAGTCCTCCCAGGTTCCGCCTATAAGTAAGTCCTCACCAGCCTCTTCCCTCTCCATACCTACAACAATCTAATCTTTCCTCCAACAGATCACTCAAACCCACGGCAACAACCACATCCCCAACTCCCGGCATCACGCCCAATCTGAGACCACTCTGACTTCAACGTGAAAATGGACGTCGCCGTCACCTCCCATCTCTACAAGTACCATGTTCTGATCCCCAACCGTCCCCAAGGGGCGATAATCAAAGCTGCGCCAAATTCGAAGTCCGGGACCTCAAGTCTAAGAGCCGCCGAGAACTTGACCAGATTACGGCAGTCAGCCAAGCATTCAGCAATCCGCCACCCAAGCCCACTGACAACCGAGCAACTGGACCTCGCCCAAGCCCCCAAAGGCGATCTCTTCGTTGTCGTAGGTGAACTGCTGTATTCTCCGGACAGCAGCAACGAAGCGCCGAAGCCGAACAAATGCACCCCGGACAGTAGCGGCGGTGAACAAGAAGAGGAGGAGCAGGAGAACCCGAACGTGTGGACGTCTCATCTCGTCTGCACCAAAGCCCGCAGCGAGAGGTGCAATCTGTTTGCTCTGGTCTCGGAGGAGGGAAAGTCATAGACTTTCCTAAGCCTTCCCCAAAGCGTGAATGATTGGGTGGCTTATTACCAAGAGTTCACCGGCTACCCGGCCGAGGTGCAAGAGAGCCAGCATAAGAAAAGGCGGGCAGTGTGGAAGCAAAGGATAACTGCTTTTTGTGCCCACTTTCTGGGTACCAGTGACGTTCCCAACGAGATGGACAAAAGCTCGACTGTTCTCGAAGCTCCTGGTAATCTCCCAGCGCGGGCCCCGGCCCCGGCGGAGATTGTGCGGGAAGATGCTCCCAGCGTTGGGCAGTCGAGAGCTTTCCAGTTGACCAACCGCTTGCTCTATCCGACTGATCCCAATGTGGGACTTGATAAGGAAGAGATTGAGGAGATCACTGAGACATGCAAGGTAAGCAAGCTGTTTTCTTCCCTGACCATAGCCAATTCTTTTCCCCTTCCGTGGTAACAACAGCGAGACAAATGACTAACACATGGCACCGTCTCCTCAGACATCATGGAACCTTCAGAAGGGACATCTTACCGAGGACCACATCCGCGAAATCAGTCGATGCATTCGAAAAGGTCTTCTGGTCGGCAAACCAGCATTGCCACCGTTCAAGCACCAGGCCTTCATCCTAAACTGTTCGATTATGGCTAGGAACGCCGCCAAACGGTACCAGACGATGAACTGGGACAACATCATCGAGGATGCTTTCGATATGGCTTGGAATACCACGTGCCCTCATCCGTCCGGTCGGGGAGCCTGGAGCTCGCAGGTAATCGTCATTGATGATTGAGAAACCCTGACGAGAGACCCTCGAAGCCCTGTAGGCGAATATCAAAGAGAAACGAGAATACTGCAACCGAATGACCAAAGGACGACCAAGACCAGATCCTTCACAAGCCTCATCATGAACCCTGGTTCATTTCCCGAACGACACCATCATCAATAATCGCCACCCATCTGGTCTCCCCTTGGCAACCAGCGGGCGTGGTCAGCAACTCCAGCTGGCGAGCTTGCTCGTGATTCCGAATGGCGAATACTGGAGGATCCTTGGCCAACACTTTCGTTATAGAACTGGGACACATAACGACGTTGCAGGTAGCCTGGCATTCGACTCGTAGAGGGTCCATAACTGACGTTAGGATGTGGTTGGAGACGACGGGTTGCTGAATGTATATCGTTGGTCCTACTTAGATAATAGACATATCGGGCCACTGTGGTACTTCCAGAGTGCTCTTAGTATTTAACAAGGGTTGGAAGGCAGGAGATCGACTTACAAAAACGGCTTCGGTAGGGTTAGTGCTATATGCAAACTACCACTGGTCTTTATGTTCCATGGTTTGCTTTGTTTAAACTGTATACAAGTGCGGTTCCTAAACGGACTGTATAGTCCAAGGTCCTGGCTTAGGTTAAAATGCCTGGAAACTTAACAAGTCGTCTCGAGCGGATGAACTCTCCAGGGCATCCTACACCACAGTGAAAACAAAAGCTGGGATTGCCATCTGTCCGCGCGTTGCTGTACCATTTGTAAAGCTCCCGGGTGATAGAATGCTGGACAAGCCGTCAAAAGCGACCATAAGACACTTTCTGTGATCATTCCCACTTTCGTTCTCCGCCGCAGTGTACCGCCGTTGAACCGCCATACTTGTCACGCGTACGCTGCTGTTCCCAGTAAAGTTGTTGTTCAAACAAAGCGCCATTCATTTCCCATAAGTATTAAAACTTTCTCCGCATATGACCCCCCGCCAATTCGCCATCAAGTGATTTATACATTCGCCTCAAGGGTACCCGGCCTCCCGTCCCAGGCGTGGTGGAAATTATAAGCAGGCGTCGTGTCGACCCCGTGACAAACACCTGCATATAGGATATCTTTTTCGTCTTCTTCATCTCTCTCTCTCCACGACCACCGATTATCATCGTTCGACGGCCCGGTGCCGTTGTCCTTTTGACCCAGCCCTTTCAAGATCTCTCCCTAGTGTGTGGTTGGATCTCTGTCCGCCGTCCATGTGTCGTGAAAAAGCATTCATGGGTATCTTGTCCCTCGATTCTTTCGGCGCAACTACTTCGTCCGCGTTCTGCTCTATCTCGTCGAAAATCGTCGATTGCTTACGCGCCGCCAACGAGGACCTGGTTGAGGGGAATGTGGACTTGCTGGATGTTAGCTTATGGTTGGGTGTGGGAGGTCGGAGGGAGAGAGGAACATACTGAGCTTGACAAGGTAGCCGACAGCCTGTAGGCATAATGTTAGAGCTGTGCTATGTCGTATACATGTGATTTCGAGTTCAACTTACACCCATGACTGTGACAATGTTAGCTGGTGCTCCGAGAACAGCGACAAGGAACAGGGAGGAACTTACTCAAGAAACCAGTACCAACAGCCTGGGAGATCTTGATGAACTCGCGGCGATCAGCTGTAGGAGAACTACAGTTAGCATTGATGTTGTCGGGTGGCGCAAGGTTGGAGTTGGAGGATCGCATACGCTTCTGGCACTTGTTGATGAACTGAATGCCGTCCTTGAGGAACTCGCGGGGCACGTCGAGGATCTCTTGCACTGTGTCCGCCATTGTGAATTATTGTATTGGGTATTGGGGAAAAGGAAGCCGAATTCGCGTTGTTCAAAAGAGAAAGGAGTCGTCGTGGGCGGGAAGAAGGTCGAAGTTGTGGTGGATTAAAGAGTGGTGAATGTCCAAGAAAGTCGAAAGAAGTCGCGTTCGTAAATTGGGGAAACGGGAAGCTGTCACCTTCCTTCCAGTCGCCTCACCAAATGCCACATCGCCTCAATCCATGGCGTTCGGCTGCGCTGGTCGAGAGCTGAGATGGCTCGTGCTTTCGGTAAAGGGGGCTGCATTCCTGATCGGGCATGGTGCTGCTCCCCACAAAATGTTGGGGCTTCCGGCAGGCACCGACCAGGAATCCTTTCCTTTACGTCGAACAACGTCCTCTTCTCCATCATTTTGAGTCTTCACTTCAAACACTCACCAATGGACCTGTCATCGCTCTTCATCATTCTTTTATTTCATCGTGAACTTATTTCATAATGCTGTTCCAACTTTAGCGCTGATTGAAAGTCTGCCAAGGATGCTGTTCAGTGGGAGTCGAAGCTCATCATGGGGTTGATTGCAAAGCTTTAGCTGATTTAGAAACAGAAACGACTTAAGAAACCAAATACTAGACAGATAACAAAACATCAGAGTGACCATGGGCACCGGACCAAGGGTATCGCCAACCATTTCCCTCTCGACCTGTGCCCCTCATGTCCTCCACGCCATACTCATATTATCCTCATATCCAACATCATCACCATCCCCTTCCTCCCTTAGACGTTAATCGACTGAACACACTTGACCCTCCCCACAAGCTTAGCCACCTCGTTGATATTAACGCAACCCTCCGGCATACGGCCGAGGTTGACGCCCTTGCAGAGACCACCGTCCTTGCTCTTCTCCGAGTATCCGTACCAGCCCTTCGACTTGCCATCGACCGAGTACCCGTTGGTCAGGTATACCGAGTTGGTGGTGTCGTCCATGGTGACGTCGTAGAGGAGGAAGGAGTTGTGGCCGTAGTTCCAGTCCTTGCTGTTTGGTGGGAGAAGCGGGAATATGTTAGCTTCTGATCTCTGCCTGGTTTGCTGCTATGGGGTTTGCAGAGAATTGGTTTGGGCGGGTATCTTACCAGTTGGTGTCTTTGTACTCGTTGGCCTTGGGACGGGTGAGGAGACCCGCGGCGGAGGTAAAGGGGGCAGCAGCCGCGATGGCGAGAAGAGTGGCGATGGAGAACTGCATTGTTGCTGCTGGGGTATTTGCTTGCTGCTGAGAGATATGTGGTTTGAAGTTGTGGTTGAGGTGCAGTTGTTGGTGAAGCTTTGAATGATGCTGTTGATGTTGTTGATGGTGATGAGGAGATGAGACCGTTAGCTGACACAGGGCGTTGTGTGGGTTATATAGACTTTGCATCTGCCCAAGGCTTTCTGCTCCAGTTCGACATAATCGTCCAGGTGAGCCTCATAGTGTTGTGGCACTCGACCATCATCACGTCACTCACTAGAGCTAGGAAACACCAAACTCGGAACCAAAAAGGAGGTCAAGACAAGATCGACAGTATCCCCGTCTGCCCTACACTGCCAAGAAGCTCCTTCGGCCCTTGGCAATTCCATCGTTCGGGCAAGCATCTGTGACTATCACGACTGCCTTATGGAAACGGCTGAGTGTAGGGCCGAAGTTCGTGTCTATTCCTGTGGTCGGACGACGATCGGTGGAAACAATATATTCCTTCGACCTCCTGGTTGATGAAGATCTTGTGCGATGTTTCCTTCTGCCCAAGTTATCCGACTAGCAGCGCCTGGACAAGGGAAGGCATTCTTGTCTGGAACTGCAGTCAGATTCCGGAGTCCGGAATCTGGCAAAGGAGAACGAAGCACTTCAGCAGGCACTTCAGCAGCCGCTCCCTTCGAGTCTTCTCGTCTTGTTGCTGGCATCCCATGCAAATCGTCCGTATAGCGGAGGATCGATCGTCCACCGCCATTGAAAAAGGCCTGGAAGCACAGCTTCTGGTATGTCATTCATGTCGTCGACAGGAAGGATCCCAAGTAAAACAGTAGCACAAGGATGTTGATCCAAGTGTAGTCCCACTTGGCTCAAAAGACAATTGATCGACACTTCAGCCTCGGAGCCTCAACATTAGCTCGCGGCCAAACCCGTCACAGCCTCAGCACTTTCTCGGCTCGCTAGGCTGCCGTTTTAACGTCGAAAACCCAGTCGGAGGTTCGCGATCCCGACGTTAGTTAATGCCAAGGTGTGCCCATTCCATCCTTCTTGAAGCACCGCCGTCGATCTCCCATGATCATCTCCCGTCGGCAACTTGGGGACAGGCGACAACCCTTTCTCACCGACGCAATACCCCTGGTTTAGTTGAGCCTTATGACATATGTCTGAGATCCTTCCGATCCTTCCATGTAACTTCAGACTGAACATGTCATCAACACGGAGTTGATCATTCTGCTTCCCGAGCTCGGCAGTTTTTCGGACTTGACCTGCTGCATAAGGGACTGGGCCGCAAAATCTTGATGATGGTCATCATGCCTTTGGATCTCTCAGGGAACATTGGCGCCTCTGTAACATCTCCTCGATCATGCCGACTTGCGCGAAAGATGGTAACAGGAAGTTAGGACACTCCCACGGGCCACATTAACAACCAAACCTCCCCTTACCCACACTCACGCAAGGAGAGCTTTCGTATGTACCCAGGGGGAAGCAGAAAAAGAACTGTGTCCGGTTATCTCACGAACTCAGTCGTCAAAGGTAAAGCGAAGAGGAAGATGCCAAAAAGAAAGATGTCATGGAAGTCGCAAGCGAAGCGAGTCCCGTAACGGACCCTTTCTGACAAGCGAGGAACATATGTAACTTGGAGTACAACTCATCGCAGCGCAAGCCAAGAAAGAACCTCTCCAAAACACAATCCCAAAAACAGACATCATCTCCTCAACCCTCCAACAAACCAAAAACAAAAAAGAAACAAAAGAATAAACGACCCACGGGCGGCTCGAACGCCCAATCTTCAGAGAGAGTTTCTTGTTTTTTGATAGAAAACCGAAATCTGACGCCTTACCATTTGGCCAGCGGGCCATTTGATAAAAGACACATTGCAGAAGGTGGTTTGTATAGGGGCGGGGAAGCTCTAACTGTTTATGGAGCTCCCCCCATTTTTTTTTTGGCAGAGGTACCCCGCATTTTGTGACACTTTCTTGAACTTCGCTCCTTCTTCTTTTCTTTTCGTTACTTTTTTCAACATGACTTGCGCGGACTTCTGAATGTTTTCCTGAAGATTTCGCTTTCAATCGTGATCAAGTTTGCCTTTGCTCTTGATTCCCTTTCCTCTACCATGGACTCGGCAAAAATGAACCGGGCCATCAGTTGGGTTGTTCAGCTCCTGGGTCGATGATTGATGGGTGGGCGGCATCATGCCCAATTGGACTCCCCATGGTACACAGCTTTCCTCGTGAGACTGGCTGCCTCTCTTGAGAGGCAGCCATTGTTTATAATGGGTGTACAAACTCGAAAGATTTGTAGCCCCATGGTCTCGTTGTCAATTTCTCGTAGAGACCCGACCTGGCGCCACGCTTAATGCATCCTTTAGGATCCATAGCAGCAACAAGCGATGTCATCGCCCATCTCGCCGAAACCCCATAGCTGCGCCAGATGCTCCTCGCCAAAGCTCGTCTTTTCCCTCCATGGGGGCGTCGTTGGCCGCACAGTGATGGATACGGAGGTGTACATGTACATGTTTGACCTCCTTTACGACGAAGCTGTTGCGCTTGCGGAGGACTCGTCGCCAGATGAGGGCGATGGGTGTGCGTTCATGAAGTGGCTGACTGCCAGATTGTCTCCGGTTCGGGACGCTCCTGGTCAGGGCCAACTAAAGGCTTTGGTTGGCGAACGTAGGGCCGTTAAGACGCATCTTTACCTTCAATGGGTTGATGCGAGATACACTCCCTGGCTCTGGTCCTTTCGTTCCGTGGACGAGCTTTATCGGCCATCTGGTTGGGCTGGCATAGAAAAGCCGTCCGGGACGAAGGACGCGGACAATGTGCAACGGAAGTCACCAGGTCTGACAAGATTTCATCCGGTCCGGATAGAGGATGAACTAGAAGTCGTGGGGGTTTTGGAAAAAGACTGGCAAGAAGCCGAAGACGACCGCTATTATCTGCCTGCGGATGTGCCGGTGGACGACTCCGATGACGAGCTCCAAGACGAGTTGGGAGGAAGCTTCAACATCGTGGCCGAAGGGACCGATTCCATAAAGGTAGTACTTTGTGCCAGTCAAGAGTCAGTATCATTCACACTTGCCTCTTTTGTTGGTTGGAACCACCAAACTGAAAAGATCACAGTGATCCTGCGGCGCGAGAAGTCTTGACCAGGCCCCCAAACATGCATCCGTCCTCCGAGTCATCGCTCGAAATAATACGAAAGTGGGTTAACGATTGTCCGCGATACCCTACTTCAAGCCGCTTCGGGCGACATTCATTCTCTCGCCAATCGTATCCGAAACGGCTGCTCCGGATACCAGGCGACGGACCTGTCCCAAGCTTGAGACTGGTGGATTTCTCGGCTGACCTATCCTCGGCAACTACCCTTCCTCGTTACGTAGCGTTGAGCTACTGCTGGGGACGTAGCCAGACCAACGTTCTCCGGAACGAAAACCTGTTCGAGTGGCTCGCCGATATCCCACATGGCCCAGCTTCCACAAGCCATCAAGGATGCGATCTACATCACACGACTGCTGGGTTTCAGCTACATATGGGTCGATGCCTTCTGCATCATTCAGAACGACATCCACGACAAACAGGAAGAGATTGAGAAGATGGGAGGCATCTACGAGAACGCAGAGGTCACCATATCAGCCTCACGAGCGTCTACCTGCCATGACGGTTTTCTTCATTCAAGGCAGAAGCCAGAAGAAGGGAGCTTTCAGATCCCATTCAGATGCCGAGACGGTCAAAAAGGGGCAGTCCTACTCTGGCACAACCGCAGCGAACAATGGGACGAGCCCATTGACCGGCGAGGATGGACCCTCCAAGAGTCCCTAATTTCTTCTCGGATCTTGGAGTTCGGCACCAACCAGACGCGGTGGCATTGCAACTGTCACCGTTACGGCGTTCCGCACGGCTCGAAGAAGCATGGTCACCTCGTGGACGGCTGGACGTGCGACAAGATTGAGCGAAGTCCGGTGAGCATCGACTGGGCTCCGGTGGTTGAGTTGGAGGAAGTCGACAGATTCCGTGCCAGAGTTCCGATCGAGACACATCGTCGGTTGGAAGAACGCGTCGCTCGGACTTGGAAGAGGATAGTAAGGAATTATACCCGCCGTGCTGTGAGCGATCCCATGGATAGGCTGCCTGCTTTGTCGGCCATTGCGCAGAGACTGAAAGGCCTGTCTACACAGAGATACGCGGGCGGCCTGTGGTTTGGGGATGTTCCTCGGCTCCTTTTCTGGTATCCAGTTGATATTGATAACATGAGGAGGTCGCCTGAAAGAGCCGCGCCTTCGTGGTCCTGGGCGTCTGTCATTGGTGCCATCAACTTTTGGGGCGTTCCAGCTACCGACATATCGGTCCTCGGGGTTTCACAAAACGAGTTGATCTTGTGGGGTATGCTTTGCAAGGCGACTGTCACTCGCAGTACAAGTTCCGATCCTCACGGATTGTTTTACACAGGGACGTGGGACCATAAAGAGGTAGAAGGACTAACGACGATGGAAGTGCCCAGCCATGTGTCGAGCATAGGGTGGCGCACTGAGAGCATGTACCTTTTGGGACTGGATCGTGATGGCGGTAGCGGTTTAGTCTTGCGAAAAGTGAGGGAAGGCGTATACTGCAGGGCGGGATGGTACTTGACCATGCGAAGAAAGGGAGCGAGCCTCGTGCATTACTATATAACTCCAGGGGTTGAGAGTTGGACACCTCGACGCTATCTTACCCGTTCCAGATTAACCCTGGTCTAGACGGAAGGATAGAAAGGGAAAGTGAGGGCTAAAAGTTTAGGGTAGCTTGACTCGAATGTCACATCCAGGATGCTTGCACACCTGCATGATCGAGTGTAAGGCAAAAAAGTGAGGGAGCGAAAGAATTGGTAACGTGCTTGATTCTTAATGAGCAAAGGAAGCCAACCAAAAAACAATAATGACTGGGGGGGCTGTGTTTACATACACGATTCCTCGGAGCCCACCAGACTACCAATCAGCCGTTTGGCTTGTCTTCGCCCTGAATAGCTTCCTTCCTTGGCAGTCCTGAGTTCCTTCTGTGCCCGCGATAGTCGTGATGGCTTCCTTCTCATAATACAGGTGTGCCCTCTGATATCAACTGCTTCCTTCCTTCAACGTCGGACAGTTAAGCAGGTGCGGTCGGTCGTGCAGGCAGGCTCTTATGAGACAGACCTGCAGTGCTCGGTCCCGACATCGAGAGGAAAATTATGACTCCGTTCTGGGTGGTGAACAACCAAAGACGAACCAAAATAAAAGACGACAGAAGGCAAAGCAAAAAGTAAACACCTCTAACAGGTGAAAAAGTAATAGAAAAAAAGTCAAAAGTGAAGGTCGTACCCGGAATCGAACCGGGGTTGCCGGAATGTTCTGATGGAATTCAGAATCCGGAGTGATAACCGCTACACTATACAACCGTTGTTGAAGGGATGCCCCAGATGTGGGTCTTATATGGGACATTGCACACACCCTCTGGCCAAAACCAAGCAGCCCGTTCTCATCCTTCATTTCTTCGATCGAAGTATCTATCTACCACCAAGTCTTGTGGCAGATGTAAACAAAACGCTCGTACGACAATGACATTTACGTACTTGGAAAGAACATTGGAAACTCCTTCTAAATTTTCGCTAACATACTACAAAGAAAAAAAGTCTCGGGCAAACTCATCATCACTCCCAACCCCAACTCCCCTCCTGCTGCTCCCACCCATATCCCCCATCTCCATCTCCTGCATCTCCTGCATCTCCTCCTCCCCTCCGCCTCCCCCCTTCTTATCATCACCACCAACAACCGTCGGCCCAATCTCCCCCATCTTCACCACACTCTCATACCCAACCCTCAAATTCTCCGCCCCGCTCAACGCCCTCTGCACCAAACTCTCATGCCGTTCCTCCACCAGCTTCCTCAGCGCCATGACCAAAAACTGCGCCACCACGTCCACCGACCAGCCGTCTGGAATCATCCCCAAGACCTCCAAAACATCAAACCAGCCGCCGAACCGCTCGAGCAGCGCGCCCGTCTGCTCGACGCGGTCGCTGAGGTCTTCGATGGCGAGGAACTCGGCTAACAAAACGTGGAAGAGGTGGGATTGGGTTTCCCGGCTCGGTGGAGGCTGTTTTTGCTGGGCAGGCGCCGTGCTGTTGTTGAAAGAGAGGGAGAGCCCGCCGCGCAGGCAGTAGGAGACGGCGGAGTCGTAGTCGCCTAGGTGGTGGACGAGGAGGCGGAGGGAGTCTTCGTGGTCGTGGAGGCGGCCGTTGAGGATGATGGCTTCGGGGACGAGGAGGCGTTGTTTTTGTTGTGGTTGCTGTTGCTGCTTTTGGGTGTGTGATGCGCCGTGCTCTGAAGAGAATTCTGCTAGGGAGGAGTCGATGCGTTGGCGGATGGCGGCGGCGTCGTAGTCGTGCGCACCGCCTAGGAGTTGCAGAAGTCGGAGTCGGCTTTGCCAGGCTTCGTCGTCTGGAGGGGCGTTGTCGGTTAGGAATTGGCGGTATGTGGGTTTGGGAGGGCGTAAGGCGCGGTAGGCTTCGTAGGAGGCCGTGGCGGTTGCTCGGGATTCTGGTGAGCTTTGTAGGTCGTTGATGACAATGTCGAGGTAGTACGTGATTAGCTCGTTGATGTAGGCTGTGCTGCCCTTTCTGAACACGAGATGCTCAAGATAGTACTTGACTGCATCAGGTGCCTCTTCTCTTAGAAGGGCAACTACTTCGGTTGGCACCAACTTGGGTGCTTTGATCTTGTCGTCGGCAAAGACCTCGACACCCAGCTTGGGATTACGCTTAGCAAGCCAGACACCGTATTTCTTCACCAGCTCCTGGTTGCTGATGTTGCTGAGATACCTTCTGACCTGCAGCTCGCCGTCGCCTCCCAACTCGCCGCCCCGATCCTCTTCCCCTTCGATAATACGCTTCCATGTTTTGAGCACATAAGGCGACAGCTTACGTTGCTGATAGAGCCGACTAAGAACGTACAGGCGGCGGTATCCCTCTAGCAGGCTTACCGCCCTATCAAAGCAGTCAACCCCGTGGTCCACGAGTTCGTATAGTTCCTTTCGAGGCGAACCAGGCTCGCCAGACTTGCCCGCAGGCGTGTTTTTGTCCAGCTCTAGGAGTACTAGTAGCAGAGACGCATCCACTGTCCGAAAGATCTCGGCGGAGATACTGCCGAATCCCTTTTTGTTTCTCCAAGCAGTGAGGAACCGGCGTAAAAAGTCGAGCACAAGTCGAGGTAGCGAATCGACCGTCTGCGTAACTTCCTTGTCCTTCTCCGCTGCGATGTACTCTTCGACAAGAGATTTGATTCCCCCATAGACCCAAATTCCCTTTTGGCCCATGACGATCTCGTTTCGAAGAGCGGGAATCAGTGACAAGACGACTCTTGCATCTAGGTCACCGTCGAGAAGACTTGCTTCCATTTGCCTTGTCTCAGAATCGCTAAAGGGGGATTCGGCAGAGTTTAGAAAGTGGGTAACAAGCATGATGCTGGCCCGTTGCTTGACGTATCCGAGAGTCATAAACTCAAGCTCTGTCTTGGGCTCCCGATTATTGATGGTTTTGATGAGACCGAGGAGTTGTGTTTTCTGTTCCGAGCTGTTTGGATTGCTCTGTTGTTCTTTAGACGTTGCCAACTCAAGGCTCGATTCCAACTGAAGCAACAGGGGGTTTCGAACAGCCCACCATATGTTCGCCCCTGTCCAGACAGCAAGGCGCGATGAGCCTTTGGCAAGCACACGAACAAACTCCTCATTCTCCCTATTCCGCACCGTCTCCCAGTTTTCCGGCAGCGGCTCCTCTTCCGACCCCAGGTCTCGATCGAATAGCTCCTTCTCTCGTGCTAGTCGCTCCATGGAGGATCTCGTACGTGAGTCGGCACCCTTTGTGGACACAGCGGGTGTTGCAGAGCCCCCGTTGAACGGCGAAAATCTCCTCTGACACAGCCGTTTAACTACCTCCTCAAACTGCATCTCTTCGCTAGCCAAGAGTGATCTGATGCCTATAGGGGTGTTGGCAGCAGGAGTAGCTGAGTCGTCCTTGTTAGGCACTTCCAACCAAAACTTCTCTGCCTCGTCCTCTGCTACATTCACATCGATTCTTTGGATCTCCAAGCCCTGATGTACACCATCCTCGAATTCCTTCCCCATGGAAGCGAAGACATAGCCCTCATCCTCACGACCCATAATCGATGCCCCTGGAGATGAAACGTCGGGCGCACCCCCATCAACAGCGATCTCCCGCGGATATCTCTCGAACTCAACGGTGGGCCTCGTAGGATCACCATCCAGATTCACAAACATGCCGATGCCGGGGTCGAGGGGTCCTGTTCCAGTTACGAGCAGAAACTCTTCTGGTGTAGGGGACACAATATGTGGCTTCAGGAAGACTAATCCAGGTTGCGGTTTAGGCGATGCTATGCGTGCCGGCGAGATCCCCCCTGTACCAGAAGCTTGGGACGCTAGAGATGCCGCCGAATCCCGTGGGGGAGGAGGTAATGGTTTGTCCGCATCGTTCGAAGCTGGACTCGGTTTTCGCTCTGGACTGTTGGAAGCTTTCGGCGAGCCAGGCTGTTGAAATACAGGATCCTCTTGCTCTCCTTGCGATCTCTGGTTCCCACGCATGTTCCCTATCAACCCGGACAAGCTTGTGCTTCTTGAGTGGCTGGGGAAGTCAGCAGGCGCGAGTCTTGCTGTCGCCGAGGATGCGCTCCTTGAGTGACCTCCATTTTCGGGAGGACCTGCGATGTTTTGTGTTTGACCATATTGCCCTCCAGGGGCCGAGTCATCCAAGGACGATATGCTCATTAACGGGATCTTGAGCTGCCGATCAACGTCCAGCAAAGCATAGCTCCTAGAATCGGCAACACATGCGATTGAGTCCCTCCGCACTGAGAGAGTGCTCCCGGCAAAGTCGATCTTCCTGATGACACGAGCATCGTTCCCAATCTTCACCACCTGTATGCGCCTGTTGAGCGAAAGGAGAATGGTAACGGCGGTCCCTGGATTATCGAAATTCTCGTTCAAGTCCACCCCTCCAATCCAGTTACAATTCCTGACCTGGGTGGTCCCAAAGACCGGGCTCAGCTCGGGTAAGGAGTAGAAGGTCACTGTCCAGTTGCAAAGGATACAGGCCTTGCCTACGCGGGGCAGTAACAGAATCTGCTGGACACCCGGTTTCGGGCCATTGGGCGAGCCGGAGGTTTCCGAGTACGCAGGAAGTAGTCTCGAGGCGAGGATGAAGGTATCGGTACTGTTCGGATCGTTGGGATCGGGTGGTATGCGGAAGAAATGGAGCAGCTCGGATGCGGAGGTTCCAACGTAAAGGTTACCGTCTGGGTTGGGCGCAAAGCAGGTCAGTATGGCTGGCGCATGAATAGCAGATACAAAGTCATGTTGGGCCTTACCTAGGTAGTCGACGCAGTTAATCTTAATATCCTCGTCGTTACCCTCAGCCGATAGAGGAACATCGTGGAGCAAGGGTCGCAAGACATATGGACCGGCTGCCATGGGCTTGGGGGATGCTGCGGATGCGGGTGCCATTCCGGTGCAGCTTCGACAACATTGTTACCTGGGCATGCCGGGTCCAGAAAGATCGCTTTGCGCAATGCGACTTGTACCCCGTAGCTGCGCAAGGTATTGGTGGTCTTGAAGCTATTCGCAAGTTGCAAGTCGAGGGAAGATCGGATGGATGGCACCTTCCATGCGGGACACCTTCGGGCAGTTACGTAGTGAGGCAGCTACGACCCCTGTAAGTCCAGTGGGCTGTTGGTGGAGGTGACGACGCTGGGCTTTCCCTGTTGGCCTGTTGGTGCCGCTGTGGGACATTTTTAGGCGGTCGATCTTGCCTCGGGCCCAGTGGCACAGACCAACAGGAGCGGTGCGGGAACCGTGATGTCCATAAACTGAACACTCCCTGCCACGCAACGCATCACCGTTTGACATCTTCCGACATCCCGCCCACATCGATACCACATCCCTTGGTACTATCCGACAGACAACACTGTTAACCGTATGCAACTACAATCCTAGACCGGCCTAGGTCTCTAATAAAGATACTCGAGCACTGCGAAAGCAGGCACAATACACTATGGCGGACGTCATCAGCCCGGATGCTCCAGGAGCAGGAGGCGCAGGAGGAGACGCCCCGAATGCGACAAACAAGTTCCAAAGTGCCATCTCGCAATGGAGAAGTACGACGGTCTATACTCCCCAGTCTTGAAAGTGGTCTTCCAGGCTGTGTTTCTGACCCTCTACCTTTCTAGGTCTCGACTTCACTTCCTTAGTCTCGAATCTAGACAACACGGCGTCGGAAATCGTTACCTTCCAACGGGACTCAACCGTACAAAGAAAGGATCTTGCACAAAAGACTAAGGACTTTCGCAAGTTAGATGACGCGACCAAGTTGGGAGAGATCAAGGGGTTGCTTAAAGGTACGCAATACCCTACCCTAGGACAGCGAAAGCTTCTAAGCTGGTGGACTAACACAACACAATAACTACAGCCTACCAGGGCTTTATCGACCTCCTTACGAACCACTCCAAGTCGGTGAACACCGCCTTCCTCCACGCCTACACATCCTTATCCGAAGCGCCGGACCCGTACCCGCTACTAGAGGCTTCGGTCGACTCGATGCTTGTCTCGGAAGACACGCTACCGAAGCTCACCGAGGAGAACAACCACCTGCAGAAAAACGTGGCCAAGCTCACATCGCAGCTTGAAGAGACGGAATCTCGACTCCAGAAAGAGTCCGACGCTAGAAAACAGCTAGAGGAAAATCTGGATTCCAAGGTCAAGGAGGTCGAGTCTTCGTGGACTGCCGTACTCGACGAGAAGCAGGACAATTGGACAGCCAAGGAGAAGGCTTTGGAGGACAAGATTGAGAACCAGGACCGTCTACTCAGCGAACTCAAGGCCAGTTACGAGGTCAACCAGAGGCTGGGCAAATCCGACGATGCCGAGGAACAGACCGGTCATGTCACGAGCGCCGAGTTGGAGATGGTCCAGTCCGACCTGGAGCGCACAAGTACGAGACTTGCAGAGGTGGAAGCCCGCAACGAACAACTGCGCCTTGAGCTTGCGCAATCCAAGTCGCAGGTTTCCACACAGCCTGCTGCCTCTTTGGAGGACGACCCGGGATATCTGCGCGTGAGGTCAGAGAACTCGTCGCTCATCCGCAAGTTGGATGCGGCGCGGGTGGAGAAGGAAGGACTGAAGAGAGATCTGGACACCAAACTCCGTGGCCTGGAGAGAGAGGTCGGCTTGCTCAAGGAGGAACGGGACGCGCTTAAGGCCAAGGTTCAAAAGTGGTCAGACTATGACGATGTGAAGCAGGAGCTGGAAGTTCTCAAGAGCATTGAGTTCGCAACAGGTGATGACGATGACGCGGTACGCGCGGTCTCGGGCAATAATGCCGAGGGAGACAACGAGGCGGGAGGAAAGGGGGATACGCTCGAGCAGCTTCTCCTCGCGCGAAACAAGAAGCTCAATGATGAGCTGACCATCCTGCGCGTCTCGCACCAGGACCTCCAAAATCGCCTTCAAGACTTGCAGGAAGAGCTATCTCGGACCAATGCCGAGCTTGAGAAGTCGCAAAACCTTAATGAAAAGCTTGAAGATGAGCTCTCGACCATCCAAGCCGAGGCGCCCAATTCTTTCCCTTCGGGAGCATCTGTCGCCCGCTATGCCCCTTCGATCGCACCTACACGGAAGCTGGGCGGTGGTAGGATATCCCCTACCTCTTCGATCGTGAGTGGCTTCAACCCCCGCGGTGCCGATCGCGACTCGCCCGATTTTGCTGGCGGCGGAGCTGGTGGCATCCTCCCCATGATCACCGCACAGCGCGACCGGTTCAAGAAGCGTAACGCCCAGCTCGAGCAAGAGCTGTCCGAGACCCACAGGACGGTCTCCCAACTACGACAAGAAATCGCCGCTCTGCAGCGGGACAACCTGAACCTCTACGAGAAGACGCGCTACGTGTCCAGCTATAACCGCGCTGGAGGCGGCATGGCGTCGGCTACCTCGACAGCCTCCTTCTCATCCAACCCTAACCCATCCGCCGTCTCCTTCGGCGCAGCAAGCGGCAGCGACGGGAACAACGGTGGCGGCGGCGTAGCACTGGACCGATACAGAAAGGCGTACGAGTCCAACATCTCGCCCTTCGCGGCGTTCAGGGGCCGCGAGTCCGCTAGGGCGTACAAGCGGATGAGTCTGCCGGAGAGGGCGGTGTACTCGATCACGAGGATGGTGTTGGCTACAAGGACGAGCAGGAACCTGTTTGCAGCATACTGCGTGGCGCTGCATGTGCTGGTATTCCTCTCGCTGTACTGGATGGGCTCGGCTGATGCAGACCAGCATGTCGTGACTGCGGCAGTGGGTGCCGTGGGTTCGGCGGCGGGAGGAGCAGGAGGGAGTGGTGGTGGGGAGTGGAGTGAGGAAGGGTTTGATCATCGGTAGGATCGATCGAACCCCCTCCCACTCGGGAACTAAGGATTGGTGGAAGGAATAATGGTGGGACGTGAAGGAACTGCATATCGAAGCGGTAAAGAAGATTGCAGCGTGTCAGCGAGCGCATGGAACGGATAATTCGGCGTTGCGTCCTACTTTTTCTTGGATCGATAAAAGAGATTGCGCTCACATGCTGGTTTCGAAACAACCATATCAATATCAAGCAAGTACATCATGTGTCGAAGAAAAGGATGATTGGAGCGGTAGTTCCATGGAAGGCGGTCTGAACTTGGATGTGGCAAGATGAAGAAGGAAGTCTTGGAGGGTCATACGGGAAGGCCAAGATCTGGGCTACGTGCCGTGAGCGCCTGCGGAAATACTAGGCCGGAGAAGTGAGCCTGGCATGCCTGGTTGGTCATATCCAAGGGCTTCCTTCGGATGTGGTGGCTATCGTTTTTCAAGTCTTGATGGCTTGTGGTTCATGAAGAGTGATATCTCATTGGGTTGGGTTTTGGTTGCCAGCGAAGGCTTCAAGAAGACGAGGGTCGGTTGCAAAGCGAATAGAGTGGTTAGTATAACTTGTACTATTGTATAATACCTAAAGTTTTGGAAGAACTCAATGACCAAGCAGCGGTGATCGATCAAGACAAACATACCTATAAACCAAACAAACCCCCAAAGTGCCATCCCGCGTGATAACAACTGCATAGAAACAAGATCTCGTCACTCCCGCCCGCTTCACCCACCACCCAAGCCAACCCGGAGGTAGAAAACAAAAAAGTCCCACCATCACGACCACGAGGAAAATAGATTACCTACCTTATCTTGCCGACCTCAGCTTGCCATGCATATGGAGATCTCTCCTATGGGACCGAAATCTCAAATGGTGTCATCCATTTTCCCCATTAAAACTTCGGAAATAACGGTGCCACGACAGGACATCATGGGCATCATGTCGTTATGGAGGGCGGCCGCGGTAGACGGCCGGCGTCTATTTTGTTCGATGGGGCGCCAACCAGATGGGTTTGCGCTGGAAGGTGGTTACGGTTATTGGTTTGTTCATTGGGTGGACGCGTGTGTGTGGTACAACGGGAGTGTACAGGATGGAGGGAGGTATGGAACAAAAGGTGAGGAACGGATGGAAGATCGTGAACGGTCTCTTGGGAGATGCTTGGCTTCCGTGGAAGATGGGATGCCAAGGTGTTCTAAAACGTTAAAAAAGCTTGTGATATTTGGTTGTTGGGGAAAATTTTGTAGGAGTGTCTGATGTGTTGATGGTGAGTGTTTCTTCAAGACGACTAAGGACCAAAGTCACCAACACTCACTCATATGATCCTATTCGCTTTCAAATACTACCATAGCAAGACGGAACGAACCTCAGCTTTTTCCACACATTTCCCTGGACTCACCACCGCAAGCATTGACTCGAGTGTCTCGTTGTCTTCGAACTCGAGAAGATTGCATGTCTGTAGGTAACCTTCCACAACAGCCGAACGGCGGGCAACACGGCATCCATACCTCTAGTTTGTCAAGTCGTCGACATCGATCTCTGTCCAATGACAGCTCCCTCCTACTCCTTCCCACCTTGGTGAACAACAACTTGGACTAATTTCCCTTCTTTTCGTCCTTTGTCCTCGATGTCCGATGCCACCCCTCCCATCTTGAGCGACCTAATTTGCCCCCCTTCAAAAGAACCAATCCTCGCAAGAGACTGGCTGGTTCAGATCCCAATATTTGCCCAACTATCACCTCCCAGTTCCGCGTACCACCATACCATTCCCGGAAAGAAAAGAAAAGAAAAGAAAAGAAAAGGACAAGGTTGGGCAAGCGAGCGAGCACGGCGAGGAAGCAATCTATTTTTGCCCACATTCGATTTCTGATCTCTCTCGCTGATTGATCTGACGTTACATCAGCACGGTTGGTCGGCCGTTGGGCTTACACGTTCGACAGGTCGACAGCGAAGGTAGGTAAGCCGGACTAATTCGTCCCACTTGGACTAGTGTCATGCAAAACTTAGCCGCCCACCCTACATTATTAGCCCACATTCTCAAAACATGGTCTTTGGTCCAATGGTCCAATGAACCAGTGACAGGGGAGCAGGGGTTTCGCTTTGCCTGAGGGAGAAGACGTGCAGACGGGAGATCGGCTTCGAGACATTCCATGTTTCTTGATTCTGATTTCTCGTGGCTGTGTACTGTTGCGGATAGATGGATTTGTTTTGTGTGGGAGGAATGCAGTTGGTTGTAGAGAGGAAGGAAGGAGCAGAAAGAAACATATGTCGAATCAAGTAGATTATCGAACCCAGCCTAGTCATTCCTACCTATAGCTTGCTGGAGATCAGACGGATAACGATTCAAATAAAGCTGGTGGTATCTCTCTGACATCCTCAAAGATCCGGACCCTTATGGGAGTATCGCTCTTGAGGACTTATTCTCCGTCTTACCTAGCCTGATGAGACTGACACTGACAGGATACACTACCTTTGCTTGCTAGGAAGTCGGAACGGTCGATCACCGGATGGCCATGCTGCCACGATGCCGGTCTCCGGACCGTCGATGCCTTGACTGCGCGTGGATGGGTTACGATGGTTCCAACACTGGGACGCTGACAAGATGTGCTAACGATGAATTGAGAAAGATCTTCAGTGCTCAAACGTTCCAGATTCTGCGCGATCGAAACGATGGTGGACGTGGTGGATGGTGGTGGATGGTGGATGAGTGTGCTTGCTGGCTTGGCCCGGACAACTCGACATTTGTCCATATGCTGTTCCCGACTTCCGTCTCTCGATTCTTGAGTCCGAAAGAACTTCCAGAATCAGTTATCGATGATAATGTCTTTCCATAATTCCTCGGAAATACTACACTACCAATCAACTTGATCGCAGTATCAAGAACTGAAGGCTGGGAATATCAGCTGTCAACTCGACCTCCACATGGAACTTGTGAAGAAGAGAGGAGGACGACGGAGGACAAACAAGGGACCACAAAATAAAGTGGTACGCTAACACGACGAACCCCTACTAGCGCACGGTCCCGGCGCTTGCAGTGGATCAGACGGGGATCTGACAGACAGGGGCTTGTGCTCCCCTCTGTTGTCTGTCCGGATGACAACCGCTCGGTTCATCCAATCAACCTGGGGGACAAGGGACAAGGGACCTGGGCCTTGTCTTCTCTCTCAGTCTCTGAAGGTTGTCTTTGTCCTCCAGACCACACCTTTTTCTCGACGGGAGCACCGGCGGCTGCCCACCGAACCACTGAACATGCAGTGTTTCCTCAGTGTCCTCACCATCCCCGGTCATCCAAGATGCCTTGAACGTCAGGGTAGTAGCACCGCGTAGCGCTACCACACCCTCCATGTTCTATCTTTGAGTACGTACTCAGCAAGCGAAGTGTGTGAGTGAGTGCGTGTAAACATGGGTGTGTTAGTGTCTCTGTGCCGCCGTCCCGTAAGAGCGTTGCGTCTCTCTGGTCCAGTCAAACGGGTTAATCTATTTAGCCCTCCAAAGCCGCCGCTTCTGGGAAGATGGAGGGTCAAGATCGACATCCTCTTCTTCCATACCGGTTCTCATATATCTACCATCCAGAACCTCCTCCTCCTCCTACCGACCTCTGATCTGATCTGACTAGTAGCATATTCACTGGTTGGATTATTTCTTTGAGAGTCTTCTTTTGGTTGTTTCTTTTTGGGTTTCTATATCACGGTTTTCCTTGGTTCTTTCTAGTCTCTTAACGGGTTTTGACGATTTCCTATTCATCATCATCATCACGATACCCAATCTCAGCAGCAAAAAGGACCACTGGTAGTTATTGGTTTTCTCAAGTCTCAACAACAACAGCAAGAAACAAAGGCGGCTTTCATAATTGGGCAACGACAAACGCAGCAACTTCATCATCTTTCACGAAGCATACCGTTCACACACAAAAACGACAACATCACAATGCGTGCCTCACTATTCCTCTCGGCGCTCAGCGTCTCCTCCGTCATGGCCGCCCCAGTACTCCCCGAGATCAACGCCAACTCAGCCCACGCCGACTCCCTCAAGAAGGTATCAGAGTACTTCAACCTCCTCGCCGTCAAGGTCCAACAAAGCAAGTTCGAGAGCGCCGTACCAACATGTGATCTCTCCAAGGTCGCCATGCCCCAAGGTAAGCCTCAGTCAACCCTCTTCACCCCCCAATCTCTCTCACACTCACTAACAAACTCTCCCTCCCTCAGCCCCCTCCCCCCTCCCGGCCCCATCTTTCGGCCTAACCCTCCGCCACGTCGCCCTCGGCCGCGGCACCCAAAACTACACCTGCGACACCACCAACAGCTCCGCCATCCCCGTCGCCAACGGCGCCGTCGCCTCCCTTTTCAACGCCTCCTGCATCGTCTCCGCCTACCCCGACATCGGCGCCATGTTGTCGGGTGTCTCCATGAACTTCAACCTCTCCGACCTAGCCTCCGTCGCTTCCTCCATCGCTAAATCCCTCCCTGTCCCGCCTTCTTTCCTCAAACAAACCCTGGCACCAACCTCCGGCATGGCCGTCTCAGGCGCTCATTACTTCACTAATGCCTCTACCCCCTTTTTCAACATGGATGCGTCCCAGTGGAAGATTGGTGAGGCGCCGTGTGCGAAGAATAATAGTACGCCTGCTCCCGAGGCGGCGCCGAGGGGGCAGCAAGGTGAAAAGGCGGTTGCTTGGTTGAAGTTGATTACACGCCCGGGAGCGACGGGCGGGCTGCAGGAGGTGTATAGGGTGGAGACGGCGGGCGGCAGCGCGCCTGAGACGTGTGAGGGGATGCCGGAGGCTTTTGAGGTGCAGTATGCTGCTCAGTAAGTTTTATCCTGATGACGAATAACCTGGAAGATGAGAGAGAGGACAAGTGGCTAACATGGGTGAAATAGATACTGGTTTTATGGCAACTAAACCAATCTTCGCGGATATCAGCGACGGAACTGAGCAAGCTGAAGAAGCATCGGATGTGGAATATCAAACCAAAAAAACTATTGTATCATATGGAGGAGGAGAAGGATTCCTACAACAGCTTCCCTTTCCATCTTTCTTTTTCTTTTTCTCTCCTTTGTCTTCTTTCTTAACTATTTTCATGTGCAATCACTTGCATATTATACCTACCTACACTACAAAGAGGGCGTTAATGGGCGGCAGCCGAAAAGGCACATTGTGTTGGATGATGGATGGATAAAATAGCACGAACGAGATATGATTGATCGATATAAAACTCTCGTTAGTAATGGTGGTGATGATGGTAGTTGAGGCGAAAAGGTGGGGAGAGTGACTGCGGGACTTGAGTAGTCAGAGGGATGAAGAAATAAAAGTGAATGTCCCACAGAGATGTGTTGTTGCTGAAATAGGAGTGATGAGTGAGACCAGGAGCTTTTGAATATTGACAACTCAGGGACAGAGAAGGAGGTAACAGCGCGAGATGAGCCCGAACGACTTGTACACATGTTAAGCACTTGGCCACATCTTCCACAAAAGAAGGGTAGGTAGTAATGATTAAACGCCTTGGAAAAACCGGCTGCTTAGTTTTGGCTTCCTCTCTATATCTTGATCTTGCTTCTTGCTGGTACTTTCCGGTTTACCCTGCAATTAAGGGGTGTGACTTGGCCACTCACTAGCTAATGTTACGTTACGATCACTCTTTCTTCTTCTTCTTCTCTCCCCTCTCATTCATGCTCCCTCCATAACTCCTGTCGTCCTTACGCATTTAAGAGGGCTCCGTCCAGTTGACCAGATCCAATACCTGTCCTGTCGTAGGGTGTGTGTATCCTATCTTGAGACGTAGACGTAAAGGCTGTGTGCGCAAGACTGGTTAGCAGCTTATCGAGAACAGATGAAAAGGACAGAAACTGAAAAGACTTACCCCAGTGCAACCCGCCACTCTCATCATTTGCGTAGCCTCCGCCCCCGGCGCAATATCCGTCGACGAAATGTTGAGCAGCTGCAGCTTCTGAGACTTGGGCACCGCCGCCTGCAACCCGACAGCCGAGAGCGCACCGCCAGGGAAGGAGTTGCGGAAGCGAGCCGTAGCCTGGATCATGCCCTCGGCGTTTCGCTGTATCTGGATGGTGATGTTCAAACCGTTGTTGTCGTAGCAAGGATGTCCCGCCGCAGCAGCGGGCTTGGGCGCCGCTTGTGGGGCCGGAGCGGGAGCGGCGGCTGGAGTGGTGTTGAAAAGATCAAGAACTGCTGACGGAGCAGCCGCTGGTGCAACGGCAGGTGCGGGAGAGGACGTGGAGGTAGGTCCTTGCGAGAAGAGATCCATGATCGAGGCAACGTTCGACTGCGCAGGGGCTGGAGAGGTCGAAGTCGGAGGCGAAGTAGCGCCGCCGAGGATATCGGCAAGAAGGTCGGCATTGTTTGTCCCGCCGTTGGGAACAGAGGGAGACGGGAGGTTGGTGTCTCCCATGAGGTCGAATAGGAGATCCTCTTCCTTGGGCTTGGCAGCCTTGTTGGTCTTCTTGCCCGCCGCCTTGGTGGTCTTCTTGGCAGCTTCACCAAGTACTCGGGAAGACTCCTTGATCTGAGGGGGCGGCATCTTCTCGAGCACACCACGGCGGATCTGATCAAAAGAGAACAGGTTGCCGTATTCCACCGCACGCTGTTGAACCTCGACATCCAGACTTGTCTGGTGGTACTGAAGCAGACGGCGAACTCTCTCGATCTGGGCTGGGTCTTGCAGCCTAGTGGTGAGTTTGATGAGTGCTGTGATGATGTACTCGGTGGTGACCTGGGTAGCATAGTTGCTGTTCAAGATGGTTGTGAACAAGTCGATGATCTCATGCTCTTTGACCTCCTGCACGAGCTCCTCCTCCTCATACTGACCACCCTTGAGAAGAGCATCGCTGTATTCACCGATGCACCAAGCGCCGGCCTGCGTCAGACTTTCCTGGGTGATGTCCTTCTTAAGATTGGTGTAAAGCTTCTGCACGGCGTATGTTTGTAGCTCGGGAGTCGTAGCGATAAGGCGGATGAACGAAGACAGGATCGGCTCCTTGACGTAGTTACCGGCCAACGTCAAAACACGGAGCATGGTATCGACATGCCACCTCTTGTTCGGCGCGTACCTATCAGCGGCGATACCGATCTGGCTAGTCATATTAGGCTTAAACTCATTATCCGCCACTTCCATGAAAGCCAACAGTTCCCGGATAAGGACGCGGACGTTGCTCTCGTTGATGAGAGTGAAGCTCAGGTCAAGAGCTCTCCTCCTGATACTGATGTCGGGGTCCCTAAGGCACTCCAAAATGGTGTTCCGGTGCCTTTGTACAGCGTTGGTGTCGATGGCCACCACCTTGACCAGCGTGTTTAGCGCAACATAACGGATATTGTTGTCCTTGTTAGCCAAGAACTTGCCCAGAATATTGACACCCAGCACGCGCAAGCCGGCATCGGCCTCGATATCGAGAATCGTAAGTACGGCCTCGTAAAGGATCGAGTTTCCAACGTTCTTGGTAGCGTCGGTGTTGGTCGCAACCTGAGCGAGGATATCGTTGATCTGCTCCGTCGTCTGAGCATCGCCGCGGGCTAGAACTCGGAGAAGGCGCAGAATCTTGACCTGCAAGAACGGGTCGGTAATGCCCGTAACGTCATGCTCCGGCGCATAACCGGAAGAAGCCAGTCCCTTGAGAGTCCTCACGAGTACCGGTACAAACTGCCTGAACTTCTCAATGATGCCCTCCTCCCCACCCTCAGCCTCGTCAGCTTCGCAAAGGCTGGTCACCAGTGTCAAGCCGCAAAGCAACACGCCGTGGTTGCGGTCTGATAGTAATTGCGCCGCCTTCTCGATAAAGTGTTCTTGGAGATCCGGAACCTTCTTGCATATCCGCATCGCACAAAGAGCTGCCTTCCGCCGGATGTATGGGTTCGTCGTCGATACCAGTGTTTCGATTTGGGGGAACAGATCTCTGGACATCTCGACCGATGCAATGTTTCCGAGGGTGCAGAGGGCGAGGCCCACCACATACTGATTCGAATGGTTAAGATCACTGTTGTAGCCGAGCGTCAGCATCACGTTGCGCATCCACAGTCTTCTGGCCGAACATCGTACTTTTGAAGGGAGTTGGTAACCAGAGTAAGGACTTCCTGGTTCTCGTCGAGCAGCAAACTTGTCGCGAGATGGCCCAGACGCTTGTCGGCAAAGCGCGGGGAGGCCAGGAGCTTCAAACACTCGATCTGACCAAAGTGAGTGCGCTCACCGAGGGTGAAGAGGTATAATAGCTTGGCCACATTGTTGCGCCTGCAATGACACAGTTGATCAGCAAACCGAGTCCCGGGGAAGCTTTTGGTGTTGGCAGCTCAAATGCACCTGACGCCGTGATCGTGGCTCTCCTCCCTGAAGCTGGCTCTAATGGCGGCGCTCTCTTTCTGAATTACGGCTCTCTCGTCGGCGATGGTCTTGGCGGCTCGGACATTGCGAATAAACTGCTTGACTGTTAAAGGGTCAGTCTTGGTCTCGCCTTGGTCGCTCGAGTCTTGGGATCATGGCGATGCCGCTGGCGCACTTACGGGAACTCATGGCGATGCAATTATTAGGGGCCCGCAAGGGGGCCTGTCTAGGGGATCTGGACCAGAGATGCTCGAGCTCTCGAGATGGCGGGGGAGTTGCGGAACGGAGAGCGGATGGCGGTTCTTCGCAACTTCAAGCAAGGGGTATCCGAAGGAAGTAGAGGCACGCAATGGACAAAGTTACGATACGGTAAAGCAAAGGTACGTAGACATTCATGAGAGAGAGGATCACCTTTGGGAACCCGGCCGAAACACGACAAGTGGAAAGCACAGCACACAATGGGCGGGCGGCGATGTGGCCATCGGATGCGCTTGATTGGAGCTCCTTGACCGTGTGTCCACCCCCCACTCGACCTCTCCCAGTCCGTTCCCAGCAGGCGCCGGGCGGTGACGGTCAGCACGGCAGCAGTACTCGTGGCCTCAGGCAGGCACCTCTCCGCTGAAAAGCTTCCCGGCAACGGCGCGACGGTGCAGGCGCCAAACTCACTGAAACTGAAAAGCATGGGCCACAGGGACCCTGGACGCTGTTCCTCGCTGGGCACTGCAGCTCCGTACGGACGGGAAGGTGGGGCCTAGACCGTCTTGTCAGGCACCCTGACGGCCTCGCCGGAAAAGGGGTAGTCAGGGTTAGGGTCAAGATATCAGACGCTTTCCGTTTTATTACTTCCCCTCATATAATGATAGCCTAGATATTTGGAATGATGACATGAGATATAGGATGCTGAGATGAGATCTGCTGTTTGTTCACTCGGTAGACGCCAACCAAGACGGACAAGAGCTTGAAGCCTGTCAAGACTCGCATGAATTAACGGCGAGTCCTCAGATGATATGAAGGATTATACGGATGTGAGGGTTATTTAAGCCCTGAAGAGAAGTTTTGAAATGTCTACCTTCACCGTCAATCCCGATATCATGTTGGCCCAATTCTCAGGGCATTAAGCACGAGGTCGATAGCGATGCTTGACACTTTGCTTTCAACAGGACAGCAATGAGCTTTTGTCAACTGACAAGCTCGGCCATATGGCTATTAACCGTGAGTCATCTAGTATAGAGTTTTCGGGGAATATACGATTCATCTATGGCCACAATACTAATGAGACTGACGAGGGCATCACAAGCAGCGAACAGCCTCACCGCAACCTACAGCCATCACTGACCGACAATTACCTAATCCTCCACACATCAACGGTGATCGGATGATGAGTTGATTCCCTAGATGCTGTGCCGTACGGATGTGTACGATATGAGATCCCTATAGGGCTGATGATATCCACATATCCAGCCTGGGCTTGATGGTTGATGTCGCTAGGCAGCACTGCCACAATCATCCTGCACGTCATCCCTACCCGTTAGACAGGTCTCGGGCCTTGCTGGTCCCTGATGACGTGAATTCGGCAGCTGTGCTTCTGAAAAGGTTTCTGTAGCAAACAGCAAAGTTCCGTCTGAACCTCCGGACATGAGTGTCACTTTGCTCATGTGGTGCGGCTTTCACTTGCCGAGACAACGCCGTGAAAATGGCTTCTCACTAGCAAAGGCGTAGTTAAATTTGATTGATAACTGCTCTGAAGGTGAATGGCCACAGACTCAAAGTCAAACGGAGAGCAGCTTCAGTTGCTAGCGTCCATCTCTGACAACTTTACCCCATTGCTTCCCGAGCTCGGCAGTTTGAGGCAGGTGGAGAGGTAAAACCCAAGCATAATGCACGACAACGAGAACACAGGCGATCCTTGCAAGCATGTCAACTAATAGTGGTATTCAAAGAGAACGCTAAAACCTGTCTTCGTGAAGAGTCGGATATAGGAGAAAGCCGTTTACTTCTGCATCATGAGCTGAACGAACTCGTTATCTGTTGGGACAAAAGTGTTAGCAAGCTATATCCAGGCTGAGTCGCAAGAATCGAATACGTACAATCGATACGCCCGTCGCCGTCCTGGTCGGCCTCGCGGATCATCTCATCAACCTCGTCATCGGTAAGCTTCTCGCCGATGGAGGTCATGACGTGACGGAGCTCGGCAGCGGAGATGAAGCCGTTGTTGTCGCGATCGAACACCTTGAAGGCCTCACGGATCTCCTCCTCGGAGTCGGTATCCTTCATCTTTCTGGCCATCATGGTAAGGAACTCTGTAGGCTATTGTCAGCGGCGAACTGGCAAGTCTAAAGTCCGTGATGTTCATACCAGGGAAGTCGATGGTGCCGTTGTTGTCGGCGTCGACCTCGTTGATCATGTCTTGAAGCTCAGACTCGGAGGGGTTCTGGCCCAACGAGCGCATGACGGTACCGAGCTCCTTGGTGGTGATTTGGCCTAGCTGCTGTTCAGTATGCATGCATAGAGGTATGGCGCGTATTCACATCGCATCTCGATTCAGGGGCGGGCGGTGAGGAGTGTTTGGCGCGTCGCAAGTATTACGATCCAATGCGCTTGCCGCTGGCTTGGTGATGAAAAGGTTCGGATATCTTGGGGGTAGGGTTTCGGGAAGACTGACCATCACCGTCCTTGTCCTGTATGACGTTGTATCGGGTCAGTCATCAGGCTCGCACGATTTGCGCCAAACGGCGACACGGGATTGAGCATTTGGGACAAGGAAGCTCGGCGCAAGGAAGGCAACTTACAAAGAGGGAGAAGGCCTCCTTGAACTCAGAGACCTGCTCTTCAGTAAGGGAGTCCGCCTGTTGTTGATAGCCTGGTCAGCATACATCCGCCCGTCTCCTTTCCAGCCATCGTCGTATGTTCACACGGCAGCCCGCTGCCCCTCGAGCTGAACCGCGGGGTTCTTGTTGCGCTCGAACAGCTTCGACCGGAGGCGCCGAGATAAGGAATGAGCATACCATATTGATAGTATTAAGGGGCGGATAGAAGGTCTTGGGAGAGCGAGCGTGAGAGATAGTTGGATATGTCCGAAGGAGGATTCGAAGGTTGTCCGGTTTAGAAGTGGCAGATAGGTCGCAGTAGAAACGAAACCGGTTGGTTAGGTCCAAGCCAAGTCCCCGTTCTCCTAGTTCGTTCCTTAAATGAGCAGCTGGGAAACTGGGGCCGCCGATTGCGAAGCAGTGGAGGGAGGCGGGGCGGGGTCTCTCCCTAACACGCTCGCTAAAATGAGACTAAAAGACGCCCAGGTGCTGCAACTGCATGGGATGCATCACCACCGTCGCCAGCCCCAGACGGGCCAGACGGGCAGAGAGAGCGGCCAGGCAGAAGAGGGCAGGCAGGCACGAGGTCGACCGACAGGCGGAAAAGCTTACGGGCTGCCAGCTGACCGACTCTTTGAGACACAGGCAAACGATGCCCCTTATCGGCCGGTCCCCAAGTGCCTGGCAGGTGACATGCATCCCATGTCATCATGCCCCCATCCCTGGAACTGGCCAGCATTGTGTTTCTGAACCGCCGCGCCAGCGTCATTGTCAGTGGTAGCTGCCCCTGCCCAGTGCTACTGGCCTGTTGCAGTTAGTGAGAGAGAGAGAGGCCGAGAAACATCCCCCCCAGAAGATCGACGGGACCTGGGAAGGAGACACTGGCACTCAACCTCGACCACACAGCCCGCCGTGTCCATGCGATGCGATGTGATGCCATACCAATTCCAATCCGCCTCTGGACCGCCATTACCACCAACTACCATCAATTGATTCCCAACTCCGACCGGGACGACGACTAGCCTTCGGCGTGCAACCGAGGTGAAGGGAGCCTTTCGCCCTTCCGGCGTCCGCCATGTGGCGCGACCGCACTAATCTGTACGGGGAATTTTCTTCTCTATATAGTGTTGAGATCCTTTCGTTGACATCCATGTGAACATCACAGCTATATCTCGTACCGGCAGTCCTACGCCCACCACCCGACCCAGCGCAACCGATATGCCCCTCAGAGCGCAGGCGACCGCTTCGGCGGGAGTTCCGGCGGGGCTGGCGGCAGTACGGGGGTCCTCTTCTCGGCCGACGATGACCGGCGTGGCCTTCTATCGGCGGGGGCCTACGATGTCGACGACGGCGATGCGGTGATCGAGATGGATCTGCTTCCGCCTCGGTGGGCGGATTCGTCGGACGAAGTGTCGGAGCTGCTGGCCGACATCGCGCGCAAGAGCCAGAAGCTGGAGCGGCTACACCAGAAGCACGTACTGCCGGGATTCGACGACGAGGAGGCCAAGAAGGACGAGGAACGTGAGATAGAGCAGCTCACGCAGTCCATCACCAAGGGGTTCCACGACTGCCACCGCGTCATTCAGCGCATCGAGCAGATGGTGCGCGAGGGCAAACATAATGGCCAGATGAGTCGTGCCGACGAGGTCATGGCCAAGAACATACAAATCAACCTTGCTACGAGAGTCCAGGAGGCCAGCGCCAACTTTCGAAAGAAGCAGAGCGCATATCTAAAGAGTGAGTCCCCCTACTTACACCCGACTTCGACTCAAAATAATGCTGACATCACTCCCTCTCTAGAACTAAGAGGCATGAGCGGCCTTGCCAGTCCAACCCTCGACCGAGTTTCAACCCCCCTCTCTTCCATGGGCCCCAGCGGACTCCCACCAGGCAACAGCTCCAACAGTGCCTCCATCCTCGAATCCGACGCCGACCGGGTCTTCTCACAGTCCACTCTACAAGCGTCAACGCACCAGAAGCTGCTTCACAGCAACGATCAGGCGATCTCGCAGCGCGAACGTGAAATCGACGAAATTGCTCAAGGAATCATCGACCTGTCTGACCTGTTCAGGGACCTGCAGACCATGGTGATCGACCAGGGAACGATGCTGGACCGGATCGATTACAACGTGGAGCGGATGGCGACGGACGTGAAGGAGGCGGCTAAGGAGCTGACGGTTGCGTCCGGGTATCAGAAGAAGACCACCAAGAGGAAGATTATACTGCTTTTGTTGATTCTGATAGCGGGTATGATCATTTTGCTGGTTATCAAGCCGAAGAAACATGGGGGGTGAAGAGAGTGGGGAGAAACACAAAGAGGGACGAATTTCAAGACGCTATGCGTGGGATGATCGAGCAAGATGGATGGACGGGTAACCAGGACCACTACAGGGTACAAAGAAAGGGGCGAGTGAGCGGAAGAGAGAGGGAAACTAAGGAAGTAATGTAATTAAAATGGGGGAGGGTGTCAAGAAAGGACCCCGGAACCTGTTTGTATGACGACTGTAAAAATGTCAACACTCGGGGTTATGAGGACCGAGGTCTGAGGACCACGGCCCCTTTATTTCGAATAGATCTGTTACGGCTTCATATGGTGATATCGCTTGTACTTTGTTGTTGTTATGGCCTCGTTCCGAAAAGGTGAACGTACACAACTTCCACTGTTGATCAATCTCCCTTTTTCAACACTCGGCTCCGGTGCATCTCAAGTTCGGTGTAATTCTGTGTGATTTTTGTCTATTGCGCTGTATGAACCCTTCCTTTTCGTTACCTTCCCTGCTCTATATAAAGCCATGTAAATGTAAAAATTCTTCGCTGTGTGTTGTCCAGATGGTAGACAGATTCCCACCCGACAACCGCCCGTCTATCTAACCTCTCCCTCTTTTACTCCTCTCTCGCAAGTCTAAACCCCCTCTTCTCTTCTCTTCTCTTGCTTCCGGACCATCTAGTTCTCTCTTCGAACTATCACTCGTCTAACTCACCGCAAGATTAAAGACAGAGACGTCTAAACTAACAAACCTCCACTATTCTCCTCTATCACACCCTAACACCATGTCCCTCCCTCCCTTTACTCCAGGAAAGTGAACAAGTTGGTGTGCAAGATGTTCATAGCCCGCTCGGCGTCCCTAGCGTCGATAACACAGGAGATGTTGATCTCGCTGGCACCTATTCCAAGTCATCATCGTTAGCCATCCATGCTCACCCATACATCAGAAAAACAGAAGGAACTGAAAACTCACCCTGAGAAATCATCTCAATATTGATCCTATGATCACCCAACGTCGAAAACATCTTGCCCGAAATACCAATCATATTCTTCATCTCCGCGCCCACCAGACTGAGGATAGCCAGACCATGGAGGACGCTCACATCACCGCAGTCAGCCAGGTCCCTGACGGCCGCGTCAAAGTTGGTCATCTCGGCGTTGCCCATGTGCACGGCCACGGAAACGTGCACCTCGCTGGTGGAGATCAGGTCAACACTGACGCGGTGCTTGTTGAGGATGGCGAACAATCTCGCCAGAAAGGTGTGCGCGATCGACCGCTTGTTGGAGTGGATGTTGATGATGGAGATCTTGTCCTTGATGGTGACGGCCGTGGGGCGCTTGGGTTTGTTGGACTTGCCGGGGCAGCCGCCGTTTGTTTTGGTGCCGTTGCAGTAGACGCCGTTCTGCTTGTGTCGCTGGAGGGTCTGGTCGGGGGCCAGCAGGGGGTCGGGCTTGACGATGGTGCCCTCGCCGCGCGGGTTCTTGACGTTCTTGATGCGGATGGGGATCGGGGGAGTGGCTTTGATGACCTGGTCCATGGTCAGGTGGTGGATGACTTCGGAGCCGTAGAAGGTCAGCTCGGCGGCCTCGGAGGGCGTGATGGACGGGACGAGGCGCGCCGTGGGCACCTTGGATGGGTCTGCGGTGAAGATGCCGTCGACTTCCTTCCAGATCTGCAGCTCGTCGGCTTTCAGGCCTACGGCCGCGAGAGACGCACATAGGTCCGTGTAGCCGCGGCCGACGTCGCCGTCGAGCAGGCCGCCCGGCACGTTGCCGAAAAAGCCGGTGACGACTGGTACGCGGTTCTCGCAGGCGAGGATCTTCTTGGCGATGATCCCGGCCGCGTCGCGATAGAAGGTGGCGTCGAGACGCTCGATGCTGGCGTCGAAGTGAAGGACGTCGGCAAGGTCAACGTACTCGGCGTCTACTCCCCGGTCTTTGAGCATGTAGGCCATGAATCTGCAGCTGAGCTTCTCGCCGAAGCTGATGACTCGGTCCTTTGCCCGCGAGTTTACTTCAAGGTGGAATCGCTTGGCAGCTTCCAGGTACTCGATCAGTAGCTGGCACTCCTTTACCGTCTCCTCCTTCACAATGGCCGCAAGCTCGGCGTCCTTGATGAACTTGTCGGCCGCGGCGGTGTGGTCGCTGCAGATGTCCTGCATAACTCGCTTGGCATCCTTGAGGAGGGCATCTTGTTTCCGCTCGTCACTTGAATCTGCGGCAATGGCCTTGAGATTCTTGAATACCTCCAATAACCTGTGTAGCTGTGTTAGCTGCTGGTAGTGAACACATACTTAAGAGGTTCGAGTGTGAGTGATGAGGATCATGATGAGATGCACTACTCACCGACTTGTGGTTCCCGTAACCTTTTTGCCTGTGCTCCTTGCTGAGCAGACGACTACTAGCCTATGGTCCTTCACATACGGTCTGCATTTAAAAGTGAAGTCAGTTACAGGGTCCTTGTTGTTCATTCATATGTGTCCACACCCAGATCCATTATCCATACCTGATGATATCCTGTGCGATTCTGTCGGGGAACTTGCCCACGCTTGTACCACCGAATTTCTGCACGATCCAGCCATTGGGGCTGTCGTTCTGTAGTAGTAGGTTCCCGGTCATTTTTGGGGTGGAATTTTATGTAATGTATGAACTTTGGGGAAAGTATGGGGTATCTCAGGGATGAGTGAGTGAGCGAGTATTATCTCCGGTATTTAAAAGGGTTATTTGGTGTTGAGACCACTGTGGTGCTTGAGTAGGTTACTTAAGTGACTCAGCCAGCGCAGAATGTCCGTTGTCCCTGGTCGTTGCGAAGTCGGCGCTCTGCAGCCAATGGTGCCTTTCCCGCCCTTGTGGTTGTGTTCCAATGGAAGGGTCGCAGTACAGCCCAGGATCGTTCTAAAAACCTTAAATTTAGCGGCCCGAAGAGTGGAATTGGCAGCGCCAATGGGTGTGTTGCTGCAGGGTATGACTGCCGCTGAAGTGAAGCGAGGGGTATCAAAAGATTGACTGAATTCAGACGAGGCTGTATGAGAGAAAATGGTTTGAGAAAGAAAACAAAACTCGATGTCTTGGAAGCCAAGATAAAGAAGAGTTATTGTTCTTTTGTTCCCTGTCGACCCCTGTCCGGAGCTGAGTCGGGGATTGCGGGGGTGGGGTCTGTTGTCGTCCAGGCTCTCGTTTCTGTTTCACGGTGTAGTGTATAAAAGAACCATTCGGTACGACGACAATAGATCATGAGAAATAATTCTTGGAGTTGGTGACGAATTCGTAAGATTCGTCTCACAATGTTTACTGTGTCCTCAGCAGTCTGAGAGGACACAGTAATCAATCCGAGTTCAAGTAGTTCGAGTAACGAAAGGACAGCGAGGCAAAATGTATTCTACTGTGTAGGACGGGAAACGTGAAAGCGCAGGTCCGGGCTTCACATGAAACACGTACAGCTCTTTACGCTTCACAACTGCATCTCACTAACATGCATATCAAATCTTCCGCGGAGGACCCTTCATCGATCATTCCCATCCATTGATTCTTTCACGAATACGAACAAGAAGAAGAACAAGAAGAACCAGTACAGTCATAACTAAACACACCCTAGCTTCCTCCCAGACCTAGCATCAATAGCCTGGCCGACTAGTGCGTGCGGCTCTAAGAGAAAACAAGAGTCATAACAGGCCCGGCAGTTCTTCAAGGGTCTCGTAGTTCCTGAACAGTGACAAACAGTGGAGAAGTTTTTGCCTCGATGCCGCCACCACGGACGCTGACGACATGGGAGGAGGCTCCGGCACTCGGGCAACGCTAGTGAAAAGGAGACGACAAACCCGATTCAGGGGTTTCTGAGTCTATACCATACACTTAATATGACCACCTTTGCTCAACTTTTCCACGGAAACTGCGGAAATTATGGTTCATGATATTTTGGGGATCTGCCAACGGAAGTTTTAGGAACGACCATCTGGGAACTTGTTCGTTTTTCGCCATGGGTTGTTTGATACAGTATGCTGTGTTTCAGTCCCACTGATCACTACATTAATATACATGCCTCGCAACCCGAGGAGAACTTAGAACGACAACGATAGATAGGTGATCGTTGCCGGATTTACCAACCCCAACAAGTTACATGTTGTGAACATACAACTCCCTCATTTGTTTTATCTATTCCATCCTACTACTCCAAATGGGCTCTCCCCTAACCTCCCCAGCAGTGCCCTTCCCCTTCGCTCTCCTGCATCCGATCTATCATACATCATACATGTAGCTATCCTAACCATCCATGAGCGGCTCTAGAGTGGAGAAAGACAACGCCCTAGAAGAAATTCCTGAAAAAATAATAATAACAATCATAGCAAGTAAATACGTGGTATGTACACAGTAAAGAGGTGACCGTACCCTCTTCTGAAGAGAGCAGAGCATCGCGTGAAGCATGGGCCTGATTTCGGCCACTTGCTCGGCGGGTATATGGTGGAAGATCCGGAGGATTCATGGGTTCGGGCCTGTGAGGGATAAGATATCTCTCGGTGTCAGCGGCTCCGACCGGGAAGCTCGTCCCACGTGGTAAACGGCTGACATGCCTCAAGCTCGTTACCACCTGCTGTGGGTTGTGATGTGGGAGTGTGATTGCTGGAAATGCATCCCGCCATCACTTTACTCCCTCACCGGCTTCTTGCGCAACTTCACAGCCTCCTCCACCGTGTCATCGATGTGATCCTCCGCGTCCGCAAGTTCCTCCTCGATCTCCTCAACCTCCCTGATATGAGGATCCCCAGAGGGAGGGCGGTGGTCCGACGGCACGTCACCGCCGCTCATCTGCCACTCCATCAGCTTACTGAAGTGGCTGTCCTTGTTGGCACTCAACTCCGTGTAGCTGCCAATCTCAGCCACGGTACCCTCGCTCGAGAGCACAATGATCTTGTCAGACCGCTTGATGGTGGACAATCTGTGAGCAATCGAGATGGTGGTGCTGTGGCCCTTGAGAAGTTCCGCAAGCGCAGAGTTGACCAAGGTTTCGGATTCGGCGTCCAGGGCGGAGGTGGCCTCATCGAGAATGAGAATATCAGGATCCTTGATGAGGGCACGAGCAATGGCGATGCGCTGCTTCTGGCCACCGGAGAGCTGGGCGCCACGGGCGCCAACCTGGGTCTCGAGGCCGTCGGGGAAGTCGCTGATGAAACCGCAGTTGGCCTTCTGGGCAGCCGCAATGATTTCGGTGCGCGAAGCCCGGGGCCTGCCGTAAGCAATGTTTTCGGCAATGGTACCCGAAAAGAGGACGGGCTCCTGGGAGACCATGCCGATGCGACGGCGGAGAGACTTGGCGTTCATCTTGGAAATGTCGACGCCGTTGATGGTGATAGTACCGGATGTGGGGTTGTAGAAGCGCAGTAGCATGGAGCCAATAGTCGACTTGCCTCCTCCCGAAGGACCGACAATGCACACGTTGGTGCCCGAGGGGATCTCAAAGTCGAGGCCGTTGAAAATCGTAACATCGGGTCTGGTAGGGTAGGCAAACGTCACGTTGGAGAACTTGATGGGACCCTGGGCAGAGGTAACCTTCAAACCAACGGTCTGGGGAATGGTCGGCTTGCGATCCTCGAGCTCGAACAAGCGGCTCGCTGCGCCGACACCCTTCATCAGTTCCGAGTAGAAGCCGCTGACACCGAAGAGACTCGAACCAGCAAAGACAGTGTACATCATGAACGAGGTCAAATCGCCGAGAGACATGGCGCCTGAGCGAACGAGGTTTCCACCCACAATCAGCATGGCCAGAATCGTCATGTTCCCAGCCCAGCTCGTCGAGGAGAAGAAGACAGCCGAGACAATGGCCTCCCTCCGACCCAACGCAAAGATCTTTCTGACCTGCTTGTTGTAGCGACCAACTTCTTGCACTTCAGCGGCAAAGGCCTGGCTAGTCTTGATGTTACCCAAACGTTCCTCGGCGATCTTCATGAGCGAACCAACGTTCTTCTGAATCTGCCTGCTCAAGTTGCGAATCGTGCGACCATAGAATACCGCTCCAAGACCGATAGGGGGAACCATGATGAGAATGATGGATGTCAGCTTGGGGCTGAGCCAGAACATGGCCGCGAAACCCGCCGCACCGCTAACCAGAGAGCGAAGACCATCAGACACATTTTGGGTAATGCTTTTGCCCACGACAACGGTATCGGAGTTCAGTCGCGAGATCAGATCACCGACCCTGTTGGCATCGAAGAACTCGGCATCCTGGACGTAGGTGCGGCGGTAGAGGTGCGAGCGCAACCGAGCCACGACACGCTCGCCGACGATACGGAGGATGATGATTCTGCCGAAGTTGGCCGTCGCACCAAGAGTGAGAAGACCAGCGAGACCACCAAAGAACTGATAGAGGGTAAGACCGAAGAGCCGAACCTCGTCGGCGGGACCCTGGGTGGAAAGATCCAGAATCCTACCGACAGAGAAAGGGATGGACATGGTAACCGCGGACGAGATAAGAAGCAAGACGAATGCGACACTCAGAGCCTTAACCTCGGGGCGCGCAATCTTGATCAGACGCCAGACCTCGGCGAAGCCGGGCTTGGTGCCTGACTGACTCTTGCCATCCTTGGACAGACGAGCGCTCATGTTGATATGGGCAGCCTTTTGCGCCCTCTCGCTTTTCGCAAAACCGTGTACCTTGAGGTGTTCTTCAGATGCATCTTCCTTGGTCTTGTTGAGATCTTTCGCCGCCTCTTCCGCTGTCTCTGCCACAGCCTCCTTGGCCGACTGCTCCCGTAGACGGGCTTGCGAGGTCGATAGCTGGCGGAGAACGCCGAAGGGGGAAGTCCAACGTTGAGATTGTATGCATGGTCGTGAGCCGAGATAGGAGGACGAGAAGGGGACTGAAGCGGTCGCGAAAGGTGTCGTCGAAAACCGGGGTAGAGAGGAGAATGGACGGCAGGATTTCGCGGACAGGATCGAGGAAGTTATAGTGGGGGAATGTTGGAATGGCAGCAAGGCCGCGAGCCCGGCGCCGCTACCGCCGCATTGGGGGAGCAGCACGGCGCGGCGCACCGCTGCCCCCGTAACCATGGTTTGAAGTATGTGTGTCTTGGATAGATCGAGTGTGTAGGTAACTAGTCTCGCTGTGTCGAGAGATTTCGGTGTCGAGTTTCTATCATATCATGTCGGTATTGTAGTAGGCTATATTACTAGGTAACTGCCTGATGCGCAACCGCCAACACGCATGCGCGCGTGTATCTGCTCTTGTCAGCGAGTCAGCGTCCGGTTTCCTGCGTGCGAAAATGGGTAGATTTGGTGATGTATTCTAGGTTGTTGAGGGACTGAAGGAGACGGGAGGAAAGAAGTGGAAAGGTTGCCAAGGAAGAGGGCGGCCGGGACGGATGGGGAGATGTTACCTCGATGATGGAAGGAAGTTGAGATGACAGGCGGGCAGTTCGGTCGGCTCGGTCGTCGGTGCAAAAACCCTTGCTTGTCCCGGCGGACGGGATCTGAGCTGCTGGACTTACGGCAGTGGTCAATCGCCGGTTTGGCCCTGCAGCAACTGCGATTTGGCGCCTAAGTTCGTTCGATTGTTCTTCAATTGTCACTCTCCCCCAACAGGGCAAAGCGCGCGTCTTTCGGCATTTCGTCATTCGGCCAAGCAGCAGAGCAAGCCACGTTATTGCCGGCGGCATCCATTGTCAATTCCGGATTCCGACAATCACGTTCACGATGTCGGCAGCTTCCATAAGTGGCCCGTGCTCAAGCTTGGCCCATGCCACTACCTCAGGGGTATTGGAGCTCCTGGAACTCTGCGGACGTCATCATATTCAAAGGTCACCAAAGACAAGAAAAAGGACGAAAAATACAATTGCTTGTTTGACTGCCTCTCAATTCAATTACGATATCTCTCTACAGCTAACTGACTGGCCATATGAGCTTCCATTTGCCCGTCAAGAATGAAGCACGCCATAATAGTTCTGTCCTTCTGTACCTCCACACTCTCTCCAGAGAAGGTTTCAGGCCCGCGCCAAAATGCCATGTGAATGATGATTCTCGCCATACAGCCATTATCGTTCCCCTAGACCAGCTGGGCCGCAGGCAATGTAACCAAAACGGCCGGAGAATTGCAATAAATTTCCTGGCCTACAGAGCCTTATCCCCTTCTTTAACCTTTGGCGAAGATCCAACCGAAATTGCCTTCTAAGCCGTGCTTTCCTTCCGAACCATCTCAGCGACATCGGCATCTATGCCTACATCAGGAAAGTCCTCGGTCTCGTCGATCTTGCGCTTCTTGGCCTCGCGAGTCGGAACAGACTCATATTGCGAAGCGAGGGCGGACAGCATCTCAATGCCAGGGGCGGATCCGGTTGGGTGGGCATGACCGTTCTGCGGCTGTTGTTGCTCAGACGGGTGATTGTCGTAGAAATCGTCGTGATCTTGGACATGAGGAGGCGTGAGTGCTTCGACCTGGGGACGGGCGATGTCGTGGCCATCCGAGCTGGTTGGGGCACGCTCCTCGCCGGTAGCCGGCTCTTGGGCATTGTGAGGCAAGCCGCCGATGATGCTGAGCTCAATTGCTTGCTTCTTCTCCTCGACTGCCGTCTTACGGGTGCCTAGATCCCTCAGCTGTGACTGCTCAGCGTCCAGGGCCTGCCGGTTAGAGTTCAACATCTTCTCCAAGGCACTGATAAGCTCCTCGCGGGTCTTGATGCACTCCGTGACAGCCCCCTCAGCATTGGCGAGGTTCTTAAGCAGCCCATTGAGTCGCGCAGCATACACTGGCGCCTGAGGAGGAGCGTAGACCGGATCCATCAGCTTGCTGTAGTCCGAATTGGCGGTAGTAAGGCTTGTCTTCAGCGCCTGGGCACTCTTGGTAACTGCTTGCTGTGAGGTAACCAAGGGCGCCAATTCTGGAGGCACCGTTGCAGCTGGCGTCGATAATGATGTGGAACCGAACATTGGGCCACCGGAGCGGGCTGAGTCAAGCTCTGGATTAAACAAGTTAGTAATCTCTCCTAGGAAGGGCTGGGGCATGGATTGTCAGAACTTACCTCTTAGTCGAGAGTCTATAGCATCCTGGACTTCCATGGGGAATATCTTGCGCTCTCTCCAAACATCGACAACCCTTCGGAGCTTGTTCTGGATGTCTGACGAGGCGCCCTTATAAGACAACGCGGTTGCATCCGCGATGAAGGGTGAGAAAGCCTGAAGGAAGTCATCCTTATTGCGAGCTTTTGATTGCTGCGTCACCTCTGTGGAGAAAGACGGAAATGGTCAGCATTCAGTCTCAAACGAGCAGAAAGGACTGAACGGTTCTGTCCCAAAACGAACGCCCGGGGCACGTATGTAACGTTGTGGGACAGCCTAGAAGATGCACTCACCGTTTGCAAGATAAATCATGTTGAGCCTCTTGGGACTGGGGAGGTCCTTCAGCTTGGTCAACCAGAGATGGACAGTCTGGGCAGCATGTCGCCTAAGAGACATCAACAGTCAGTTCGTCGGTCAAGGCACCAAATAAAAGGTAAACGCGGTCGTCGTAGGCAGCGGGAGCTTACCGATGGAACATGATCCACTGGGCGGTGGTTGCAATACTCTCATGAGTCTCAGTGAGTGCAGAGAGCTTAGAGAGCACAGCATCCTCGTTATACGCCATGATGATGTTGCGATATTGGTTGCTGATGGCTGGTGGCCGATACTTTCACCCACGCCGGCTGAAGGGCTGGGTTGGGGTTGTTGATGGTTTGTGGTTGGTGATGGACGGGCAGATGTTTATGTAGATGTGCGGTGTCGGGCTTATTCAGAACTCATCTACAGCAGTACGAGGAGGTATCCGTGTTGTTTGTGTGTATAGCAGTGACTCCAGACGCAGCCGAGTGATGATCTAGAATATGGATCGAAAAGCCCTTGGGAACAACCTCAAATAGCAGAAGCGTGGACTATCAACACACAACACTGGACGACGGCAAGAGAAGTGCTCAGAGTGAACTAAGCAGTCAAGCTCTGTGGTCCAACTACACCGGAGTCGTTTTCCTGCTATTACCAATGCTGTCACCAGGAAGAGTTTGCAGTGCGAAGAGCAAATGAGCGTGATCTGGATGCTCTGTGACAAACAACTGAAACCAGGTGCTGAATGTTGTTGATGGAAAGGAAGAAGGAAGTCAGTCGAAAGAAGTTGACGACGGGAGGTGGAAACGAAACAGACGTTGGGGCTTCCTCCATCCGTCCAATGCGAGGGCGGGCAAGAGGGACAACGCCTGCCGCAGACTTGCCTGCCGGTAGCTGTTCGACCTGAATCTGTCACTGCAGCTGTCGTCCCCTCCGGCTTCCCCTGGCCAAAGAGGGTCCCGTCCCGACCTGGCCGCCCGCTGTGGACAGTGCCAAAGTGCCAAAGTGGCCGCTGTGAGTGGCGTCCCGTCGCAACCTGGCGCGATCAGGAGCGCTGGGGCTGCAACTCGGACTCCCGCAGTGCAACACCAACACCAAGACACTTCCATCAAACAAACCTTCTCGTTTCGCAACTTTCTTTGATCGACCTACCTAATCCTTCAATCTGCAGTCCACTTCTCCAGCCTCAAGTCTTGCCCGTCCGCGCCCGATCAACCAAAAGTCAACCACACCTCCAACACACCATGGCTGACAGATTCCCCTCGCTGGAGGAGTTCGACTCCGGCGGTAAGCTTGGCATTTGTTTGGAGATCCCCTTACCTTGCTATCACTGCCTGCTAACATTTACCCCCCAAAAGCCCAGACCGAGATCAAGGAGGGCTCTGGAAGCCCCTCGGCCTCCAACTTCCTCGAGCGTGAGAAGGCGCTTCTCGGCGACGATGCCAACCAGTTTGCGACAGTTGAGGATGCTGGTTTCGACGATGACAACGACCTCCTAGGGGGTGGCCTCGACTCCTCCGCTGGCGCCGGCGCCGGTATTGAGACTGACGCTGCTTTCGAGAGCCAGTTCCCCGACCTTTCCGCAGGCAACGAGGTACGAATAAACAATAATCACCCAATACAGCAAGCATTCATGGTCCTGGGTTCTAACAAGGGTGTTTTCACTTTAGTCTGTTGCGCCCGGCGGCACCATCACTGGCGCCGGTCCTTCCGTCACCTACAACTCCGGATATGCGCCGTATGCCGAGCAGGAGCAAGAGCCCGAGGTGATCAGGGAGTGGCGCGAGAAGCGTGATGCGCAGCTTGCCAAGCGGGCGGAGCAGTTCGCCGCCCAGAGAGCCGAGACCATCGCGGAGGCCCAGCAGAACATTGACGAATTCTACGAGAACTACAACAACAAGAAGGAGAAGGCGATTGCGCAGACCCGCAAGGAGGCCGACGAGTTCCTTGCCAGCCGCGAGGACACCACATCGGGAGGCACGAGCTGGGAGCGCATTGCCAAGCTGGTTGACGTTAGCGGCAAGGGAGCTAAGGGCGGTGCTGCTGGTTCCGGCAAGGAGCGTTTCCGCGAGCTCCTGATAAGCCTAAAGAAGGACGAGAAGGCCCCCGGTGCCTCGGGAATTTAAAGCGCTTGCTTGACCTGCCCGCATGAGAAAGGGGACAACTGGTTGCCATTATTCACAGACTCACGCTACCCATCATCCATGGCCACTACCACATGGCCAAGAGAGCCATAATTTTGTAATGATAGAAAAGGCTTGCCAGCTGCAGCCATCAGTATTTGGGGCTTGGTAGTCGAAGCGCCGAGACCCAATGGATCACGATTTCCACGGTTACAGTAGCTCCCAAAGGTGGTCGGTGGGATCCAGGATGCAAATAGGGAATATTGGCGTGGTGGCATACTTCTTGGAGGAGTCACCCAAAAGCGGCCTTCCCTCTGCCGCCGTCTATGCTGCTCTTCGTGACTATACACATATTCAAAGGGAATCACTTGCTTCTCTCATGTCCCAGTAACACCTCCTTCGTTGGCTATCGTAGTAGGACGGCTAGTTTAATCCTCCTGGAACCAGGTGTTGTAGCCGAGAACCTTGCGGGACATGGCGTACATGGAAGCTGATGTATAGTTAGCGGAAGGACCAAGGACGAAGTGGTAAGCTATAAATGAAGGTATACGCACCGCCGAAGGTACCCCACATGGCAATGTTGAAGGTGGTAATGATGATGCCGCTGCGAGGGCCCTGTTTGCCATTTCATCATCAGCCCTTGTCCCGACAAAACCTCCCTCTCTGTCTCTCTCTCTCCTATTTCCCATCTGTCGATTCCCCCTCCATGCTCGAGTGTCGAATTCAACTCACGATCTTCCAGAGGCGGGTGTGGTTCTTGTAGGCCTGCTGGTAGAAGCGCTGCTTCTCAGGGACGCGGTTAGGGGCGTTGACGAGGCCGCTGCAGTCGGGAAGAAAGGGAGCTGTTAGCCTGGGGTTCCGAAATCGTACGACGAATAATAGTGCGTCATGACGACAGGCAATTGGACTTGGGGTGGCGTCCGCAATGCGCGCAGTCGCTGGAGAGTCGTCGGGTCGTCGAGAAGCTCGGAGTCGGAGGGGAGAAGCTTACGCCATCTTGAATTGTTGTCGGTGGTCGTTGGGTGGAGGATTCCGGGGGGGTGATGCGAGGGGTTGGTGTGATGATGTCGAATGCGTGGAAAGGACGGAGAGTTAGCTTTGAACCTCTCAATGCTCCAGGTTTCTCGGCTCGGGGCTTCCTGTGGTGCACGGACTTGTGGATGGAGACTGCAGACCTGACGGCGGAAGCTCTGCCTGCCTGCCAGTTGTAAAAGCATTGGCCAGTGCTCACAGCTCTCAGCTGATGCCGAGTGCCTCACTTTGACCTTCAGAAGCTCAGCGGACTCGATGCCTGCCGGGGAGCAGCTGTTCAGTACGTACAGGATGACTAAGCAGTATTTTAGAGGAGCTTTCCATGCAAGGTCCTCCACTTTGTGTCTCGGCCACTCGAGAACGTCAAAGCTTCCAACCCCAAGTTTCCACATCCCCTCACAACCCCATCCGTGGGACCGCGATACCCCAGAACTCGAGTCAGTCAACGAAGCGCCACGTACTTCGCGATACATACGATCGATACGAACAACGACGCCGAATAATCCAGCGGCGACTTCGAAACCAAGAATAAATCGACATGATCGCTTGAAACACCCGCTAAGAAGAGTCCCCGCCGCTCATATGCCCAATTCCTTGTGTCGAGCGGCCACGATACCATTATGCGAGCCGTGCCTCCTGTGCTGCGACATGTAGCTCGCTCGGGCCGCTCCACCATATCGCACTTATACACGGACGCTGTGCACTTACAAGCATCTGGACTACCAGGATGCGTCAACTTCTCAACGAGCGCGCGCCGGTCGAGGTCGTTGACGGCATACGCACATGGGGAGGGTTTGGCGGCGGAAGAAGACCACGGTGTTCGGAATACAAAGACGGCTCGGGGCTCGGCAGTGCAGGCGCTACCAGGCCAAGTGTCTAATACATACGACCTGTCAGGACGGCCAAGCTTTCGGTCATCCCGCGTCGCCAACCAGCCCTTCAACCGTGAGGATTGGGATATCTTGACGGTTAGCGAGGAAGACTTGCGCTTCCAGTGTGATGTCCTCGCAGAAACACCAAAGGATGGACAGCCGCGGCTGGTTGACTGGCCACAGTATGCGAACGACATCACTCTTTGGTCGTGCATACTTGAGCACCGCCAACGCACCGAAGGAGATGCCGGAGTCGCTGTAGTTCTCGAGGGCCTGCAAAAACGGCAAACCTTGACGGAAGTGGAAGGCCCAAATGCTGAGAAATTCTGGCAAGCAATACTAGACGTGGCCGTTCGCGATCAAGAAATGCTACACAGTGCTTGGTCCTATGCTGAGTGGCTCTACAGCGACCGCGGAGTCCTTTGGCCAAACCTCTACGCAGGTGTTGTATCTTTCTTCATAGCGGAACAGGATATACAGTCAACTCTGCTATGGCACTTACGCCTAAGCTCGTCGTTTTGCTCCGACTCAGAACCCCTTACCCAAGTGCTGAAGCAGTTCATCACTAATTCAGACGCAAAGGTTCGAGAAATCCTACAAGCACTCTACAAGACGAGTGTCCGCCAAAACCTCTACGACGATTTCATTCCCTACCTCTTCGCTCAAGGAGAGGAAGGTATTGCCCGTGATTGGCGTCGGCTGTTTATTTCTCACAACGACTTGCCAACAACCGAAGCTTCTCGGCCATTCTTACAGTTTTTGACCGGCTTTCATCCGAAGATCCAGTTGACCACCAAAGAACAGTCTTTCCTTACACCGAGTAAACCTGCGCTTCTGAGCAGTGCAGATCTGAACAACCTTCTAAGAGACGACAACTCGCAAGTTGATATCAGCTTCGACTACCAAATCTCCAAAAGTCTGGGCAATGTGTTCGGCATCAAGGAACAAACAGATAATGACAGCTTGGGCGCTAGATGGTTTGCGACCCTCGACTTCTCCATCGAAACCATCATTGGCACAGTCTCGACTCTCGGCTTCTCTGAAATTGGGCCACTCTCGTTACAGTCTATTGCCCGGCGCGAACCATCCCCCGACCGACTCCTTCACCACATTGCACAGCTGCAAGCGTCTGGAATCAGTATTGGCAACTCAACCTATTCGAAGACACTACAACACTTTGCTACAGTTGGCGACGAGGAGCTGTTCGAGGGTCTCACGCATACGGCCATGCATCCGGAAGAGTTCGACAACTCTGCCAAGCACCCCTCGTTTCTGAGTTGCGCCGCTGCGGAGGGAGACTTTATGCTCTGTCGACTCCTTTTGGAAGCTAGTCATCTCAAAACAAGACAACTTCTGGAAGATTCAACGAACGGAGCATTGTTGGTCTGCTTGAAAGCTAACAACGCTTCGCCTATGGTTGGCTTCATGGACATTATGGCCGATGGAAACATCGAACTGATGCACTCTACGGCCGATGCTATATCAAAACATGTATGCGAAGAGATAGTACCAGGGCCTGCGAAAGATGGCGTGGATATTTCCTCCTATGCCACCATGTATAGACGGCTTCTACGACTCGGATATCCTCTCGCAGCCAAAGCTTCTCAGATTATCCTTTTCAGGCTCGGCCGTGAAGGACTACATGACGAGCGCGACGATCTGGCGTTGGACATTGTCAGCTTCTATGAGGGTAGCTTGGGACCTGAGAGGGGCTCTTTCCGGGTTCACAAGCTCGATCTACCCGACGCAGTCGCTCAGCAATTGCCGAAGTCAGAAAGGTTTATGAGCATTCCATCCAAACTGAGCACGACGAGCCCCTACCATCCACTGCAGATGGTTTTTGGAACGGAGCTCTTGGGGTCGATCATCCGCTGGGGTTTCCGCAGTTCCAGGGGCATGCCTTGGGATGGAACAGAGTTCTCGAAGCCGGCACATTTCTTTTTCGCCCGAGGCATCAAGCTTGTGGCAATGCTCAAGGAGAGGGGGGTGAGGGCTGATGACTCTTGGACTCGCTCGGTGATTGTCCCAGCTCTCACCGTACTCTTGGTCTCAGGCGAGGTCAAGCGCTTCCACCGGCCTCAGAAACATGGGCACCACTACGTTACCCCAAAAGTGAGGGAGACTCTTTCGCTGAAAGAAGCCATCAGATTGTGTAATCTTGCCTGGGGCTCCTACGTCCTGGAACGTCTGCCCGAGCTGGTTCACCACTCAATGAAGGAGTGGAAGCTCAAACTTAAAAAGACCCAGCCAGAACTGTTCATACCTCATGAACGCGAGTATGCGGTGGGGAGCAGGCTGTGGGTGAAGTATGGCCCAGGTGGTAGGCCACCGTTCGCCACCAAACTAAAACGTCAATATCGACAGCAACAAGAGGAAGCAGACGCCAGTCTAGATCCGGATGCGCAAAACTCAACAGTCAAGGAAAGCTCAGAAGTCAAAACGGAAGACGACTTCTTCCAGGACTTTGAGGGCTTCGATCGCTTCCTCAAGTAACAGTAAGAAGCAGTTGAGCTGCTGCGGGATACACAGTACCGACCGAACAAACCAACATCTACTTCATGATTTGTCCTCCGACTTCCGACATGTAATCGCGTTTTGCATACATTGGTTGCGGTCATATAGATATACAACTACGAGAGGGATCTATAGACGATAGAGGACACGGAGTCCACAAGGTCATGGTTTACAGGACATGATGAGAGCAAGAGAGAGAGAGCACGAGCTTCCGCGAGGAGGAACAACAGAACAACAGTTTTGCTTGGGTCTGAAACAGACAGACGCTTTGCACTCAATGTACATATTTGAGAGTTGTTTACATATCTGATTTTCTTTTCTATTGTTCAACAATTTAGCATTATATATATATATATATCTAGCAAGAAAGATGTTCACAAGAGACAGCCACTTCCGTCATGAGATCACGGCAAGGCCTCATCACCATCCGGCCTTTGCCCAAGAGGGTATCTAATATCCGGTCAACTTGGTAAGTAGCTCAATCTCATGCCATCCAACCGCCGGCGCTGACTTACATTACTGGCTCATTCAGGACCATTCGCCAACAGTACCCGGAGTGCCATGGCATGTCCCTTCTCACTCATATCTGGGAAGAGCCACTTCCCTTTCCCATTCACTCACCTGAACTACCATAGAACCCAGCTAGTCCGTGTCAACTGAGTGAATGAGTGCGCGAGTGACGTCTGGGGCTGGCTGGCTGTGGGCTGTTAGTTAAGGGCTGAGTCAACTCCTTTACTCAAGCAAGGCGCTTAGCTATCTTTCTACGATGGCATCACTCACTTTTACTGGTCTATCATTTAGTCATTTAGTCATTTTGAGCGGGGTCAAAGGGGATGAGGATTCAAAACGGCTAGTGCTAGCAGGATGGAAGGATGTGGGATTTGAAGAAGAAATGAGGGGGGGTTGGAGGGCTTGGGGACGGCTATAGGCTGGGGAGATGCCCGGCTTGAGAAGGGGGGGGAGGGAAAGAAGGATGAGGGTGAGCTTTCTCCAATGAATTCTGTCTCATTTCTGTAGTGGATTGGGATGATAGGTGGGAGATCAAAAGGCCGCCTTGAAGGAGGAAGGGACACCCTTCGATAGAACCACCTAGAAGAGAACTTTTCATGCTAAGACTTGGCGATGAGAACAAAAGGAAAAGCCATGGCTTAAACCGACAACCAACATTGGTGTTATCTCGACGAGGCAAGTGGCATCCAATGGTATACCCGAAGATGTACCTCACCACTGGATGGGCAAAATTGGCCAGTCCCCAGAGGAGAGGAGAGACGAAACCTCATACCAGGCAGCCACATCCACACCTACCCCAACATCTTGGTCTTGGTCTTGGTCTTGCCGGCTTCGGAGATTTTGAAGCGAGGTTAACCTGGCTGGCTCGCCTAGCTAGCTTGGAGCTGGGAAGCGCCCTACGCCCAAGACAAATGACGGGGCGGGATACGGGAAAGCAAGGTACATGGGAGTTTCTAGAGATGGCCAGGTCAGGTGGATGGGTTAGGCAGATGATTATTCGGTGATGGAGATGGAGATGATAACGGAAAGCCGGGGAGGAGAGGATCGAACCGTCGAGTCATCTCATCTCCATCCGATCGAACTGGACTAGACATGAGATGGAAAGGCATGGCATGGCATGGCATGGCATGGATCCTATCGGGTTGAATAACCGGTGATAGGGCCGACAAGTCATCGACAGGAGACAGCCGAAAAAGATACCACTACCAGAGAAGGACTAGGTGAAATTGAATGTTGGGGAGGCAGACAGAACGTGTTGGATGCTCAGCTAGCTTGGCGAAGAGCTGATAGGGAAAAGGGAAAGGGGAGGAGTGATAGTTCTGGCAACTCTCCGGTCATTCCAAGGCTTGCTGATGGTGACTCCCGTTGGACTACTCAGGGACCTACCAAGGCATACCAGACAAGACGGTATCTAGAGGTTTTCGGTTTGGGACATCCGAAGCCACCATTAACAAGCCCGAGTCCTCCTTACAGGAGAGTCCAGAATGACGTAAGTAAGCCAGCAACAAGCTTATCAACAAACCAGTCTACTAGACCGAAGGCTCTCTGCACAGCCGCCGAGTGAACGGAGAACTATACAGAAAGAGAAAACCGACGAGGCAACAACCCCAACAAGATGTCGTCTACTGTAGGATATGTACTTGGCCGTTACCCACTCAGAGCCGCAAAGCGAACGATGGCTTCAAAAAGTTCACACCACTTCATGATCACGTTGCCAGCTACTGGACCATCCAGAGACTCGAGAGACTCGAGGGACTCCATACAGAAGAGGTCTCCGAAAAGGCAGAAAAGACAACAGGAAACACAAGAGATCCTGCCATCGCTGTCGAAGTCGCTTTGGTGTTCGACAGTTCGACAGTTCGGTGGTTGTCTGATTGTCCAAGACATCGCCGGTGGCCAATGAGATCTGCAAGAGACCCCTGTTGCGGCGAGCTTTTGGGTAGCTTATAGCTTGGCGTGGATATTTAGGACAGGGGTCTTTTGTTTTACGCCAGTGACGCCTCACGCCTGGTCTCAGGGGATTTTGACACTGACGAGGAGAGATGGAGCGGATGATGCCATCCGTGGTTCGTTGTGCGCATCCCTTTCGATGATTCCAGCTTCCCAGGTGGATTTCAACAGAGAGAAAGATACTGAACCGGAAATTCACGGCGGAGGACTCCGTTCTCATTCGTGATGCTGTGGGCAAGCAAAGCTGAGGAGTTGATGCGTTGTACAAAACTCAGGGCAAGATTTTGGTACAGAAAGGGAGGAGGGAGGCAGCCGTTGATTCTGTAGCGGTCTCGGTCTCGACGACCGGCGACCGCAACTGAAAAGTGCCACGTCACCAGCCTCACTTTCCCTCTCGGTTTCTTTCCACTGCAATGGTATTTCGAGTGTGGCGGAGCGAGACTGGATGATTTGGTTGGTCAAATTCATTGGCGATATCTTCGCTTCTTTCTTTGCACTCGCCACACCCATGGAGCCGACCGGCCGGCCACGGCCACAGCGGCGGCCACAGTGTCTCCAGCAGTTCGGGTTCGGTTTTTGAGACCTTTCAGAAGGATTCGGAATGAAGCGTTTCTGGGAACGAGGCCCAGTGGCCGAAAAGCCGACCAGATGGATCCCAACATTCAGGCTTTGGGACGAAGGAAGCCCTGCAACGCTTAAACGCATGCGATGCGATCTGGATGACTGGCGTTAGGTCAGGTCGCTGGCGTTGGTTTCTGGTGGAGAATTTTCGGCGAAGTCAACCGATGACCCCTAGGCGATGGAGGCTCACATCGTAGCAGTGGCATCGAACTCGAACTATTTCTCTGATCATCGACAACTTGTCAATGAGGGATTGGATGCCCAACTTGTTCATTGGAGAATTGGAGGTTGTTGTTATGCAGAATTCAGCTTGCTTGGTCCACCATCCTACCTACGAGCGCGTATGACTGACCAGGTAGTCTCGAAGTTCCTGTTGATACCCCCTTGTAGTTGCTGATGCACAACCGTTGGCCTCAGGTAAGGTACCGCATGTACAATTATGAACCCACATTCCGTATACGTAGGTAGTTTTCTCCAGGGTGCTGTGATGATTGAAGGAAAACTCTGACTTTTCGTCACGTAGAATCCTCTTCAATATCCGCACCGAAATCTCTTCAACAAGGACCATAGAGAAACACTCCATGCTCTTAGAATTTGACTCAGCAAAATCACAGAAGATCCGGCCTGACCTACCCTTTTCAGTAGGCCTGAGGTCCAGCAGGGTGTTTAGTCACTGTGATTGGAAAATGAAGACTCCTCCAAGTGCTCAACTCCTCCAGACCAAGAAAGCCCACGACACCCACTGGGCAACAAGCCAAAGTGATTGGTTACAATTCCTCCTCATTTTCCAACCAATCAGACCTGTGCTCTGCGCCGAATCAAGACACTGCAGGATTGAGCAAGGGGACGGATCGACGAATGGTAGCGTGGATTTGGGCGGCTGTCGAAACGATGGCATTTTTGACGATGCCCACTGGGCGGTTTACGGCAGGCGAACAAAACCCCGACTTGCGGAATCCATTGGCTTCCGAGATGCTGGGGTTCATGTAGTGTATGTGAGCTATCATTCCTCTGTGAAGAAGAGTGAAGTCTGTTCCAGTGAGACACAGCAGGGCAACCACACGATGTCTTCAATGGTGAATGTCCCAGTGGCCCCCCATCCATGATCCATCCACCCCTGGACCAAAGAATGTCGTGCTTCCCCAGAACAACGTGGGTGACATGGCCTGCCGATGGCTTACGGACGGACGCTTGCTTGCAATGAACTGATCGATCAGCAACCCGTCCGTCCTCCGTCGTGCTTCACTCGTCACGACAATTACCTGTAGCTTTGACGAATGAACGAACCTCGACAAGCCGGTTCCACGGGAGCGAACGCCCGAGGTTAGATCTGGGACACGCCGTGAGTCTGCGTACAGAACTCGCTCGGTGCGAGGGGATAGTCGGCTCGCTTGTGGTGTCCTTCAATCTCTCTATCTCGTCTCCCACGGACGCGATTGACACTTGATTGACACGACACGGCACAAGTCGCTACGGGCGTTGTGGGATGTGCGCAGACTGGGGACCTGGAGCTGGGACGGGATGGATAGATGACGAGATGGGCGATGGACGATGGACCGTGGGATGGGAGATTTTGTATTGTCTGTGCCATGGTCCTGGTATTGGAGTGATGGTGATGATGCCGTCCATTATACCTGAAATTATTCCTCGGACAGGACCCGTTCTTCCTTGTTTCCTTTCTTTTGCCGGGGAGTTCATTAGCGCCTCCGGGGGATCAACGACATGGATCCTGTCATTTTGAATGAAGCGTAGGGCGTTGATGACATTTTGCTCAAAATCCTTGATGGCCTCGGGGGTTCTTGTGATAAAGGGTCGGATAACAGTGATAGGTAGGCAACAGAAATAAGAGACCATCACAGAGGAGACGGATTTTCTCATTCCCGATGTCTAGTGTAGCCCGGCATGTGAGAGAACTTGATGGGGTTGAGCACGTCAGAGATTCCAACTTTTCCTTAGTTCTGGGTGGGTATATGACGGAGATATCACACCAAGCCTGGGGATTCTCGCGATCCCCCGAACTCGTAGGTTTTTGTAGGTGACCCTGGGACGAGGGCGAGAGAACCCCGCGTTCAACCATCCATGGAACCTTGCCGTCCATCAAATTGCCGTGCCGTCTTGAGCCGATTGACTTTGTCTATTCTGATCCCAAAAGCCAGGGACATCCATGGCTATAAGATGGCCAGACAAATGGGCCGGGGGCACTGCTCTTCATATCCTCAGTCGGCCTAGATGGTCGGCCAAGGGGGGCTCGGGGGCTCATCACCAACACGCAAATTGCTTCTGACGAGGTGAGCAGCCATCTCCGGGCCTCGAATGGAGGCTCTCGTTCGGGATGCCCAAGGAGAGTCTACCACATCAAAGGAGCAAGAGGATCGAATGCGACCAGAGATTGAGGGGAGAGGGGGGGTAGCATTGAGCAGAATCCCGTTGTTAACTCGCGCCCAATGGCACACTTCGCATCGCCTTCTGGGTGCTCATAGGGCATCTCCGCATGCATAAGGTATTCCAGGGCTGTCTTTGCCTGTCTTTGGTTGTCTTTTTGAGCATGAGGTAGCGTCAGGTACAATACCGCAGGTACAGCCCAGGTACAGCTGCGATCCACCGAGAACAGGGCGGTACAGTGGAACCCCCTTCCTGAGGTGTTGTTCATCTCCCCACTCTTCCCGCTCCAGGTGCACCCTTGCACCGCACTAAATGCTATTGACACCATGCAGCCCAACCAACGGCAACGATGCTTTTGCCTTTTGACAGTTTCTTCTTTCCTCTTCTCAAACCACAAGAGGTCGCCAACTTGGATGCAGATTAGACACCGCTCTCCACTGCGCTGCTGTCTTCTCCCCTCTTCTCTTCCACTTTCTCAACTTTTAACGATGACTCTTCACCCAGGTTCCCTCCCCCTCTTTCGGGCATCTTCCAGGTTGTCGTGGAAAAAAGGTCAAATGCCAGTGCACAACGCATCATGCGTCGTCGCTCATGCTGAAGATGGTCAAAAGTCAGGTGTTGTCGAGTTGACAGCACTTCAACCATACGCCACCCCGAGTGTCAAAAGATAGCAACAATTACTGCCCTGTACCTTGGAATTACACCACGAGTGAGGGCGGCCGTCCGGACTATGGGCCATTGAGGTTCCCATGTTCCCATGTTCCCATGTTTCCACCGATGGACTGGCTATCATACCAACCCTGGCCCTTGTACCTTCCACCCATACAGGTCCGCGTGGTGTACTTGGATTGACATGGTCGACATTTCCCAAGCACATTGTCGCCGACCTCGTCCATCTCATTGGCGGCAGATCCTTACTCTACGCGGCAAGTCAGGAACATGGGATCTTTTTGCCGCGCTATTGATATCTCGACTTTACTGCTACTCTACTGCCACTCTACCTACCTCATGAGCAAGATCTTGCCTTCACTACCCGACTAACTCTTCCTACTACCTTGTCATCTCACTTTCTCTTCACTTTTCTTTCTCGAGGTGGTACCTCTCCCGCTTGGCTACCATCACTCCCTCATTACCACTTCAAACCAACTTGACTCAACTTACCAAAGCCTCGGAACGCTCTACCTTACCGGGGCTTCCACGTTGTAACTGAATTGAGGCTATCCAGTTCCGAGAAGCTCAACCAGCAGTCTAACCTAGGTAAGTGTATTTGTTCCGTCTGCCTGGGCTCACAAGTACTTTCTTTTCTTTTCTGTTTTATGGATGCTACATCCGACGACGCCTTCCCTGATGCGTATCCGTATTCCCCCTTTGCTACTTCCACATTACTACACATCACTAGTGCTGTGATACCTTCCACCTCTTCAACTTAATCTAACCCCCACCACCCACACACCCTCCATCTCGTCTTACACACAATCTGCTTCCCAATACACTACACCCTGGCCCAAGAAAATATTAGCGGCCCACCATCACATTTTACCCACACTCAACCACTTACACACCAGACCCCATTCGGGGCCCATGGTTCCCAGGAATTGAGAAAACTAACTAGTAGGGCATCTATCCAGGCACTACTGAACCATCATTCCTTTTCTCAGCCTCTTTCTTCTAAATTTTCCGTCCTTTTGTTCTTCCGGTCACCATGGACGTTGCTTAATCCACTCGCTGCTGTTCAAAACTTGTCGGGTACTTCGGCTCCCGGTGGAATACTAATACGGGATCAGCACTTAATTGCCACGGGCAGGATCGAGCACCGGTGTTCCGCGATACGACTAGGCTACTCCCGTTGTGCCCGTCACAGCCTCCCGCCCCTGAACACATACTAGCAGCGCGGTAGACTTTGGTTGTGTTACTCTCGCACAGCATTCATGTCGTGGACCACGGAGCAAGAGTCTTAGTATGGTTCTGTTAGCCGGGCTTCCTCCGTGGGATATAGGATCACAATGGCTTCCCAAAGGCCAGGACTCGGTCCTTCAGGCTTGTCAGCCGATAGCAGGCTCAAAAGTCCCGGAACTATAGCGCCACCCGGTTCATTGCTATTGAAGAAAAGAGGAGGAGAGTCAAGCACCGAACGTGTTAGGACACTACCACAGCCCAAGATGCCTAGTAGGCTACCGCAATCTTTGCCGCAACGGCGGCCCTCCGATACCCAACCGGAACCCATTCAGCCTCGGCCTACAGCTGGAAACAGAAATTCAAAGATATTGGGCAACACCACATCGATTACATCAGCGTCATCCAGCCGACTACCTGCGCCGACCTCAAAACCTCGAAATGTGCTTAGGAGGAAGAACTCGGGGATATCAAACGAAGTAGTGAACAGCATCCGCAAAGACTCCCGAGACGAGACTGGAAACCATTCCAAAACAAGCTCGTCATCATCGTCTTCCAACCCCCGATCTCAGACCTCAATCGACTCCTCAGCTAGTTCGCGCTCCGAACGCAACCCAACAATAAACACGATGGAAGTTCGAGTAGCTCACCAAGTCGAAGTTGCGGTAGGCGCGCCGCAGGCACCAGCATTATACCCAGAGCTGGACAGATATCGCGACGTCAAAGTGCCAGCCTACAATGGAAGTTTCGGCATTGAGGTGCTGTACCCGCTCACGACTCACGATCTCCCTCCCCCTACGCCCTTGTTCTCCGGATCTAGCAGTCAGATGAGTGGCTTCAGCAGCAGCCCATGTACAGGATTCTCCGGGTCACCAGGACCTGGTCCGTATAGCCGAGACACCACGCCTACGTCCATGTCCTCTCAGTCCCCCGGCATGGTGGCGCCTTTACGATTCCCTGGAGCTGGTGTCAGGATGAGACAGGTTGACTTGACCCAAACAAGACCGCCAGTCAGCCGGAGAAGAGGAGGAAGCATATCGAATGAGTTGGATCTTGTCAGCGCTGATCCTCAGGGTTTGCCATCAGTCAGGGAATCCTTGACCTCGTCGTCATCCAACTCGACAGTCCGTGAGCTTGAAAGGAAGGATTCCAAGAAGAGAAAGCAGCTATCACCCCTTCCGCCTAGCCCACCATCACGCATATCGTCACACAAATTCACCAAGAGCCACGATGGAAGCTTATCACCACCGAGGCCCTGGCGTGCGCCACCGACCCAGCCAACGGCACCAGCAGCGGTAGGCGCACAATTGTTGCCGAAGCCAGGCTCGTTCTCTCGACCTCGTCCCGCCCAAACCGCCCAGCAAGTTCCACCGCCTAGAGGGCAGCCTCCTCGCCGCCCGAGCAGAGATGGGACCCCGGACCTTAACTCTCAACTGGGTCTGCCCGTACCCGTTATCCAGAGTAACTTGACATTTGCACCATCCGAAAAGAGATCAAGCAAGCTTTTGGCACCGGCAATCGTCGCTAGGCCTGGCTTGCTATCCTCAACTTCCGACACACACGTTCATCTTCTAAGGCCAGCCATAGCCAGAGAAGCAACGCCAGCGCCAAAGATGTCCAGGATGGTGGATGATGCGAGTACCATCAAAGCCGAACCAGGAAGGACCACCCGTACGCCAAGCCCTGGTGTGTCGACTTTTCGACGCTTCCCCCTTTTCGGACGACGGACAAAGACAGCCCCAGAGGTCCCTTTACAGAAGGATGAGAAGAAGCCGACCAGGAAAGGTCCTGCCGCGGGAACTGGCCACGAAGGCTATGGGCGCGTCGGGCCAGCACGCCGTAGGAGCAACAGCCTTGCAAACACTAGCCGAGCGATCCCTGGGACGATGAGTTCGCAAGAAAGCATTGGCACCAACGATTCCTTCTTGTTGGAAAGGATGGCACCTGTCGTTATCGCAGGCGGGGAAATCATCGAGAACAGGAATGTGGGTTCGGACTTGAGCCGGACAGGAAGCAGCCAAAGCGTCACGCGTGAACCACCCAGCGTGGAATCACAGAACGGCTCGCAAGTCTCTCTTAACTCTATCCCTCGGAACACTCTGTGGCCGTCTGCATTCCCTCGCGCTGGTCAACATGCTCAGAGCGCGTCTGTCAGCAGCCGCAGACCCTCCGAGAGTAGTGAGTCTGAGACTCCGGTCATCAAGTCGACGTTGGCTTTGCGGAGATCCATACAAAGGTTGAAGTCTGGAGAGAAGGAACCCCCGAGGATTCCGGCTCCCATCGTCACTCAACCCCATGTTACGTCTCCCTCGATCACTAGTATTGATGCCGGTGTCCTCATGACGGACGACTCCATGATGGCCCCGTCGATTGACGCCGCCCAGGGCATCAAGGCATCAGAAGGATCCAAGAACCTTTCTGGACCCAAGCGCCTGATGAAGCGAGCTCGTTCTCCGCGAAAATGGAACTTCTTTGGAAGGAATCACAGCCAACCTGCTCCAGAGACAAAGAAGGTGGACATTTCTGAGAATGCGGCTCCAGTGGCTGCTGTGGCGGCTACAGTCAAGGTCGTCCAAAGCAAGCCGCTAGCATTCTATACTATGATGGACTCGTCTGAGCAGGAAGATACCGATATCCCGGACTTGGAGGAAGTTCTTCGCGAGGCGAAGAGCCCGGATTCTCCAACTCACAAGCAGAT